GTACAAACAGTCATTTTGTGGTGAAGTACTTTTTAAATTGGTTTGTGGTTTAGAATAACAAGCTCTCTGGTGAAGAGACCAAAACAAATTGTTTCTTATTTAAGAAGTGACAGTAGAACTAGTCACAAATTCTCAAATAATTTTCCCCACTTTTTTTTTTTTTTTTTATCTAATAGCTATAATGTTCACCTCCTATTTTTTTGTTTACCCTGTTTAGGGATTTCTTATAGAAAAGAATGAACATTATGAACTATATATGTACAGAAGGGGTAGCCATCTTGTATCCCCAAGCACATCGTAAATCACAGAGACTGAATTTCAGTTTAATTTTACAAAATCTAATCAGTATTATGGCATTTTGATCCAAATCAGGTGCCTATCCAGGATTTTGAAAAAGGCCCTCCCCCTGGCAAGCCAACATTTGGAGTGATAATTGTAAAAAGTTTATGCATTTGTCATATATGAAGATGCATTAGGGCCAGGACCCAGGCCTCCTGGACCCCACTGCCCCCTATATCAGCCTCAGCAAATTATTTTAGCAAAACAGAGCCTTTACTATATCTATTCAAATGGTGATAATTGATATGAATTTGTGAGCTCTGCTAACAGATATACTTTCTTTGCAGTGATGTTTTAATTCTGCACTTTAATGAACTCATGGCATAACGCAATGCGTAATTTTATTTTCTTTTAAAAAAAGAAGTCATAAAAAATTTTGGACAGTGTAAAAAACCTGACAGCTATAATTATTGCTATAAATATCTTGAAATATGCAGAGAGCACAATAAATAATTTATGAGCAGTTGTTAATTCAAGACATTTAAAATAATTACACTGCTCCCATAGTTAATTTTATCTGAATACAGGTATATAAAATTTACTTTCAGGTTAAAAAGGTGCCCTAAAATCATCATCAAAATACTAAAATTTCAGTCTAACTGATAAAAATTATCCATTTAAGTTAGACTATTTTATTTAGTGTCAGTAGATTATCACCTGAATGCTTTGATTTGTAACTGATATATGTAAATTTATTCATCATTAAATTTTGCTGATGGATTTACAGGTGTAGTTTGATAGAAATTCAATTTCTTTTAAAGCACACATCTAATTTACATAATTTTGATGAATCTTAAATGTCCAAATCTATCATGTAGGCCAGTAAATGGTCAACAACAAAAATTGCATGTTCAGAAAAAAAACATTTGTGGTATGACCTTTTACACTTAATTAACATATTTTGAATGGATCTGAAAAATGATCAGCATAACATTTATGCAGTTCAAATATTTTAGAGAATTAGCTGTGATTTCAACCCTGATTTTTTTAAGGAAAAAAACTAACTTTTCCCAAAACTTTTTTTAATCTTTCAACTGCCAATCCATAATTGACCCTGTGATTAGAGATCCATTTGTATGAGTTGTTTCCCTTGGAAGGGACATAAATTTAAACTGCCAATGAAGAGCTAGTAGAAAGAGCAAATTGATCTGTGCTTAATGTGTGTAATCTTTAAGTTTTCTAATTTTTAATTACATTTAATCTTTTGTTTAACTAAAAACTTTTGACATAAATAGTTATCTTTCATTAAGAATTGATTGAAACATCTATATATCACTTTTATAATATCATGCTTTGCATGGGCAGGAGACCATTTTGTTTAGTCAACAATTGGCAAAGGGAAACAAGATCTGTTAAATGTGTTTTATAACAGAATCAAATTGGCAAATAGACTATTGGCAGCAATATGTTAACCCCAACACAAAACTGTGTGTTGTAAAATAGAATGCAAATTACTGTCTTTTCCATTCAGTTTCTGGGCACATAAACCAATAAGACGAAATGTCTGATTGTCAAAGCTTTCTTCTAAAGAACATAGAAACTAGGTAGTTAACATCAGTTTTGTGAAAATTACCACAAAACATTTTAGTTTTAATATCAATTTACATGTTTAAAGGTGTCACTCTTTCCATAGAAAAAGATTTAAGTGAGGAAATTTAATTACAAAATCCAATTTAGTTGCTTCTTTCAAGCTCACAAATAAATTTTTACAGACAGTAATTTAATTCACTGCTTTTAAGAAATGACAACAATATAAATAATTGCATGGTAAAAGTGTCTTCCATATTTCTAAACTATGTACAATGTATATAAATATACTTGCATATGGACTTTAAAATTTAATGTGAAAAGCCTATAAAGTGAATAATTTTTCATGTGAAATAAATTTTTACTGCACATAATACATTTAAGTTTTTTTACGAACATCCACTTGGACTTGTATATTTCTTTTGAGACTTGCCGATTTTCCCTACTTAAAGATTATGGTTCACCAGACATATTCACTGGGTAAACAAAGGTTTACCTGCAGTAAAATTCATATTGACGAAGTTTGCTTACTTTCGTTAAGTACTGTGAAGTGCATCATAAGCGCAAAGTATATAGGGGTGGTAAAGGATATATTTTTCTGAAACACATTTGCTAGTTTTATATTAATTTGTTCTTGTGCTAAAAGGCTGCTTTGAACTGTGTTTTCTGCAAATAGGTAGAAATGGAGCATTTTAAACTAAAAATTTATTTTATGATCATTATGGCATCACACTTTTATTTCATATTTTTGTGCATGAAATCCCCTTTTTATAACTCTCTATGTATATAGGTAGAAAAGTGTGACGACTTTTTTGGGGGGTTTAGACGTCTACTTCATAAAAGAGGGACTACATAAATTCTACCATTAGATAAAAGAAAATTTTGGCCTGGAATATCTCCAGCTATTTATAAATATTGACTTTTATTATTATATTACTATCAAAGTTTATTATTGAATTTTTAAACAGTTTCAACTCTATAAAGGAATTTATATTTAAACAGCGACCTGTCACACTGTCCTAAGGTAGGATTAATCAGAGTCTAACAGGGCCCACCCACACTTTAAGATACTTTACAATAAGAAATTTATTGGTAATTAGTTACTTATTCAATATTACATGAAGAATTGATCTACAGTATAGAAATGAAATCTAATATAATCAGGAAGTGTATTGATCTCCATCAAGTGGGTTAATTCGAATGGACTTAAAGTCACTTCCCACAGTGGTTGTGACAGGTGTTTTGCAGGTATAATTCTGTAATTACACAATACTTGAGACAGGCACCATTACACTAGCAGTGCATTTCATTCAATAAGATGAAAAAAGAAATTATTGGATAGATCTCAGTGGTTCATAGAAACCAATGTGAAATTAAACCTAGATACTCCACTTTTAAAAAACTGCTATGTGTATATATATATTGATGTATATAAAAGCAAAGCTGATTTTTTTGTACAATTGTTTTTATAAAGCATGTCAGCATGAAACGTGTGATGATATTTTATTGTCACAAAGCATTGAAAATGAATACACCAATCTCAAGTTGGTTTTTATGAATGAGTTACACTGGTTGACACGAGGTAAATCTGCGTAATATATCATCGAACAATCGGTTCTTACTGTGACGTAATAACATAAGCATTGTGTCATAGGAAATTTAGGGAAAGTGCATGAATTCGAGTCGTCCATTGTCAGTATTCACTTCTCATTTGGAGTACTCAAAGTGGGAATTCAAATTTTCAGCTTTAAACAGCTGACTCCCCTTTATAACCTCCATAACTGAAAACTCATAGGTTGGCCTAAATTGGTAGATTCTGAAAATGGTACCTCTGTTTTAAATCCAAACACCAATCAGATGTAACAGAATGCTGGTGTGAGATTAAATATCTAGGTTATTGATGATGTAAAAGATGAGAACAGAGATTCTACCATGAGATATTCCTGTTCACTCATTGCTTACCAATACATATGTGTGCATAAATGTACTGCAACTTAAAATTGGAAATAGAAATGGGGAATGTGTCAAAGAGACAGCAACCCGACAAAAGAGCAGAAAACAGCCGAAGGCCACCAATGGGTCTTCAACACAGCAAGAAAATCCCTCACCCAGAGGCGCGCTTCAGCTGGCCCCAAAAAAAAAAAATTACGTACCCGGTACTTGCTCTGAATTTTTTAGTTTCAGGACTTTACTACATTTGTTGACCAAATGACATTTGCAAAACAATCAGACCAACTTATAAATGTCCAAATACAAATGTCTGACTTCTAAATTGTCATAATTACTAATAACAGAGAGCCATCTGACCAGTGTTGTATAGTGTACATAGTTAGACAGACAGGATGTTAAAGCATACTTCCCTTGTTCTATACTGTTAGTATATGATCAAAGACATTGATATATATCATCTTTCAGTATGTATCTACATTTATCTGGATGCATTGAAAAAGTCCATTGATCCATCACTTAAGTAAAGTAAATTGACATTAAACAACGAACCATCACTTAAGTTTACTAAATTAACATTCACCAACGAACCATCACTTAAGTATATTTAATTGACATTCACCAACTTGGGTAAAATTGTAAGTTTCAACATTAACAAATAATGGGTGCATATTTTACAGTGAGTGTCTTGTCACTGAAAGCTAAAAATTGTTTGTCTTTTGAATACCTTCTCTGCCATTTTGAATTCTGTTTTTCACCAACTCTTTATTTGACACACATGGAACATGTTCTAAATGCAGTACCAACTGGTATTATTGAATTCACAGTTTATTGAAGTGATGGTTTGAGATTCTTACATCTTATGTTAAAGTTAACATTTTAAATATGTTACACAAAATTTGTATATTTAGACATTAAAAAAGTATTATATGTTGAAATAGAATATAAGCATAAATAATTAAATGGCAAGTTAAAATAATTGTGATGTCCTATCTTGTATCACTTTCCACACTGATAAAATACTGTTTATCTCTAAATATGGAGTATGTGTTGGTTAATTGATAGGCTTATAGGTCATTGTTATGTGCAGGCTGAAAAGGTTGCTGAAATTTAAAATGAGAAATAGGTCATTGTGATCTGTGCATTTGGATATTCATATAAGTGATTGAATTATTTTTTTCTTCCAGGTGGTGTTTGCATTAAATCAAACTTTATGGAAACATGAGCTTTCAAGACAATTGAAAAGTGAATTTCAGTATACAACTGAGGATTTAATCCACCATTATAACTGTGGAGATCTAAACTCTGTTATATTTAATCACGATTTATCAAATATTCCAAATCTAGTCAACAATACGTTACCTCCTAAAGACTTACAGACAGCTAAACTCATTGACAATTATTTTAGAATGGAACTTATAGATAAAAGGAATCAACGGATGGCAGCTCGCTCTTCTAGTTTACTTAAAGCTCATCCACAAAAAACTTTCTTCTTCGCTTTTGGTGCTGGTAAGTACTGTAAAAGTATTTTGGTACATGTACCATATTTACAAAATTGAAGTAGTACTTTAAATCAGATATTATTGCAATAATTTCATGAATGCAAAAAATGTGACAGTATAATTTTCGCAATAATAAAAACTCAGACTCATAATTTAAGTAGGGATTTTCCCTCACAAAATTTTTGCAATGGCATTGATGAAATCTCACATTTTTAAATAAATGCACATATTTTCAATGTTCATCTTTACTATGATAGTATAGATGTATATGACGACATACTGCCATACGACCAAAATATAGTTATTGTCCACTATTTCCAAATCTTGATGAGGACTTCTTAAATGTATCAAAGTCATATTACATATTTTGTACTTATACTTGTTCTTTAAGGGATCAACTGATTTTGAAAAAAATATTTGTAAGTCATGAACTTTTAAGTATATTACTTATGATCAATTTTTGTTGTAAGATTTTTTGTGAAAAGAGCCCCTGATTTGTTGATTATTTTCAATATTCTAATAATAGTAATATGCAAAAGAGTGACAATTAAATATACTGTTTGTATAACTTTGTATAAATGCATTAATTGTAGAATACATCTGATATAAAACATTGTAAATATGAGTAATGGAAATATGGTGTATACATTTATGAGACATCAACACATCAACACCTCACAATAAAACCAGGAAAGACAAATTGCCATGAATACTTGAATTTCATGTCATTCCAGGAGTTTTGAGAATGACTTGGAAATTATTTTAGTCTGTTAGCTTTTCAAAAAATTAAAATACTAGCATTCCTGACATTTTTGGACTTAAAAAACTTTAAAAATTAAATATGATGAAAAATATGTTTACTGCATGTACATTTGTACTTATTTACATGGGAAAATTCAATGCTAGACACATGGAACAATAGCTCTGTTGTTCTTTACATAATTGATAAAAAAAAAAATAGTACATTAGAATTTGAAAGAATGAAACAGAAAACCAAGACCTTTCTAATCACTGTAATGAATTTTTATTTGAAAAAAAAATTCCAATGTAGTACACAGAGAATTGTTTTTCCTTTGATGAGAAAGTTCTATAGCATTTAAATTCTATAATGGTTGTTTTGTTTTTCTCATGCTTTTATTTCACAAATGTGTTTTAGAATAAAAGTATGTAAAGGATTTGTTTCATGGTGATTGTACTTTACAAAGCAAATCAATTTACAGATAAGTGGTGAAGAACAGAAGTATCAATCTTTTTTATAAATCAGAAAATGAGAGATTATTTGTATCTGTGAAGAGCAGATTTTAGATTTAAAACCAGAATTTTTTGTTCATCATTAGGTTTTGGCATCACTCTGATTGATTTCTATCAAAATCAATGCACCCTCTGATAAAACTGAGAGTAACAAACTTGATAAAAACCAAATCATGATAATTTTACCAAAATCTTTTTGAATGCTAGATAGTGCCAATATATCATTGCTTGAATTATCAATACAGTTTTATTTTCTATTTTTGTGGTTTTAACTGTTTTTCACATTAATCTTACATAATGTGGCTACAAATCATTTTTTCATTCTTCAAAAGCATCATAAAGCCTGTGAAAAGGAAGATCATCTTTCCTCTTGTGGGGCAAAAAACTACTTTTCTTTACAGTTTTTATTTTTTCCGGTTCATTACAGAGTTGCACATATCTTCTAGCATCAACTGGTTGAGTGGTTCAGTAATGGATATTACAATTCTGCTGGGGAATGTTGTGCAAGAGATTTTTAGGAAATGGGGCAGAAACTAAGTAAATAAAACAGTATGATGATAAAGATTTTGTCCCTTGGTAGTAATTGTCATAGCAACCAGTATCCTATTTTTTTGAAAGATATCATTATTTATACATTATGAAACTACATTTCCGGTTTTAAAATTACCATAATTGTTAAGAGTAAATGATATCTTCCCCTATAAATGTCTATTTTTGACATTTTTATTCCAGTGAAATATTTTATGACTAATTAAACTGTTAACCTTTTCATGGTCTTTGCATAATTTTTTGGCTTTTTATAGAAATGAAATCCTTAATGAAATAGTTACAACATTTTTTCGTTTTTGAAGTTGTATCTATCCATCGTATTGCTCTTGATAAATATCAACTGTGCACACAAAAATAACTGTATGTAATTTTAACTGCAAAACATATATGACGTTTTTGGTTTACATCTTGGAAATGATATTTAAAATGATATTCAAATATTTTTTTCCATCCATAAACATTTTAATGCCTTTCTTTCTACAAAAATTGCCATAAATTAAAAACCATGAATAATAGAAATATAATTTAGAATAGTAAAGTTAATGCAGATATTTAAAAAGAAATGAAAGCAATATTGCTAACGAGAGTAGGAAATAAAAAAATAATTATCTACAGCTCATTGTAAAATTGGCAATGTTTTTTCATTATTTTTTAGGAAACTACAAAATTCTATGAGTTACTTCCCATAAAGTCTTGACCATTCCTGTAGTGACAGAGTTGTCTCCCTAACATGCATTCCATAATGTCTTTTTTTAGAAACTAATAATCTAATTTAATAAGAATGTGATAGTAATTAATGGGAAATGTAAATAGAGAACTGACGAGACAAGAGAATTAATCTTTTTTTCTGTCTGTCTGTCTAATAAGAAATAGTCATTAGATTTTGTGCTTCTGGTATTCACAATATTCAATATCTGTCAATGATGAAGTTATTCATTCTTGAAATTGCTTCTTATTATAGAAGAAGTGAAAAGAATAGGAATTACAAAGACCTCTTAATTCAATGATTGTAATTTCATGGGAATAAATAAATCTTTCTTGTCAATTCTGGAAAATGTTAACAGGGTTTTAGACGTATGAATTACAGTTTGGTACCATTTATAAAACAAGCTATTATTGATCACATTTATACAAAAAGATCAAGACAATATATCAAGGCTTTGATGCATTTTTTTTTAAATGTTTCAAATGTTTTAAAAAGCTACAACTAACATGACATGTGTATTTTTTTGTGCTCGTAGCCGAATGGAACTTCATGTTCAGGCATGGACCCAGGGAACAAGCGAGATTGTCTCCACTCTTTTGCAGAAAATTTGTGTTTTTTTTGTATACTTTTCTCACTTTTTACTATTGAGTGCCCTATGTGAAATTATTGGATCCAACAATGATGATTGTCTGTTGTTAAGAATAAGAAAATGAGTGATGAGAAAATTGTAAGATGTGTCCTTACAACAAGGACAAGCCTTTTTAAAGCAGGTTTGAAATTGTACAAAATCAAAAGGCCATACTTCTAATCACTTGGGGTCTCCTGAAAGATATGCTTCTGTTCCATATATAACAACTCATTTAGTCATCACATTAATGTGTCATTCACCAATTTCTCACACCCCTAAAAATATCTAATTGTATGTAATTTTTTTTTTTTTTTTCGTTCTAATTTTTTGTATGTATTTTTATTAAGATATCTTCAATAAATATTAATTTTGTATGAATTTGGCTGAATTGGAAACTTGATATGAAACTAGTTTTACAAATTTGAAATTTGCATACCCATTATATACTACAAATCATTTTGATATCTAAACTCAATTATACCAACAAAAAAAAGACCAGAATATCTATGAAATTATACAACTTTGATAAAACCAATTGTAACTGTAAGTCATCCACAACAAATTCAAAATTGATTTGTAATATAAAAAATGTATAACGTAATTTAACTTAATGCTTTTGTCCTAAATATGCATGAAATAATTGCCACTGGACATTAAATAAGCAACAATTAATCAGCACTAGCTTAAGCAAGTTCCAATAAAAATTTTGTTTCAGTAGATAGCCAAGCATTTCACTATGTGTTCCCGACACCAAACTTGGAAGTATATTTCCTCTTTAATAATTGATCATTTTAACATTCACAAAATACATGTATAAGCATTAAGAATAAAAAATATTCAATATATCTATATTCTACTTGTTTAAAGCTTACAAAATTTTTACATGAAATGAAGGAATTTTTTTCAATCAACAAATAGGTAGTTTATATGACAAGTAATTTTTTGTAGGGCATATGTTAATTCCCCTCTTACAAATACAAAAATTTTGAGGAAATCTTTAGTCCTAAGATTTGATCAAAATTTTTAGGTCCGAGATTTGTTAATACTGACAAAATTATAATAGGTCGAATATTTTTATTGTCTATGCAGTAAGGTCCATTTAAATGATTATAGTGAACGTTGAAAGATACATTATATGGTCTCTGTAAAAGCGCCAAGAATTCATATACCATCAACTTATTGAGTAGATGACATTTGTAATTAAATTAATATAAAATTCTTCCCTATGGTCAGTTGACAGTTTCAAAGGTGTAGACTTTGGTCTAAATCATGAACCCACATTAAATAGCATTTTATTTGAAACTTTAATAATAACATGGATATGATTATTGCATATAATATTTTATGTGTGAATGTAAATCACTGTACTATTGTCTCTGATTTCTGTTTGTGAAAAAGATTTTAAAATGATCACATTTTAGGAAAACTCTGTTGATTTTTGTAGGCATTAGTCTGTTTGCCAATCCTGTAATTGACCCTGTAATTAGTGATCCATTTGTACAGTTGTTTCTCTTAAGACAACATGAATTTTTTATTGAAAATGAAGAGCTAGCGATAAGAGGAAATTTATCTGTACTTTAAGTGTGGAATCTTTAAGTTTTTCAAATCTTATAACTACTTTTAATCTTTTGTTAAGGTAAAACATTATAGGTCTAATATATCAATGTGAAAACTTTTACTATATATTCAGAAATTATTGTGTGCGCTAATTATTTTACTTTCATCATTATTTTAAATGGCAGATCCTGTACCTTAAGAAAGGGGTACAATAAAAAAAAAATTAGAAAATATGTAAAAATTCAAATTTTCATCCAAAAGGGCCACCCTCCTAAACCACTGGATCCATAGCTAATAATTGCTGATCAATGGAAAAAATGTAAGATTAATGCTTCATACAATTGATGGGATAAAAATTTAGATATAATAATAAGGTTATGTAGTATGATTGCCAATGAAACAACTATCCACCAAATATCAAATGAAGTGGATGTAGCGGTAAGCAATTATAGGCAACCGTATGGCCTTCAACAATGAGAAAAAGCCATACCGTATAGTCGGTTATAAAAGGCCCTGACATAAAAAATATGAAACTATTCTAATGAGAAAACTAACAGCCTAATTTATAACATAACAATATATGAAAAACAAATAAGACAGACATGAACTAACAACAAACAACTGAACTACAGGCTCCTGACTTGGGACAGGCACATACAGAATGAATGTTCTAATTTATTTCATATGAATCCTATCAGATTGTTCTCATATATAAAAACATCACAAAAATATGTACTGTAAATGTTTTTTTTTAATTAAATTAAATTTAATCCTGAGTGAATTTGTGTATCCATTAATTTTTCAACTTCTAATTTTGATCTTTTCCAGGTCATTTTTTAGGAAATGATACAGTCATAGACAAAATGAAGAGAGAGGGATTTGAAATAGAACATGTACAACCTGGTGATGAAATACCTCTGTAAGTTTATTGAACATAATGGGCACTGCATTTGGAGCAGGAATCAATGTTGATAATAATAATGTATTAGATACTTGATAGCTCCTTAAACTTGCAGAATTAAATATCTTATGACACTGAAATATGCTTATCAGGTAAATTTGGCCATAAATTAACATCTTTCTTATAAAAATTATATCATTACATATAACGAATGTCCCCATGTGTTCTGTGATGTCCTCTAGAGAGTTATGTTTCATTTTTATATACAAATAGCTATTTTGATTATTTTTGCACCTGTGTCTTTAATATTAAACAAAATAAAACAATTCATGACTAAAGGTGATCCTCTGGTCCATTTATCACACCTAAGAAAAATATTTAACATTTCTTTACATAGGTAAGGTCAGAAAAATCTGTCATCCTTTGTTTTTGAAGAGAAGATGTTACACAATATTTGTCATTTTGATTAAAAATTGTCATTTTTGTTTTCCTTTTCTCATTATAGTGATGTGATAGAAACTTAAAATAATATCATTTCAGTGACCCTCACTTTTATTTTAAAATTTATATATCCCTACAATACCCTTGTTCTATATGGCAGTTCATCTATCAATAACTTTTGTTACATATTACTCATCTTCTGTTTTGAGGAATGACTTGATTTAATGGTCTCAAACTTTAAATGTTAAGTTGTAAAGTGTTAGCAATTTTCAGATCAGCAGGGCATTCACTTCCTGTTAGACCGTTTTATGTTAAACCCCTTTTTCATTACATATTACTCAGCTTCTGTATCAAGGAATAAAATGATAAATGGTCTGGGACTTGGAAATGACAAGTTGTGCCATTTCCCTGATTTTTGTATCTGCAAGGTGGTTTATTATGCCCCCGCCGTAGCGGTGGGGGCATTAAGTTTTACCCTTCTCCGTCCGTACGTACGAATGTACGTAAGTCCCAAAATTGGTTTCCGTTCTCTAACTTAAGTTTGCCTCAACCAAATGTTATGAAACTTATACACAATGCTTATTACCACAAAACACAGATTAAGTTTGAATTTTGGTGGTGTCACTTTAACTGTTCTAGAGTTATGCTCCTTTATAAATGGAAAATTTGCAGAATTTTTAGTTTCCGTTCTCTAACTTTAGTTTGCCTCAACCAAATGTTATGAAACTTATACACAATGCTTATTACCACAAAAAACAGATCAAGTTTGAATTTTGGTGGCGTCACTTTAACTGTTTTTGAGTTATGTCCCTTTACAAACATAAAAATTGCTGAATTTTTAGTTTCTGTTCTCTAACTTTAGTTTGTCTCAACCAAATGTTATAAAACTTATACACAACCGTTCTAGAGTTATGCGTGTTAACAAATAGAAAAGTTGCTGAATTTTTAGTTTCTGTTCTCTATTTAAGTTAGCCTCAACCAAATGTTATGAGACTTACACACAATGCTTATTACCACAAAACTCAGATCAAGTTCAAATTTGAGTAGCATCACTTTTACCGTTCTTCAGTTATGTCCCTTTTTAACTATATGCTATGCAAGCGGGGGTATCATCTGTGTTCACATGTGGACACTATCCACATTTGTTATAACTAAAATACAGGTCAAGTTTAACTTTCAACAGTAATACAACTTATATAAGTCACGAGTTGGATCCCTTAAAATTGTTTGACAGAATTACACCAAACTTGCACATATTCTTTGTTGACATCAACATTTTTTGAATACATTATTTTTAGATGGTAGTCAGCACACATCTTCCTTCGAACACTCATGTATTTTATTTTATTAAAAGTCAATAGTTCTCTATCCTGAATACGTCTAATTTGAACTGTCCTGTTTGTTGAAAATATTTAAGTAAGACCATATTCCCTTGAGTTTATATGTACTTATTTACACTCAGACAGATCAGTAACCAAACAAATTCTCTCTCTCTGTAATTCCTCATGTGATAAGTTTAAATTGAAGTCTGACATTATGTTTGATGCATCTTTTCAATCTTTCTAAAACATTAAGGTATAGGTCAGCTAATACACATCTGATAAGTCTTTGATCTGGTTAATTAGTCAGCTTAACAGGTGTAATTTACCTGATAAAAAGTCGTTATTTTACTTTGATGTCAAATTTATCAAGAAAAACAAAAGATAATTGAAACTATAATAGTTTTGAACATTTGATTTTTGCTGCAAGGTAACATTATAACATCATAGGATGTTTTTTTATGATGTGAGAGAATGCAATTACAATGATATGTCAGCGGTAGGTCTGAATATTTTTTCGAGAAGAAAAAAAATTTACGCAATTGATGTAATTGTATTTGTTGAACATTTTCTATTGTATGGTCAAAGACTGCATGATCCAAAAAAAATATTTTGTTGTCAGGTTCATGCCTACCTATAGATTTTTCTGAGATTGGTTCTTACAGATAAGTTCTGAGTAAAACTGTCAGAAATGTCAATTTTAAGCCAAAAGTCAAAACAAAGGGGGAAATTGAATAGTCTTTGATAAACTTTGTTTAACAGAAATCACCTTTCATAGTCTAACTGAGATAGGACTTAGATTTCTCAAAGAACAAGCACCATTAGATATACAAAGATACCAACTGACAAGGTACCACACTTATCTCAAGATGAAAAATTCTTATGATCTTCCATCAGAGATCAGGGTTCAAATACCAAAAAAACTCATTAAAGATACCAAGCTTATAATTTTGTTCGCCAGACATGTGTTTCGTCAACAAAATACTCTTTGTACGCTCAAATAAAAAATGTTTAAAAGCCAAATCAAGTACAAAGTTTAAAAGCACTGAGGACCCAAAATTCTGAAGGTTTTTCCAAATAAAGCTAATTTAATCTATTCAAGAAGTAGAAAATCCTTTGTTTTTAGACAATTCAAAGTTTGTGACTGTAGCATGATAAAGGAATACAGCTAGTATATCTTATTGTTATTTTGTTTTAAAGTCATACTTTTCTGTTGACAATATTCAAAATACATATATATTCCATGATTGATGAGTAGTCTTATCTTTTTAGGTTGAATGGAGAGAAGAAAAGAAAACACAGGAGAAGAAAATTAAAAGATAAAAACAGTATATATGGAGATATATGGTTTGATATGGATGAAGAAACTAGGTAATGTTATATTTATGTACAAGATAGTGACGGAAAGTCTGCAAATATCTGGCATTGTAATAAAATGGTTATTTTTGATGATGATAGAATGTTTATAGTGGTTAACAAGTTTAAAGTTTTCATTTTAACAAATACATTATAATGAAGCAACTAGACTTTGATGTGTGATTACAAATATTATACGTTATACCTCAAGCAATGAACATTATATATGTAGTACTAAATAAGCAGCTGTGGTCACTTTTGTATACAAAAACTACTCTCTAGACATCCTTTTATGCTAGAAAAAAATGATGATCAAAAGGAATTGCTCTTAGAGCATTGACCTACGCTTCATAAGCATATATTTTTTTATATAGTGTGATAGATTTAAAACACATAGTACAGTAATTCATAGTATGAGTCTTTTTTTTGGTTCATGCTATGGTATTAACATTTAAAATTTAAAATGTGGAAGATGATATTCCTGTAAATGTATCATGTCAGGTCAAATCAGATGACCTACTTTTTTCATGAAATGACACAATCCTTTCACAGGTTGGGGCATTTCCAACACAATTGGACACATCAAGTTCGATAAATTTCAGAATACATGCATTTAACTTATTTGAGAAACAACAATCACTTTGATAACAGGTAAAGTTTGTTTCAACTGCCCCCAACTACAGTACATAGAAAGTCTTAGCTCATACTACAAATAGCAGTAGCAGTTTATCCCAGTGATCAAGTTTTGAAGTATTGAAGACAGTTTTCTTCATCTTTTGAAGAGACAAGTTCTAAGGTTAGATAACTCCTTCAGATGTTTCTCATTACCTGAATATTTGTATTTCAGAGAATGGTTAGAAAGACAAAGTGAAAGACAGAGAAATTACAAAACAAGTTTCACAAAACCATTCAATGATTTGTGGATTAGAATGGATGCTAACAGGTACATAATTATTTTTGCTCTATGAGTTACTTAGATGTATTTTTCAATTACTGATTGATTAATTGATTGGTGCTTTACGCCACTTTCAGCACTATTGCCTATTTCATGGCTGTCAGTTTTTATTGGTGGAGGAAGCCAGAGTGCCAGAGAGAACTATGACTGTTGGCAGGAAAACTGACAATCTTTGTCACTTAAGATTGGAGTCGAGCGCACCCACAAAGTTTCTATACTAATAGCAATTTAAATGAGTTACACATGTACTGTAATTTTAATTTCTGTGAAGTCAGAAATATTTATTCTGCTGTGCAGCACAAAATAACAGGCCATTATTTTCTAGCAGGATTTTTCAGGGTTTTTTTTTGTTGAAGATATAAGCAAACAGCAATGGTATAGATGATTTTACCTCACAAATGCTACTTCAATTTTCAAAATTTTGAAGAATTAGGCTACTGAATTAAAATTTAATTTCTTGACTTAAAAAAGTGATTGCATGCATACTAAATTTGTACATTTCATTGAAATAACTTTTGTAAGTTTGTCACAAACAAAGGAAAATTGTAATAAAAAAATGTATGCATTGTTTCCTGTAAAGTCTATCATATTATTTAACAAAAATATAGTTTGTTCGATGAAGATAAATCACAAAGTCATTCAGCAGGTGAAAGAATTTTATTTTCTGAAATAATACTGACCAACATAAAATGATTGAGAATAGAATTATGTATGGGGTAAATGTATGTTACATAGTTTGCAAATAATATAAAAATTGCAAAAATTGCAATAACAAAGGACAAAAACAGAATAGCAATTATGTATACATCTATTAAGAAATTAGAATCCTGCCTATCGGAAATGGTCTTTTCATTAGTTGAAGGTCTTAAATGAATTCTAAATGTCTAAAACTTGCAATCTTGTAATGCTGGATTGCTGTCTTTGATGTTAACACTAAAAATTTTTTCATAAAAAAATTGAAATTACACATGGATGAAAGAAGTAGCCCATTATTGATACATAATTTACTTATATTTTTAATAAATGTATGAATTAATTATTTCAAAGTACCTTCCATATACAGTCGTCCGCCATAAGTATTCGTAAAAACAAAATGGCGGACAGTCGATGTAAATCTGCACATGAAAAAACTTCGAACTATTGAACAAGTAACAAAATAAAAAAATCCTACCTTAATACTTTGTAATGTTTCCTTTATTCCTCATTACTCGTAAAATCCTCCTAGGAATGCTGTTATACAATGATTTCCGGTAAGTTACAGTTAAATTGTCCCATATGTCACAAATTTCATGTTGCAAGTCTTTGGTATTATTTATGTTCTGAGTTCGTTTTTGCAGTTCCTTTTTTAAAACCCACCAACAGTTCTCAATGATATTGAGGTCAGGACTCTGAGCTGGCCAGTTCATGCTTTTTAACCCCGTTTCCCTACGAAAATCTTGAACGGATCAGGCTCAATGGACGGGGGCATTATCATCTTGAAAAACGTAGTCATTATCGGGAAAATGACGAACAACTACTGGCCACACATTATTGTCAATAATGTCAATGTATTTTCTCCGACCTTTCTCCAGACACTGACACAAGAATCCTGCCCAATGACTACCTTGCACTCATTGCTGAAAATTACTTTACTCCAGTGTGCATTCACAGTTTTATGTAAATTTCCTCTGCAATATGCCACTCGTTTTTTCTTGTTGACCTCACAGATAAGAATTTTTTTCTTTACTGACTGCTTGTGGAACCCCTCAGAATGTAATTTACGTTCAACAGTTCTTTTTGAGAAAGGTCGATCAATGCTTTCATTAAAAATATTAGTAATTTCAGATAAAGATTTACGGCGATTTAGTTTTACACAATGGAAATGTTTTCTCATGTCCCGGTCATGAAAGGATTTTGGTCTTCCTGATCTCCGAATGTTTTGTATATCACCCCGATGTTCATACCTCTTCAAAAAACTGTAAACAGTACTCTGTTTGATGCCTGTCAATTTGACAATTTCACTTTTTCTGTAAACTGCATCATTTAATGCAGCAAGACGACTTTTCTGATCAGATGTCAGTTCTTTACCCTTGCGACCTTATTTGTTTCCATTAGCTATAATGTAAGTGCAGAGGACTATGATGTCATCACGCACGTGTCACATGACAAGCACATGTTTTTCTACAGAACCACCTATATATAGATTCATTGTCATCCTGATTGTGCCATGGAGACAACAGTAAAAACTTGTTAACCCTTCAGTGACGTGACCACCATTGTTGTTTTTAGGAATACTTATGGCGGAGTACTGTATTTTGAATAAAGATTTATAATTTGTTTCTGTTTTTTGTTGTAGTCCTAACTTATACTCAAAGTTAGCAGAGAAATATGGTTACGACAGGACAGAGAGACCAACAGACGTCCCATATTCCAGAGCAAGCACCTGTTACTGCAGCATTCAAATGCTCATTCTATTTGTGATACTATTCATTTATCATTCCTAATTGACTGTCTTTCTATTGTGTTAATATGTGCAATATAGATGTATTGTAAATGTATTCCATAATGTGTACAGTGTAGACTTAAAGCATACTGGATCAAAGAGAAAATCCATTTTTTTTTATCCTAAATAGTTTTTTTTATTTCAATTTCCCATTTTTTCCAAAAATTGGCAAAGGGAGACAACTTATAGGTATGACAACAGTTTTGTAATTAGGTACATTTAACATGAAACCAACATAAAGAGTGGCATAAAAGCACTGGTGGTTTTACTACACAGCATATAATTTATGAGTTTCTATGTGCCATTTTTGAAAGAATATTATTTAACAGTTATATAAGAATATATCTGGAATAGGACTGTCCTTTTTATTGGTTCTAAATAAATTTTCCTAAAAATCCATGGTATTCTATCAATTATATTCAAAATACACAAATACAAGAATTCATTTTATGTTATTGGGCATGATTTTTATGAGTTGCTGTTTCAAAAATATGTTTTGCAGTTTTATCATTTACTTCTAAAGCCACTATGAATATTGATATTGTTTAGTGGTTATTTTTTCTCTATGAAAACTATTATAGGGACAATATCAAGCCAAACTTTTCCTTTTTTTTGTGTACATCATTTTCAAGTTTGTAGTACATTATTGTATCTATTATTTTTAATGTCAGTTGTGATTTTCAGGATTAACAAATTGTGTATTGTTTTTGTTTTTTTGTTTATTTGTGAATATTTTTTTGTGGGAATTGGGGGATAAACAGTCTTACATCCCTAGTATTTCTCATGTCCATTTTGAAATAAGCCATTTTTGAAATTAAAAATTACAATTTGTTCAGAATTACTCCCTTTCTGAGGTGCTACTGGTTTCCAGTAATGATACAGTTAAAAGCATTTTCTTTCATTATTTGATTGATATTTATTTCATATTAACTTCAAACATAGTTCTTGCAGCAAACCAGTTCTACTTGCCACAGAGAAGATTTAATCATTTCACAATCAAAATTCAAGGTTCCTAAGATAATTATATACATGTTTATAAACTACTGACCAATAATTCAAGCCTTAGACACTGCCTCTGATTTTTCCACCTTATTAGGGCAAATAAAGTGGTTGTAGTGAGTCAAAAATAACAACTGGATTATTGAGTTTTATATACATGGCATTAAATCCAGACAGTCATTCTTTTATAGAACATTTCCATGTATTTTATTTTTCTAGTCAGAAAATGATTGAACTTTAATATTGGCATTGACATTGAAATGAAACATTTGTTTACACATTAAGACAACTGTATGATTTTAGTAGCAGTCTATATATCTTCTTTACAATTTGAGGATAGCTATCCCAAATGGTTGATTGATCTTTAGCAATTGTTTAATGCCTGTCTTTCATTAATCATCACTTTTAATTTTCAAATTCATAATTGTCCAAAGCTGACAGAAAGGATTTTAAGAATCATTTGGGATTTCTTCAACACCTTATTATGGCATTATACACCCTCTATTTTATTTATTCCATTCAGTGATTTTTTGGTCTCAACGTGAAAAATTTGACTCCACCATTTTATCTTACCTAGAGGGATAAACATCTTGTAACTGCCTCTAATCCTAAACCTTAAATAATTGAATTTATTCATTGTGACTGTTGTTCTTAAATTAGATCAATTCTCAAAAAATGCCAAAATGGTAGTTTAATTCAATTGAAAGCAAACACATGCCTCATACTACTGTGGATTCATTGATTTTGTGGATAACAACTTTTGTGGATTGTGGAAAAATTTTATTTTCAAGGATTTTTTTTATTTTTCATGGTTTTTCAATGTCTCCATATATAAGCCTATAAAGAATAAACAACTCTGGATTTAGTTCATAATACTTTAAATGATGTTGTTTTATTCTGTTATCAGAATCCTTTGGGTTAATTCTGTTATCTGTAACAAGGAAAAGTTTATCAACTTATAACATTTGTTTGATATATGTATTTGATATTGTAGCCCCTTTTCATCCAATGCTATGATATTTTGGTATATAGATTGCCAGGACCATTATCTGGACATTCTTCTATTTCTCTGGCCTTTGTTAGTCTTGTATGTTTTTTAGATTTTGGCTCGTTTATGTTTCGGAGTTTAGTGTGACGTCCATTTTCACTGAGCTAGTACGGTATACAATATTATTTAGGGGCCAGTTGAAGCTTGCCCCCAGGTGCAGGATTTTCTCGCGGTGTTGAAGACCCATTGGTGGCCTTGGGCTGTTTTCTGCTCTTTGGTCGGGTTGTTGTCTCTTTGACACATTCCCCGTTTCCATTCTCAATTTTATTGTATTTCTTTGTTCACAAACTTTTTTATTTTGATATGAGTAGGTTATCCCTGGTTTATGCACATATCATTTACATTAATATAATTAAAATTTGACCTTGAGAATATCTAGCACTAAGAATAATCAAGTCTTAAAATGTAAACTGTAGTCAATATTTAAGTGAATCAAATATGTATTCATCATGAATGTCAAGAAGGCATTATATTTTTGTGTTTTCTTAAGATTTTCTTATTTCAAATGTTAATTTTAGATTATAAATTGACAATTATTTGTTAGCAAACAAAATTCAATACTCATTGCATGTAAATATTTTTTGTGATACTAAATTATTATCAGCGATAAAAAATCCCATGAACGCAGTGCTAAGAAATAGTTCTGGGTAATTTTATTGTTTGTATTTAACAAAAACAGGTAGTTTCATTGTTATTTCTTTTCACTTGTTTATATTGAAACTGGTTGTGTTCATTGCAATATTTTGATGTAATTCATAATTTCACAGTTGTACCATGGGAGATAACTCCGAAACTACCTCAGAGTATGTTACACATGATATTTATTTAACACCAGGTGATGTTAAATAAAAATGTTTAAAAAAAAACTTGTTATTTTTGCCTTTAAAAAGTCTACTTAAGAAACAATCATCATTTAAGCACACCTTAAAGAACTTTAATTTAAGAGTTGACTATTTGTGTACACTTCCATGCTTAATTTTCAGACACTGACATAAGCAGGTGCATAATGGAAAGACTGACCATAAGCCAAAGGTGAAGGTCAGCCAAAAATGAACAAGTTGAACTAGCTATTACACACTAATGATACCCCACTATTAGTGTGTAGGAAAATATTAGTATTTGGTAAATAGGAAGTTGATGAACGAAGAATATGTTAATTTATCACACAGTATAGCATATACACTTAAAGCGTGATACCAAATTTCTGGAAGCTCTGCTATGTATATCCTGAGAAAAATATGATCACAGTTTCATACATGGCCGTAATGTGAATAAAATACATCAGGATTCAGTAACGAGGAATTTGATGAGCATTGAATTAAAAAAAGCATGCTCACATTAAGCCTGATTCTAAATTTTCAGGCAGCTCTGATTTGTAGTTCTTGAGAAAATGGAATAAAAATCTTAAAGAAATAATAAATGTAAACCAGTATATCCCCCCTCTCGTAGGAGCAGGGGTATAGATATTTCACATTACTCTGGCTTTTATTAAGTGTAAAGTCTAACGTCAGGGTTCAGTTCTTGGATGCTGCAACATGAATCTAAAATCATTCAACTTGAGCAAGAAGAGACTAATTACTAACTTACATTTTAAATTGACTCACAAACAGTGGGTGGATAAGTTCTAAGATCGTAAATTACCTACAATCAAGCTACTAGGTGTAAGGATGAATTTTAGGGAATAAAGCAGTCTCCCAAAAAATTGTCTTGTCACGACAAAAAAATAAAAATAAGAATATGTATGATTGCCAAAGAGACCACTATTATGTATGATTGCCAATGAGACCACTATTATGTATGATTGCCAATGAGACCACTATTATGTATGATTGCCAATGAGACCACTATTATGTATGATTGCCAATGAGACCACTATTATGTATGATTGCCAATGAGACCACCATTATGTATGATTGTTAATGAGACCACTATTATGTATGATTGCCAATGAGACCACTAGTCACATGACACCAAATGATGTGGATGTAGACAACTATAGGTCACTGTATGATCTTCAACTATAATCAGTTTTATGTCCCATTTCATTTCTCAGACAATGAGTAAATTACTTTAAAACATCCTGTAAGAATGCAACTATGAAGTAAAACAGTGTCATTCTAGTTACAAGTTCCTTCTTGTGTCAAATATAGAAAACTGTTCACAGCCATTGGGGAACAGAGTTACCGAAAACCAAAAGTTAAATGGAAAATTCTAATATATTTGTAGATGTAACCTACAATCACACAACTTAGTGTTAGGATGCATCTAGGAGAGTTTAATACAGGTTGAAGTGATTGTTGTATCTGTTTTTTTGTTTATTCGTTTGTTCATTCACATTTTATCGAGAGCATTTTGAATATAAAGCAGCTGTGCCAAGAGAACATGATACGCCCTAAAATATCAATATTGAAAATGTTGCAAAAAAAATTTAAGGCATTTAGAAGGCATTTAATCAGGAGCAAATAAAATGGATCTGTAGAAAACCTGCATGAGGATACCCTAAGGCATTTAAATATTTTGTCAAATATGACTGTTTAAAGTCTTAATAATTCTGGAATGACAAATCAGAATATTTTCAAATTCTAAAGCAAGTCAACATTTTCCAATCCAAACAACATTGTTTAGTTTGTAGTAATTTGATCCAAGCATACTAGAGCTAAAAAACAACATTTAATAAAATGCTCTGCTGGGCGCAGCTTGATACGACCGCAGAGGTCGAACCCTGAACAGTTGGGGCAAGTATGGACACAACATTCAAGCTTGATACAGCACTGAATTTGGATTGTAGTTAAATATTTGACACAGCATAGGTTTCTGACACAGAATGAAAGTGGTCTAAGAACTTAAAAAATTTTAATTTACCTATTCAAACCATATCATTATTATTTGCTTTTATATATAAATCAGAAATAACCAATTTAAAATGGAAAATTTTAAAGAAAAAAAAGGAAAAAAAAATCCCCCCCCAAATTTTTTGAACCCCCTTATGATTCATCACCCCAAAACTCAATCCCAGCTTTCCCTTTATGGTATGGTACCTTGCAGTACAATTTCAGAGAGATCCATACACTTGAACACAAGTTATTGTCTGGAAACTAGAAAAATGCTTGTTTTTTGGCCCAAAATTCCTAAACGTTTAGGGCAATTACCCCCAAACTCAAACCCAGCTTTCCCTTTGTGATATGGAACCTTGCAGTACAATTTCATAAAGATCCATACACTTACACACAAGTTATTGTCCTGAAACTAGAAAAATGCTTGTTTTTTTCCCCTTTTTGGCCCCTAATTCCTAAAATTTTGAGGCAATTACCCCCAAAATCAATCCCAGCCTTCCTTTTGTGGTAAAGTACCTTGCAGTACAATTTCAGAGAGATCCATACACTTGAACACAAGTTATTGTCTGGAAACTAGAAAAATGTTTATTTTTGGCCCCTTATTCCTAAATGTTTTGGGCAATTACCCCCAAACTCAATCCCAACATTCCCTTTGTGATATGGAACCTTGTAGTACAATGTCAGAGAGATCCATACACTAACACATAAGTTATGTCTGGAAGTTACAAAAATGCTTATTTTTGGCCCCTAATTCCTTAACTGTTGGTACCATAACCCCCAAAATCAATCCCAACCTTCCTTTTGTGGTATTGAACCTTATGGTAATATTTCATAGAGATCCATTCACTTAAACTAAAGTTAGAGTGCGAAAACCAATGTGTCTTCGGACGACGCCAACGTCATACCAATATACGACCGCAAATTTTTTTGTGATCGTATAAAAAATGTCTTTTATATATCTGATGGTCAAAGTCCCATAACTCTGGAATGACATATCAGATTTTTTTTTTAATTGAAGGGTTTATGTTCAAGAATTCTAACAATTATGTAAAGTTTCCAGTTTTATCAATCCAAGCAAACTCAAGTTATGGTAAAATATGTTCAAAATATACTTAAATCTGACTATTAAAGTCCTGTAACTCTGGAAGGACAAACCAGGAATATAAAAAAATTACAAAAGGTAGCTTCCTTATATCAATCCAAACAATAATGTAAAGTTTTAAGGATATCAATCCAGGCATACTGGAGTTAAAGCGCAACATGTGAAAATTGCTGTAATTCAAAGCGATTAAAGTCCTGTAACTCAGATATGACAAAGGGAAATATTTTCAAAATCGAAAAGGGAGCTTTCTTCCATGAATCCTAATGTTGTGTTAAAATTATATGTTTAAGCAAGTTTGAGTTATTGTATGAAGTGTTGATGAATAGATGGAAAGACGGATGGACGGTCATTGGTATACCATAATACATTCCATCTTTAATGGGCGTTTAAAATGTGACTGCTGTTGAAAACTAAATTGCTGAGGTGAAACTCCAAGAAATCTAATGTTAAGACATCTGAGCAATTTCAATTTCAACAAATTACATATTTTAGCTTTTGATATTTTGCATAAACAGACGAGTCATTATTCAACCCATCAATGTGTATGGAAAACAACAGGATGAAATCAAATTCAATGAAAAACAACATTTTCATTCTACATTATTTTTACTAGATATAGATATAGTTTATGCAATCAGATACAACTAGACTACAAATGTTTAGATAGGTACTACAAAGTATAATTTTGTTTCAACTTAAATAAATTTATTCAAATAAATACACCATAAAAACTTCCCTGTTATTATGTTTAATTATTGCCTCTATTTTCATTTCATATCCATTTAGATTGAAAATTGTAATGACAATGAAATGTAGTTTTCATTGTAATTTCCTTATCTATGGGAAAACAAATTATGGATTGCTTCTGACTGATTTCTGAAATTTTCACAAAAACATACTTCAGCTAGTAGATTTGAGTAATTTAATTGATAAAGATATAGCTAGGAATTTAAAATAGTAGCCCTTTCTTTCAAGAAAAATATTTTTTATTTCTTTTAGTCACTGTTTTCTAACAACTTAGGTTCTTAACATTTTTTTGAATAGGCCAAAATTCATCAAGTCAAAATTCAAAGTATTCATAAATTAGAATATGCCAATAAAATCCATGTTAACATACAGTTCTCATCCATACTACACACTTTCTATAATTCAAAATGTTAAAAAATATCACTTTCCAAATTAGACATTTTACGAAAAAATTTCAAAACATTTTTTATGATCATCTGAATCTAAATAAACTGCTTCGCCGATTGCAGCTGTAAACGACTGCAGAGGTCCAACCATGAACAGTTGGGGCAAAAATGGACACAATATTCAAGATTGATACAGGTCTGAATTTGGATTATAATTAAATATTTGACACATTATAGGTTTCTGACACAGAATAAATGTAGTCAAAGAACTTGAAATTGGTTATATGATTTGAATTTATATTCAATTGAAGATTTCTTGCTGTTGTGCAATACACTGTGCTGTTGCGCAATACTTAGTAAATCTGTTTTCAGACTATATACAAAGAATTAGCAAATTAAATTGTGACTCCCAATTTTTCTTTCAAAAATTGACAATTTCTTAAATCTTAAGGAAAAAAAAATTGCCCCCCTCCTTTTGTGGTATTGAACCTTTTGGTTAAATTTCATAGAGATCGATACACTTAATCTAAAGTTATTGTCCGGAAACCAAATGACTTCGGACGACGACGCCGACGTGATAGCAATAAACGACCTTTTATAGATCAAATAACAATACATGATATTGGAAACAAACATAACAAACAAAATCACAAAAGAACAGTTCTTTTTTGCTTCTTCATAAGCAACAATGACAAAAGTACCAGCACTAATTGTTCTGAGGTATCACAGATTTTATAGATTTAAATATGCTTATAAATTTAATTATCATTTCTATATATAAATCAATTTTGACATTTTCACCTTTTAAATACCATAATATTCAAAATAGACATTGTTTCAATTTCTTATATTCTTTAAAATGACTATCTAATAAGATCAAAAAAAAAAAAAAAAAAAAAAAACATGAACAAGAAACTCTGATATAGAGTTATGTCCCTTTTAAATATTTCTTACTGAGATTTTTTTGGCTTTGCCAAGAAATTCAGGTCTTGGTTGGTGGCATATCTACTTCTTTAAATAAATTTGAATGACCATGTTCAACAAAAACAATAAAATCTAGTTTTCTAACTGTTTACACAATGTTCTGATTTCATTGACCATCTAAGAAATAGAACTAATATAGAAATGTAAGCATCAGGTGAGAAATTATTTTCATCCCCAATCATTCTTTTACAAACTATTATATTTACTGTAGTATGAAAAATAAAGTAACTAATTATCTTTTGATTTTTAAAACCCATGATGGTAAAACACTTATATAGTGATTATCCTGTGATTTTCTTTGAAAAACAGATGTGCAAATATTTCATACAAAGTTACGTACATATATAAATAGTACAAAAGTTTATCATCTATTTTTGCAGAAATACTTCATTTCAAACATGCAATAAGTACAGTGAATTCAGCACCTGATATCATCTGAGTGTAGAACCACCACAAAGACCAATGATATACTGTAAATTCATTTCATTTATTTTTACGATTTTTGAAGAATGGACAAAGATGCAAGATTAATTATTGCGATTTCAGGAAAATCTGCATACAGGTATATGTGTCAGATATCAAAATGTTCTTATTATTGTTCCTACTCGCCCAGTCGCAATATTCGCATTAATAAAAACCTTGCCATAATTTCTGAATTTACAGTATATCCTATAGTAGTTACTTTTCCTACAAACCTACTTTATTTACATAACTTAAAATTTTGTCTAGTGTATTTTAATGGATTTGATATTACCAGTAATCTCCAGATATGAGTTTGAACCTGTCTAAGATCCATTGTTTGCTCTTTTTTGTATACATTTTGTTCTTTTTTAGTACATATTTATCATTGGTTATGTTAGTAATTCAAATCATCTCAGAATTCAGCAATGTTGCTGATTTAATTCATCAATTTTTCCCATTGACAACAAATGTTCAAAGGTAAAAAAAAAAATTTTAAATGTAATATTTTAGTTACCAAATTCTGCAACGCTGTTGAAGTTTGACATTTCCAAAACTGGTTATAAAATATCCATAAGTTTTTTATTTAAAAAGAGAATATTTATCATTTAGGTTTCATGTACTGAAAATATTTTTTTTATTTATCTTTGCAATAATGGGACCAATGCTAGTGTTTTTTCAATATCAGATGTCTACACCCAACTCAGGTTCATGAAACAATTATTTACATTTTAATACTGATATAAACTTCTATTAAATGATGATACTGTAAAAATGAAGGTATGAAATGATATTGTAAAATTCAGTGAAATAGTACAGGATCTACATGACTGCTTTGTTCAGTATTTTTAAATGGGTTAACTTTCCTAAGGGGGAAAACATTGCAGGGATTGCATTTGTGTGGCCTTAAAAAATTACATTGAAGAAAATCAAATATACATAAATAAATATTTTTTTTTTTTAACTATTATACTTGTTCTTATTACCTTAAGCTTAAGAGCTTTACAACTCACCAGGTACATAAAGTAATATTTGTAATAAACATGCAGACAGAGAATGTTAATTAATTTTAAAAGCAAAAACAATAAATTTTCTTAATAAAGAGCTGCGCCATGAGCGCATGATACGCCCGTCCCTTTAACAAGAATAAAGTTCCATTACTCCTCAATGTCATATAAAAAATTTATAAAAAACTAAAGGGAGGTTATTTTAATAGATATAAACCAGTCACCAAAGTTTCATGAAAACTGCTCAAAGAACTTTTGAGTTATTGTCTGAGAACTGGAAAATCCCCCTTTTTTAATGAATAAAACCCCACAACTTGGAAACGTAAAATCCAAAATTTATAAAAATTGAAAGGGAGCTCACGACAATAGTTATTAACAATTCACTAAAGTTTCATGAAAACTGCTCAAAGCATTTTTGAGTTATTGTCCAAAATGTTGATGACGGACGGACGGACAGTGGTATACCATAATACGTCCCGTAAACGGGCGTATAAAAAGTCAAATCATACATAGACTTTACTACTGTATCAATTTCAACACACTCTGCTTATGCCAATAATATTGTTTGATAAATTTTACAAGTTTCTATTTGCAGGGCACACAAGATTGAAATGGAACTTGTCCTCAATACATTTACAGAAATATTAGGCACTTTCTAACATTATCCTGTGTCTATTCAAAATACAAATATGTGGTCATCAATTATTTTGAAAACTTTCAATTTTGCAAGTTTAGTCTGTAAATTTTGATATAAATAGGAAAATAATTAAAGGAAATAAGTTACAATAATAATTTAACAATCATAGAAAGAAACAATCATAAACACATTTATACAATAATTGATATAAAAAATATTAAAATAAAAAAGCATAAAAACCATAAAGAGATCAATGATTATGGAAATGATGCCTTGTTACTGACCATACACACAGTTGTAGAGGAATGATGTCATGTAAGTCAATTATTTATTATTACGTGAAAAATTCTTGATAATTTGTAACACAAATTACTTTTGGAAATGTATATGGTCAGCCTATCAGCATTTATTTCTAATGACTGTAGTACTAAAGTGTATATGGAGGACTACTAAACTGTACAATGGAGGGCTACTGTCTAATCACATCATGAAGGGACATAAAAAAAAACTTATAAAACAAGTCTAAGAACACGCAGAATTAAAGCAAATATGAAAGTATTTATAAAGCTAAAGAGCAAGTCTAAGATAAAGCAGAACCAAAGCCAATATCTAGTCTTTGATAGAAAGTATTTATACAGCAAAGTATTAAGTCTCAGAATAAAAGCTACTTTCTACAGTATATGATATGACGGAATAATGTTTTATATATAATTATAAGCCTGGTATCTTTTGATGAGTTTTAATACTAAAATCAAAATAATCAAACATAACAGTCCTGAAAAATCTTTCGAAATTCATTTTGTTTACCTAAGTATTTTCATAAGATAAACACTTACAAAAGTTATTTTTCAGATATTTTGATTGTTTTAGTACTAAATTGGTTCAGCACTGAACTCTTGATTTTAAGATAAAGAAAACATTGTGTTTCTGATCAGTATTTATATACTGAGAGCAGAATTGCAGTGTTCCTATACCATTATGTTATTTTCTAATGTTTTTACTTCCTGTTATTCTTTGATATATAACATACTTCACCAAATATTCATGATTATTAAACTCATTTGAGACATTGTGATATGAAAGTTTTGTATCACTGAATTTAATTGGAGAACAATAACACACCTTTTTTTAATATTCAATGGGCATAATTTATCTATTAAAAAATTTGAACTACAATTCAGTTATCTATATAGAAAAGCAGATTAATACAATGGACCAATTCAGAAAGTCAACTTAAAGGATTTTTGTCAATGACTTTTTGTCAAATTAGAAACGATATAATCATTTTCTAAACTGGCTCATAATCATTGCACCTTTTAAGTGAAATTTAACTGCATAAATTTAGAATGCAAAAACTAAGAACATTTAAAAGAATTGCAAAACTAGTGAACAACACATAAAAAAAACTAACAAAGTAAAATACCTCTAAATAAAAGATATTGATATATATAATGTTACACTTACGACTTTTTGTTTGTGACAAAATCAATGAGAATCTATCTATTAACTTATTGTGAACCTCTAGATTGTTAACATGGTAATTTATTGTCATTAAGTAATCTAGTCAACATATATGTCATCATAATGATCAACTCATATGTACTAAAAAGGTAACTTGAACATGGTTCATGCAGAAGGAAAATTTGAAAAAATCTTATTTTACAAGTTACCATGGCAACAAACCATGAGGAAATGTCAAAACGGCCTTAAGTCCTTTCAATAAATTCAGTGGTTTAAAGTAAAAGTTCACAAGAAAGAACAAGTAAAAACTATATAAGTGAGTGATGGATAAATACATGTGACAAATAGCAAGTGATGGCAATAGCACACATATCCATTTGGGTGATGGGAGGTAAAAGGAATGCATGGAAGCACAAAATACTTAAAACAACCAAAAACAAAACCCTGGGACTTGGTTGTATGCTAAGTAAAAAAAATATAGCATGTTCTTAAAAAAGGCACACTATTTGTAAGACAATTACAACAGCAAGTATAAACAATTACATGATATATGTTTCACATGAATATTCATTATGTATATTTCTTTATTAGACTGTAATAAATTAAGGTATACGCTCATTATAATGGAACAAATGACTCCTACAAAATTAGGCATTATACAATATTTTTACAAAAAATTACAAAATTTAACTATCACTGATGAGCTTGTTTGATAAAAATGACAAATCTACTATATCACACACAAATAATCTAGAAAGCCAAACATATAATAAAAATTGTGACTTTTGTTGTTTTCAAACTTTTTGTTTACACTACAAATGGTTTTAATATGGCAATAAGTTGGGTTTTTTTTAAAATAATATGGCACAATTGTCCCCAAGTTCATTGTATTAGAAAAGTACTAAAGCTAGACCCAGTATTGTAGTATTATAATAATTTTACTGCTATCAGACTTGAGAAATTTTTAATATTGAATACTCTTTCTTCAGTCTATCAGTTTTTTTTTAAGCCTACAGTATTTCATCAGAACTTATTTAACGAAGATAAATGTACATAACATAAAGATATACAATAACACATATAATAAACAAATTTCTACTCATACAATAGTAAGAATTGATAATGACATAACTGACAGTAATAACTAGAATTCATAAAGTATGCACTCAAGCCTTCGGTATATATAGGACACTTTACATTGGTAAAATCTATTACAATTTGTATGCTTGTGTTGAAATTATATTATTTATCATTTATGATTGGACAACTTTGGTAGACATTGTTTTAAGACATAAAAACAGTAAAAATGTTTTAAACTGTTTATATGTGAAGAAATTATGCGTTGTAGAAATGTAGAATTATTATGCAGAAAAATGCATATTTAAAATCTTCTTAAAAAATAATGATTCTGAAATTGCACAATTATAACAGAAATTATTTTTTGAAGGAGTAGAAATATTTATCATTGAGTTTCTCTTCAACTCCTTTGACCAAGTGTTTCAAAAATCATTGAAATCTACAAAACTAGCTGTCTATAACAGCAGATGTAATGGCAAGTTATAGAATTATGTCCCTTTGTATACCAGTGGACAAACTTACATTCAATCTGTCTGGTGATACATTTTGACAAGTTCTAATAAATAAGTGATCTGATTAAAAGCATATTCATTATTTTAAATTGTGATGCATATAAACAGACCTAAAGGGTTGCTAGTAAACTCTTTCAAAATGAAGAAGATTTTTGTGACCACAAAAGAAAAATTAAGTGCAAATTAAATCAATTTGTTTTAATTTCAATGAAGAGAATAACATATGAACATTTACCATTTTACAGATGACTCATGAGTGAAAATCATATCATTTCCTCTTAATCTTATTCAAGTAAAAATAAATAATTAAAAATGTTATCACTTTTTTTTCAAATTTACTGAGTCAAAAGTCTTTATGATAAATATTTATAATGGTTGATGAAGTACATGATACCAATACCCTGTAAGGTTAATTTGGAAAACGATACTGAATTTCATTTATCAACTGTAAAATATTACATTCTTATGTCATTCTATCAACTAAGATAAAACTATGTTCAATCTAATTTTGCATAACCATTGGTAAGGCCATTAGAATGACTGTTCCTACTGCCATTAGATATATTCACACCATCTTTCTTTGCTTTATCCATCTGTCTCTGATTATAGGATTTCATGTAGAAATTACCAAATAATATTAACATAGAAATCATGTAACAAGTCAACATATACTCTCCAATCTTTGGAAAATCACAACGTGTAAAAGCACTCTGTAATGTGTGTAATAGAATAAGCGTGAACTGTGTCTGAAATAGATAAACAGAACAAACATGTTATTGGTTCCAAAAAATTAGGGTGAAGGTTGGTAGTGGAATAGTCTACAGCTTTATTGCTTCATGTACAGGTCAGTCAACAGTTTCAATAAAATTACAGCCCGACAGAATGATTTCAATAATAATTGTTCATTAAAGGTTGCTAAGTGAAATTTCACATTCTTTATGTGCCTTTCCTATGTCCGGAGCCTGTAGTTCAGTGGTTGTCGTTGGTTCATGTCTGTCTTATTTGTTTTTCGTAAGTATTAGATGTAGGCATTTCATATCTGAGGGCTGTCAGCCCCGAAGATATGAGGCAACTACGTCTGATTTACACAAAATAAATAATTATTTTATCATTTCTATTGTTCTAAAAAGAGCAATTAGTTTTGATAAAGCAGGAAAAGTGACATGATTTAAAATTTTCCAGACTTTTTGTAGTTATGGATTTGGAATAAAATCTATTTGCGTTTATTTTTCTGTCAAATTGATACTTTATCATAGCTTTTGTGTGGCAATATGAATCGCTTTACTATCTTGTCTTTTTCTGGTTTAATTGCCAAAACCTGTATTTTTTGCTGATAAATGATCACACTTCTATGTAAATTGTTTTGTTATAATTAGGCCTTTAGTTTTTTCGTTTAAAACTATATCGGGTCTTTTATAGCAGACTATACAGTATGGGTTTTTCTCATTGTTGAAGGCTGTAATTGCCTATAATTGCTTACATCCACTTCATTTGAACTCTGGTGGATAGTAGTCTCATTGGCAATCATACCACATCTTCTTATTTTTATATTACACTGATGATAGGTTTCATTAAAGGTTGCTAAGTGTACATAGACTCACAGTAAGGTTTCATTAGAAATCATTAATTGAAAGTCTGATAGTAAAGGTGCAATAGAGGTTGTTAACTGAACAGTACAGTTTCATTAAACGATATGAGAGCAAAAACGGACTGTTACTTATATGCATGTCATTTGGACTCTGGTGGATAGTTGTCTCATTGGCAATCATTCCATGTCGTATTTTCATACTGATGGTAGTTTCATAAAAGATTGTGTGCTTATAGACTGACAGTGCAGTTTCATTAAAGGCTGTATGTGTACTCAAAGACTGAGGTTTTGTTTTCACTGTATGCCAGAACTGTAATTACAGACAAAAGGTAGTTTCATTTAAGGTCATATGAGCAATAACCAACTAATGGTATGTTGTAGTATACTTACAAACAAGCAGTACATTTTCATTTAGGGTCATAAGATTAATTACAGATTGATATGGTTTCAAGGAGCATCAAAAGTGCAATAATTGATTACAGTAGGGTTTCGGTAAAAGTTTTAAGTGGAACTACCAACTAACAGTATGGTTTCATTAAAGTTAATTAGTGCAATTCTTAACAGGATTTTTTTTTAAACATATTGTTTGATTCTTGATTTCTTATAAAAAATATTAACTTTTCAGAAAGGAAGTGAAAAACAATTATTTTTTCCGTTTAAAATTGAAAAAAACAAAAAAAACATCGAGTTTAAAAAAAAAATCTTGTTACTATAAATAAGAAGATGTGGTATGAGTGCCAATGAGACAACTATCCATCCAAGTCACAATGTGTAAAAAGTAAACAATTATAGGTCAAAGTACAGCCTTCAACACGGAGCCTTGGCTCATACCAAACAGCAAGGGCCCCAAAAAGACTAGTGTAAACTGTATGTTAGTGTTTAACAGATTGTGACACTATAATAAACTATTTACTCACTTACTTCTGTTATTGAAAAAAATATTTTGTTTGTGAATAAAGTCAAAAAGAAATGTTTGTCCCAAGAAAAGAAAAAACCTTCACAAGAGATAAATAGTTGGTTCTGAAGGATACATCAACAAAAATTCATAAAGTTATATGTAGAGAAAACAAAATTAAAGTATTATCAAAATAAAATATGTGGATTTTGTCAGCAAAGCTGATCATAAATGTGAACTGTAGGCATTTGAAATAAAAAGAAAATTTTAATATGTAAAACTCACTAGCTGAAATTTAGTAATATACTTTTTCCACCATAATTTTGACCGCATGGAAGGAATAGCTGCTAAAGCATAATAAGCATACATGACTACATGTACTGAACAATTCATACTGCTTGACATCCATGCTGAAAAGAGGAGAAAATGTCACAATTATTAAAAATGTTTTGACATTCTACATTGTGTCCTACTGTGGATGCAAGCATATAATATAACAGATGAAAAAAATTCTCTAAAATTAAAAACTGGAGGCTCTAAAGAGCCTGTGTCTCTCACCTAGGTCTACGTGCATTTATAACAATGGACACTCTCCAACATTTTGGCAAGAATAGAATTCATGACAAAAATCTCTTTTTTGTTGATCTTGTATTGCTGATAAATTTTTGCTTGTAAACAGTTTCTCTCTATCTTTTTTAGTATTTGCCCAAAACACAGAAAAGGGTCATATGAAACAAGTTTCTTGTCATTTTAATGTTATTGAAATTATTGAACCAATGCATGCATATATACTTAACTAAGTCCTGTATGCACCTTTTTATACATTTATTACATAAAGTTGAGAATGGAAATGGGGAATTTGTCACGACAAATAATATTTCATTCAGTGATTCTTGATCCCAAGCCAATTAACTTTCGAGTTTGTTGCAGAAGTTTACTTGATCGTGACAATGATAAACAATTAACATAGATCACACGGAGTTGTGAACAATAGCGAAATTAATAGAGCCATGATATTTTTTTTAATTTTCCATGCATTCCCATTTTTTTAATTAATTAGACAATATACGTATAGTGTCTTGAAATATGAAATTTATTTGTACGAGGCTGAGAAACTGGGGGAAATGCGAGGTTCTACCGAGCATTTCCCACTGTTTCGTGCCGAATACAAATAAATTTCATATTTCAAGACACTATACGTATATTGTCTTTATACTGAAATCGATAAAAAATATCAAAAATAAAATACGTAACAAATAAATTGTTAAAAAGAAAAAAAAAGTGTTCAGAATTTCCCTTTTGGGGTACCATTGTTGGGTATTTCCCTTTATAGCGTAGTAATTCATAAAGTCCAGGCGATAAGACATTGATATTTTTAGGAAATAGAAAGAGAAAATGAACTAGATTAATAACAGAGTGACATTTAATAAATATGGTATGTAAATCAACAATTTGAAGACATAAAGAGTTTGAATTTATAAAAGTTTGACAAATGTTACTACACGTTGTGATCTAACGGAATTTGGCGCGCGGCCATTACTGTTGAGGCGGTTTGTCCATGTAAACATTGAGGGAGTTGATGTGGAGAGTAGCGCCATAAAACATGGAATTGATACGGCTGGACATATTGGTTTGCGAGCTAATGGAAGGTGCCATCATATCAAGGTTGTTTTGTTGGTTGACAGGTTGAGACAAAGATGAGAGGACTGTTGAAGCTGTTGTGCACGGTAAGTTTGGCCCGGTGGAAGTGTGACAAGTTTCCTCGCTGCTTGTATTACTTAACAAATTTGAAATTTTTCTCTGTTTGTTTTCTGAAATTGAACTGTAACTGTTTATGGAATTAACATTTTTGTGACCCGAAATTTGCATAATGTCCGTGTCAGGAATTTCATTTGATCTTAGTTTCTGAACAAGATACTTTCGGGCACTGTGGTTTGTTAAACGCTTGTTTTCATCTAACCCTCCTTCAATCTTCATGGTTTTAACTATTGAACCCATTTTTCTCTCTCCTATTTTCTGTCGAAGAAACCATATTTGGGAACGTGTGTCGGCCAATGAAATTGTGCGTGGCGCCAAGTAGAATGGGTCCTCTGCATCACTGAAATTTTGTGGCCTCTTTGATTTATATACTTCATAGTACTTTATTGGATCATGATCCCCTTTTGTTTCATATATTTTAGGCGACACTTCTCTAACGTCTGCAACATTTGCCCCTGTTCGAGTTTTTGTCTGCCTTTCATTTAATTCTAGGTATTTTGTGCCATCAGATGCCGTGTTTAAAGTTAAATCTCCCCAACTGAAAAAAAAACAACATCGTTATCATATTTTTCACAATTTGAGAATAATAGTTTGATTTATTTATTTATTCACGAGTTACACCAGTGGACTTGGTCAATCGCAGTTAACAATGTCATGATATCAGACAATCCGTTCTTACTTTGCGGTAGATTGCCAATGAGACAACGATCAAACAGAGACCAAATTATGTGTATGAAAGCCTTCTACAATGTATAAAAATCTATAAAAGGCCAAAATGTCATATTTGGACGAGAAAACCAAATGTTTTATTTAAATGTAGACTTTATTTCATGTTTGTTGTGTATGTATTCTTACATGTATGCATTATACTCCCTTCACCTTAATTAAGTGACTAGTCTCATTTTTGTATTTATTTTATTTTCAGAGATTCTGATTTGCTAGCTGCAAGAATTTGAACACCATACCATTCACTAACTAAGGAGTAGTTATGTATACATGTCTGAATTTGATTCATATTTGTGAGTGATGAAGTATTGTGCTAGAATTATTTATAGAATTAAAAACTCCAAGCTGTGACAAAAACTTTTTCTACTATGATGCAAAATTTCACTCGCAGTAGTTTATTACAGATGAAAGATGTGTCACAAATATAGAGAATTGTACAGAATGAGACGCTATTAAGTTTATTCATCAAGTGGATTTATATGCATGTATTATTCAGTGAAACAAAAGCGACCACCAGATGCAGTTTGTACACTAAATATGGACTTCGTAACTGTTCGCCACAAAACATGTATAACTATGCGGTCTGAAAGTGGCCTTAACCACCATCAATCAATCAACATATAGATGCATTTTATGTACAATGTATGTACATTGTTTATTCACCTGAAGTTAGAAAATTTGATTACACTCGAGCAAATGTGCAGTAAAAATGATCCGTGTGTTTTCTAAATATTTTATAAAAATAAAATGTGATTTATTCCTGTGAATATTTCAGCTTTTTTATGCTTGTTTAAAAGAAACGATGTGATGTGATATGATTGCCAATGAAACAACTGTATAGACGAGATCTAGGAGAAAATGGTGTGTGATTTATGACATACATGTATGTCATATCGCTTTAATATTGTTCTTTTTTTTATGTAAGTTTTTTGAAATTCTCTGATATTTTATTTTTGATATATTTTATTGATTTCAGTATAAAGACAATATACATATAGTGTCTTGAAATATGAAATTTATTTGTAATCGGCACGAAACAGGGGGAAATGCTCGGTAGAACCTCGCATTTCCCCCAGTTTCTTAGCCTCATACAAATAAATTTCATATTTCAAGACACTATACGTATATTGTCTTAATTATTCCTGTGATTATTTCAGCTTTTTTTATGCTTGTTTAAAAGAAACGATGTGATGTGATATGATTGCCAATGAAACAACTGTATAGACGAGATCTAGGAGATAATGGTGTGTGATTTATGACGTACATGTATGTCATATCGCTTTAATATTGTTCTTTTTTTTATGTTAGTTTTTTGAAATTCTCTGATATCAATTTTTTATTGCATTTAACAATACCTGTCTCGGAACTTAAATATTATTTCATATAAAAACATACCGAAGTGAGTAATGTTCTGAGACGCCTCTTAGTCCAAATTGAACACAATTGTTCAGCCATACTGTGTTGAGGAGGGCTTTTGGAGAATTGTCACCAAGAATGTTCTTGTCAAATAGCATGCTGATCTCCTCATCTGTTAATGGCTGGGCCCTTTTAGGTTTGTTGCCCTTGCCTTTTTGTTTTAATAGTTTTTGCTTTGCCTTTAATGTTTCTCTAGTAAGGTGGAAACTCTCATCATTGTCATCTCCCATGATAGAGTGACCATATTTGTGACGCCTGAGTTTTCTCTCGACACTACTTATGAAGCCACGGATAGTCGACGGTTCATACTCTTGGCCATCTTTTTTTCGTACAGTAAGAACAAAGTTAGAAAGAAGAGAGTCAAGCTCAGCAACTGGTATTGTTTGTATTTCTCTAGTTTCATTTTTCTTTCCAAGAAACCTGGTAACCAATGCTAGGTCATAAAATGATTTCTTTGCAGTGTTTTTGTTTTGTTGCTTATCAAGAAAGTTTTGTACACCAGTTTCATCAAGATGTAAAAAATCTTCGTCAAACTGTTTATCTTCAAGTTCCATGTTTTCATGTGTTGTGTTTGGAACAGTTGGAACAGCTGCAATACATGTATTTGCAGTGTCAGTGGTGTGTGTATCACTATCAAGGGAGTATTCAAGACCTATTTCAGTACTTCCTTGATCAGCCAGCATATCTATTTGGATGAGGACATTTTCTAGATCTTCATCAATATTTTAAGATACATCTTGTTCATCTTCTAACATATTTAATGGAGACCACAGGAGATTGAAGTTTGCAACTTCGTCTGACATTTTTCTGGAAATTTTAGCAGACGAAGTTTGGGGGGAGGGTTTATGGCATTGGAATATGTTGGCTTTTCAAGAATCAATTGAAAATGTCAAAAATTATAAAAAACAAATATATAATTGGTTCAAGAAAACAAAACTATCGAATCTATTATTATTTTTATTATTAACACTGACCGTTGATCGACAGTTTAACGATTGTTGACACAATTGCCATGGAAGTGACGTGACATTGTTGAAATAAAGTAGTTCCGGTAAGTAGGCGTGGCTAATAGGTCAGTCGAGGTCATTGACGTATAAAGCTTACGTTTATACGTATAGCTTTATCTGTATAGTAAAATAGCTGATTGCAGTATAAACTTCCTTAACAGTTGTTGAATGTTTTGGTGTATTTAATCTGTGTCTAAATAATGAGTTATTACTATATATCTTCCAGTGCACATTTGTTCACATTCTTTCATCACAATTTTCCCCTTGCACTTGCACTGAATGATGGCTGAAGTTCTAACGAGAGGTCTAATGCATACAGGAAAATATCGGCAAATTAGAGTACGGGAAGACAATAATTCAATAGTTGTAACTTATGCAGAGTATAAGTAATGTTTATACAGGAGGAGTGGTTTCTTCCGTGAGATGGGACAGTCAAAGGTCAATGCATACAGGAAAATATCGGCAAATAAGATTACAGGAAGACAATAATTCAAAAGCAGTACATTTATGAAGATTTTGATAATAGGAAGGATTTTCTTTGACAAGAAAGTTCATGTACACTTGTTATATAGTAATATAAAAAACATTCATTTTTTAAAATTTATATGACTTTAAGGACAATCACTCCTTTAAAGAGTCTACTAACGATTTCTCAAAAATTATACTTATTTGTAGATCTTGTCATGCTGATTATATTTTCTATTTAAAGTGTTTATCTATGAGATATGGACAATAGGTAGAGCTCAACATACTGAAAAATTTCTGCCCTTGTCAGATTTTCTTCAAAGCAGTAGACGAATTTGAATTTTACCCCTATTTTTAGCTATGTCGTCCATGATCGTTTGGCAGGCAAGGTCATTGGACACATTTTTGAAACTTGATACCCCAATGATGATTGTAGCCAAGTTTGGTTAAATTCGGCATAGTAGTTTCAGGAAAGAAGATTTTGGCAAAAGTAAACGGATGATGGATGCCAAGTGATAAGAAAAGCTAAAAAAAGTGTTAAAAAATAGTCCAGTTTATAGTATGTCCTGTAGCAGAATTATGTTTTAATAATCTTACATGGAAGCAAAAGTATTTTATGTAACTGCATATACTGGATTTGGGTTACAAATTTTCATTTCAGAGGAATGGTAAAATTCTGATTTACATTAAAAAGCATGTTTCGATTTTTTCTATCAAATATACTAGATAATTCTGTGTTATGTAGAGAGAAGTGCTATGAGTACTTACACTGTCCTCCAGGCATATATGTCATAACTATCCACCAGACCATCAATATAGAACTATGATGATATACATGTAGATAGGTTATCTGGTTGTCCTTCTTTCTCAGGATCATTAAAAATGTATCCATAAACTCCAAAATTTTAGACAGGAAATATATGTATAGGACATTGGCCAACTAGAAAAAAACAACGTTATTTAATGTCAACACACGTTTATCAGTTAACATAACTGAATTGTGGATTATTTAGCACAACAAAGAAAAAAGTGGAAATGGCTAATAGCTTCATTACTGTAAGCAAATTAATACACGTAATATAAAATTCCAATGGACAATGCAGAGTTGACAATTGCAGAAATCTGGTAAAAAAGCAGCATAGATTCATTGCTATTATATACATGCTAAAAATCTAGGGGAAAACAATTAACTCCTTCAATAATGGACACACACAAAAATTTGATCGACGACTTAAATGGCTGGGTTGCACAGATTGTTTCTTAAACAATGGAGAAGGGTCTATACTGAAAATTTAAATATATGGAAATATAAAGAGAGAAAATGAGAAATCTTTAAACAACTCCATCAGCACAGCCTTAATGGGTTTTCAAACTCTCTTTGCAGTTCCAAAGATCTGGTTTAAAAACAATAATTGTTACATATACCATCTTTGAAATCATTAGCAGAAAAACCACTAAGTTACCATGTCTGGAAAAAAGGGGAAAAATAAAACAATTCCATAAGGTGTCCTATAATTGCTTATATCCACTTATCAGAAATCTGGTTGATAGTTCTCTCATTGGCAATCACACCACATCTCCTCATTTTTATATAGAACAATATTAAGACTACAAACCCTCATTTCTTTAGGATCTTTGTAAGCTTCTGAATGCTTGTATTTAGCACAGAATGGATTACTTGTACTAAAATATCCTATTAGGTATGAACTGTACAATATCTGTAAAAGAATTTATTTCATTCAGTGAAAAGTAGTAGTGAAAAAAAAAACAAATCCAGGAAGTAAATAACAGTATGTGTAATAGTGACCAAAACAAAATCTGTGAACACCATTTGAAGATGCAAGCTAAATATTACATAAGATGCCTTGAATTTGCAATTATTTTCTGAATATCTTGTTTCCAACAAATTCAACAGTAATTTTGTTTACTTGAAAAACTATAGTTTGTTGGTGATTTATTATTTACTTTACATATCCATTGCACTAACTTTAATCCAAAGAAATCTAAAAGCATTTGAAAATTGAAATCCCAAATTCTTCAAGTGCTTAATATTCCAGAATTATAACTTGGAATGAAATGACAAAATTATTTTGAAAGATATTAATACACTGAATATTTCAGAATAACAACGGAAACAAAAAACACATAACACATTACATGGATAAATTTGTAACATTTACAGAAAATTTACAATGGTTATTTAGAATCAAAGGACAACCCCATCATCTCCTGACTGTCTAGATTAATAAATAATCTGCAATACAATAAATTAGCAGTTTTTTCCTCCTCAGAAATTTTTTTTTTGTCCCAATTACATAATTATTTACAGGATTTTCAATGTTTTTTTTCATGAATATATTTTCTCATTCTTGTTCATTGTTTATCATTTTTAATCATACCATGGAAATAAAGAAATGATTGTTAGTAATGACTGCATAAACAAGAAGATTCCAAACAGTGCAATTTTAGCCCAAAAAACAGTAATTGACAGATAGTTTGAACTATTGGTGAAGTTTTCCAAGCTATGACTGTCTTGAATTTGAAGTGAGTTAGGATAATTTTCATTTGCTGAACCTTTTACAGATTTTCAAGATGATAAATTTTCAAGAAGCCTTTGTTGTTTTTGTAACTGAAAATTGTATACCGGTACTTACTTCAAATGTCATATAAGCTGATAATATAACTAGAAACCAATTATATATAATCATAAATGTCTGTAATTCATAGGGTTTTCTATTCTTCATAAATTTTGGTCCTTGCCATACTATGAAATAGTAAGCCAGTATGATAAGTATTACATAAATAGGATTATCATTCAACAGGAACCAGTTTCTTGTTCTTGGATCTGGAAAAGAAAATTCAGAAATCTATATAATATATATATATATAATATAAGAAAAATGTGTGGCTTATAAGCTTAACATTAATGTATCCATTCTTATATGATGATCTTTTTTCAATTCCAATAGATCTTGAGGTGCAAGTGCATGACGTCACAATTAAAATTGCAACTACAGTTGTATTTTGAATGACAATTTGGATCAAAACAGACATTTCTGTTGGTGTTATTGGCTAGGAAATTAAACTAAAGGCTCTAAAGAGCCTGTGTCGCTCATCTAGGTCTATGAGCATCTTCAACAATGGACACTCTCCAACATCATACCATTATATGATCCCAAAATTTTTTTTGCGGTCGTATAAAAATTGTCATTAAAGAGTAAGAACTCCAATCAGGAGTCGACTGACAATTTCAGATATGTGCACTGATTTGTAGATATAGTCTTGCTGATCATTTTTGCTATTTAAAGTGTCTATCTATATATAAAAGTTTTCCTTATTTATAGATCTGGACTTGCTGATCAATTTTGCTTATTTAAGATTCTATCTATCTATCATAGATATAAGACAAAAACACAAAAAATTGGTAAAAATTGTCATTAAAAGGTAACAACTCCTAATAAGGGGTAGTCAGTCAATTTCAACTTTGTTGACTTGTTTGTAGATCTTGTCTTAGTGATAATTTTGCTTATTTAAGTTTCTATCTATCTGTTATAGTTTTTTTCAACTACTAGGCAAAAAGGCAAAAAATTGATAATAATCTTCATTAAGGGCATGGATGACTGACCTTTTCAACAATGAAACTTATTGGTAGATCGTATCTTGCTGATCATTTTTACGTGTTAAAGGATCTATCTATCTACTATAGTTTATCAGATATATGGCAAAAAGGCAAAAAATTTGTAAAAATCCTCATTCAAGGGCAATAACTCCAAAAAGATGTCATCTGACAATATCAACTATGCAGACTTACTTGTAGATCTTGTCTTGCTGAACATTTTGGCAGTTTTAAGTTTCTCTCTATCTATTATAACTTTCAAGATAATAGGTTTAATCAAAACTAGAGGCTCTAAAGAGCCCGTCGCTCACCTTGGTCTATATGAATATTCAACAAAGGAAACTCTCCAACATTGTAGACAAGAAAAGAGAATTCATGACAGAAATCTCTGTTTTGTTGATCTGGTATTGCTGATAATTTAGTCTGTTTAGTTTCTCTCTATTTTCTTTAGTTTTTTGCTCAAAACACAAGAGAGGGTAAAAAAAAACCTTGTTTACAGGGCAATCACTCCTATAAAGAGTGACAGTATATATATGGCAAAATTTGATTTGTTAGTAGATCTTGCCATGTTGATAATTTTTTGTGATTTAAAGTGTATAATTATCTGTTATAATTTTTATCATATAAGACAAAATGCCAAAAAAATGGTAAAAATCATCATTAAAGGGCAATAACTCCAATAAGGAGTTGTCGGACGATTTCCTTCATGGTGTCATGATTGTACATCTTGTCTTGCTGGTCATTTTTGCTTATTTAAGTTTCTATCTATCTATTATAACTTTTAAGATATAAGGAAAAAACGCAAAAAATTGGTAAAAATCATCATCAAAGGGCGATAACTCTAATAAGGCGTCAACTGACGATTTCAACCATGTAGAATTATTTGTAGAACTTGTCTTGCTGATAGTTTTTGCATTTCAAAGTTTTTCTTTATCTATTTTAGTTTTCAAGATACATGTAATAGGCAATAAATTGCTTATCCAAGCGCAGCTGGATAAGACCACGGAGGTCCAACCCTGAACAGTTGGGGCAAAAATGGACACAATATTCTCTCTTGATACAGGTCTGAATTTGGATTGTAATTAAATATTTGACACATAATAGGTTTCTGACACAGAATAACTGTAGTCAAAGAACTTAGAATTGGTTATATAATTTGAATTTATATTCAATTTTTTGCTTTTAACAATACACTATGCTGTTGCCAATTGACCCCCCCCCCCCCCAAAAAAAAAATGTTTACCCCCCCCCCTTTTTTGCTTTTATGCAATACACTATGCTGTTGCGAATTGACCCCCCCCCCCCCAAAAAAAAATTCTTTCCCTCAAGATATGGTCATAATCTCAATTCAAATTTCCAATGGAGTTTGCAACCATAATTACCCATTTAAATACATCATAAAAGTCTTAAAATCAAAAATGACATACATAATCATGGCTAAAATTAATATTCCTTAATCAGCATTTTAAATAGTAACTTCTAAAAATAAATTGACAGTTAATCACCTAAAGAGAATACAACATTTCATTTTATATAATTTAAATGCAGTGTAAGGGAGATAATCCAAACATAACATTGTCCTTTTTTTTAATTGTCCATTAACCAGGAAACCCTTGTTTTTCCCCCTTTTTTGCCCCTAATTCCTAAACGGTTTGAGCCATAACCCCCCAAAGCCAATCCTAACCATCTCTTTGTGGTATGAAAACTTGTGGTATAATTTCAGAGAGATCCATATGCCATTCCACAAGTTATTGTCTGGAAACTCGAAAAATGCTTATTTGGGCCCCTTTTTGGCCCCTAATTCCTAAACTGTTAGGACTATAACCCCCAAAATCAATCCCAACCTTCCTTTTGTGGTTATAAACCTTGTGTTTAAATTTCATAGATTTCTATTTACATTTACTTAAGTTATTGTCTGGAAACCAAATGTCTTCGGACGACGCTGACGAAGACGATGTGATACCATTGTCATTGAAGGGCAGTTTTGAGGTATAAAACAATTGGTAGTGCTCAACATTCTGAACATTTTTGCCCCTGTCAGATTTTCTCTTTTTATAGCAGTTTTCAAGATAATAGACAAAACTTACAATTTACCCCAATGTTCTATTTTTTAACCATGTCAGCCATGTTGGTTAACAGGCGGGGTCATCAGACACATTTTTTAAACTAGATTCCCTAGTGATAATTGTGGCAAAGTTTGGTTAAATTTGGCCCAGTAGTTTCAGAGGAGAAGATTTTTGTAAAAGTTAACGACGATGTACTTTAAATTATGCTAAAAGTAAGTCTACATGCATTTGTACACTTTTTAATTGTGTAACAGGTAGTTTTCTAGTACATTTTTGCTTCGTCAAATCAAAACGGCTACCTATTTTCTTTCCTTATAGAATGCAAAATAATTCTTTCAAGTCATTTTCTATGCTTATTTTAATTTTAACATGGATAGGCATTATTTTTATCAACATTTTACACCTCTATAACATTTGGTTTAAAGATATAGACAAATAAAAATCCTACCTAATTAGCATAGAGCATGACATCAGACTTTTTTTTTAAATAAATTTTACTTTTCTGTAAATTTTGTAAGTTCTTGTTTTCTAAACATCTGTAAAATGGTGCATTTACAAAAGTCACAATTTTCTATCCAACTAAACAATGTCACTGAGGTAAATAGAACGGAGTCTGTTCATATGATTTGAATTTTCATCTGATTGAAACAGCCAAAACAAGTCATTTGAAGCCATAAAGAAAAAAAAAACAGATCTTAAGATTCATAATTTTCACTATGGTTGAAATTTTTTCCCAAATTTTCAATTACTATTATAGACATGTATATGATATTTTAATAGCAAAAAAAACAGTGGCAATATATGTGTAGGACTCTGAACTGCGATGGTGGTCGGAACCGTGATGGTCACGCTGATGTACGATGGTTTGACGCTGAAGTGCATTTTTAATCACGCTGAAGTGTGATGGTGGCATTGTGACGCTATCTTGTTGATAGCTACGATGAAGTGCGATGGTGGTAACGCTGAAGTGCGATGGACTACATAAACTATATTTTGAATGCTTTTCATTTCAAAGTCAATTTGTTTGTTAGAAACGTTTTTCGGGTTTTAAAGTTAATAAGGGGCTTATACACCTTTAATACTTCGGGAAATGGGGTGTGATCGAGCGAGAGTTAAAAGTAAACCTTCTGAGGGGATTTTTTTCTTCGAAATCTACGAAAGTTTTTTTCAAGTTACGTACAATGGCGCGTGGCATTCTCTAAATACATACAGGTCCACAGACTCTCCTAATATATAAGGGTAAATGAGGATCTCATGAGAGGAACAAAGAAAAGATAAATGTTATCTCAGAATTATGTCCACATGCAGAAAATCAAAGAGGACTATTGTTCATTTTGTATGCAACTGTAACAAATGACATACATAGACAATAATGAATGCTAATCTATATACCAACTATACTGCTCATAATAATTGCACATCTGTAGATTTTAAAATAGCTATCACACGTCATATAGACCATCGCACTTTGGCGTAGACCATCGCACTTCAGCGTGACCATCGCCCTTCAGCGTCCCCATCACACCTCCGAGTCCTACATATGTTTAGATTTTGTTACAATTAAAGTGGTAAAAACATGAAAAAATTGACTTTTTTTCATGTTTTGCAAGCAAATTCAAAGTAACTTGTTTCTGTGGCAACCAACACTTCAACTTTAGAATTGAATATATTTCTGTTTTCAGTGCATCATAATAAACCCCTGATATCAAAATAAAGGCAATCCTGGAGTATGCATTTCTTATTTTCTTTAAATTTCTTTGATGCTTACAGAGAATGAGTCTTAAATTGTCAGCAATCTGTGCTGAACTAACACAAATAGGAGATATAACAAGTTTTACTGCAAGCTATTGTTGACCTATGATAATTATAAGGTTAACAGGAAGTTGAAGAGCAATGGATGTGAAAACAAATCACACAATATTTCAGGCTCACATTAATGTTGCTACCAAATTCATTTATCTGTTAAATTTTATCGCAAAGAAAAAACGCCTTTCCTGTCTTTTATTTGGGACAGCTATAGATAATTATATTTAATATAAGGAAAAACATCCTGTTTAAGGAAGTTAAAAACTCATGTTCTAAAGATACCTACTTCCTTTTGTTCATAAAAGAGAGATGGAACATTACTGATAAAAAATGCAACTCGTTTACAGTGAACACAGAAAAAAAGTTCTGAAACTTAACTCTGAAGCTTTCATATAAGTTTATTTTAAATACATTTCTGCCTTCTTTCATTCATACTTAATAGAGATAGAAAGTTACTGATAATGAGGAAATCACTTGTTTACAGTGCAAACAGAAGAAAACAAGAATGCATGCGTCGTCATACTATTAATACACTTTCTCATAATTCTAAGTATCGTAAAATGGGAAGTAAGTGTTTGGCAGATCTGAGCACGTCAGTGATCTGTCACTGGAAATTGGTATTAATCTGCATTTTGTAGATAGCAGTATTTTGGGCAACTGTATGAGCTGCCATGATTAATCTATAATCACATAGAAACATTTTGGTTTTAGGTAAATTTTACAATATTTACTGGATTTCTGAAAAATGCTATTTTTATTTGTAAATACATATAAATAAGAAGATGTGGTATGAGTGCCATACATGTAAGTCAATGCTATTTTAAAGTTGGTTTCATTAGCGACTGTTTACCTCTGTTCTAGTAGTTGTCTATGTTATTATGTATCATGTACGTTATAATTGTTGCCTTTACTTGGACAACAGTAGTTTTTAGTTTGATAAAATCCTTATTTCTATTGTGCAAAATGCCTTTGCCAAAGGTTGTCTCACAATAAATAAATAAATAGCTTAAACAATAATAATTATATTAATTTAATATCAATACAATACATATGTTTAACATTTTTTTGTAGTAGGTTTTCGTATGTCAGAAGTATTTAACTTATCATTCAGCTGATGAGTTCGAATTCATATCATAAACATGTTTACCGTGGGAAATCCCCATTAATACGCCAAATCACACAATAACATTGTGTGCAAGAAATAGGTGGCTAACATTCACAGTTAATCATGTATTTACTGGCAGCGAGTACATAAATTTAGGATGATTTAGAAAGCAAGCACGGTTTTGTCTGTCTTGACACCTATTAAGCAATATATAGCATGTAAATATAGCAGTAACTAAAGAAATGTAGGAAAAACAGCAAGTACCAAAACAAAAGATGTTATTCGTATATCACAAGTTGGTGGAATTTCGTAACACTAAATCAGCAACTGTCAAGTTTGCCGGGAGTGACGTTATGTTCACACAACGACACTAACACATAATTTAACATTCACAACAATGTAATTATTCAGAATATGTCTTATTTCTGATATCTGGCAAAATAAGTCTTAAAACAAAAAATTGATGAAAAAAACTACTCTCTGACCAGTAGAACTTACTGTAAATTCAGAAATCTATTGCTGTAATTTTTGAAGAAAGGACAATAATACAGGATTAATTATAGTGATTTCAGTAAATGCTACATACAAATGATGCTATCAATATTTCAAACAGGAGTTTTTATTTTTGAGATACCTTTTACGCTGCAATATTCAAAAAATTAAAAACATCAAGAAAATTTATAAATTTCCAGTAGCTGATGTATGACATGGTCAGTGATATTTCAGGTCTTTTCCATTTTTATTGGCAGGTATAAAAACCCTAATATGTATGCAGAAAGAGATGTCTTACTGGAATCATTGATGAATTGCAATTTACAGGTGGTGATTTGTATCAAAGAAGAGTTGTCATTTGTATTTACTAACAAAAATGTACATGAAAAATGTACATGAAAAACATACTAAAAATTCATCTTTATTTACATATTTATATATACTGACATGATTTATAACTTACTTTTCTAAAATTCCCCATTTATAAATTAAGAAATTATTAAGAAACTAAGGTTCCAACTGAGATACTCTCTCAGACAATGGACATAGTTGAGATTAGATGAATTTGGCTATTCTTTTTTGGTCCCTTTTTGGCCATATACATGTAACTCCTAATGTTTCTACATATTTATACATTCCTTGCTTTCAAATGTTCAACAAATTAATAAAGTGTTATTTTCAATTTTACACAATTGCAGCTTTGAAGGATTCTACAGTATTTAGTATCGCAATGTACAAGAAGTTAAATTGCTATATATGTTGTAACTTAAGTAAATGTATATTTAGGAACTGTGGAGGAGTCATCCATATTTATGTGTTTCAAATGTTCATTTGTACATTTAGAACCTTAGTATGGAAAATTTATTCATCTGTATTTTTATGTTTCAAATGTACATATAGTTACATTGTACTCTGGAGGGTTCATCTGTATTTACAAAAAACATATGTGTGCTTTAAATGTACATGCATTATTTTTTCAGTTATGAATTGAAAGAGATTGCAAAACCTAGGAATATGAATAAAAGTATATAAATGTAAGTATTTTTCTTAAGGATTTCCTCCATTACAGTTTTAATTTATGCAATTTCTTTCTACAAAAATTATTTAGATTTTCCATTATTTATTGTGGATTCATTATTGTTAGTGGGATACCAGTTTATTGGGGATTCATCATTGTTAGTGGGATACCAATTTATTGTGGATTCATTATTGTTAGTGGGATACCAATTTTTGTGGATTCATTATTGTTAGTGGGATACCAATTTTTGTGGATTCATTATTGTTAGTGGGATACCAATTTTTGTGGATTCATTATTGTTAGTGGGATACCAATTTTGGTGGATTCATTATTGTTAGTGGGATACCAATTTATTGTGGATTTCGTTGGTACAGGTTAACTACAGATTCAAATGTTCCAACAAAGTACAAATTTTTATATGCTTAAATGCAGACTTTTCCAAACCACTAAATCAATTATTCACGCAAATACACTTTTTCCTCACCAAAATTGGCATCCATGAAAATAAATGAATCCACAGTAACTTGTATACTGTAGGAAATATTAAATGAAAATCAACCAGACTATTATCCTTACCCTTTGTTTCTTTAGTCCATTCATAAAACCTCGAAGATTCTTCTAGCAAACCCATTTTCTGCAAAAACATAAAACAATGTATATTAAATAGATTTTATGCCTTAACTTGATTAGCCACTATGGCTAATAATCTGGCATCACTTTTCTTTCAATGTATTTTCAAACCAAAAAAAAATATGCATTATTCATAATTTCTTCCATTCTTCTGAAAGTAATTAATTACCAGAGTAACAGTAGAGCATGATTTTCCTTTAAAAAATTACCATTGTAGTAGTCATGAATAGTAAGCTACCACTCTATCAATTGAGCGGAAACTCAACTAGAACAGTTACACGATTTAATGGAGAGGTTATAAATCTACAAGGTGGAACAGTTACATGAGTTAATGGAGAGGTTATAAATCTACAAGGTGGAGTAGGTTTGTTTGTTGGTGTTTAATGTTACTTTCAGGGACCCTGGCTATATCACGGCATCCACTTTTTATAGGTGGAGGCAGTCCAAGAACCAAAAGAAGACCATCGACCAGAAACAACTACATTGTACTAAGTTAAAGGAAACTCAATTAATGACAGATCCAACATCAAATCCTTGCTTTTCCATCTACTAATTTCTTTTAAAATCCATGAGTTTTTCAGCCTTATTAAACCATAGAATAATTTACTTAGTACATAGAATATTTATTATTCCAATCAAGGGCCCTTGATGGGCAGCATGACATGTACACATAAAACAATACATCATGATTTGTAACAGAATTTTTTTTTTTTAAACATTGAAATGAAACATTAAAAAGTTCAGACATGTTACATGTTATATTAATTAAGAATTAAATGCTTCTTCTTGCAGTTTTATTGGGGTGTAAAAGCATTGACTGAAAAACTTTTTGTATGATATGCCTCATATTAAAAATATGCACTTTTGACAGAAATTTGTTCTTTTGAAAGATACCTTAATACATGTAATAATTCTATTACCTTTTAACATTCTTAACAGAAAAGTTAAAGTTAAAAACAAATTTTTATTTTTATTTTATTCCTTGATAAAAAGTGGAAAACCTGACACTCACAGGGACATCATGACAGACAGTTTCAAATTTCATGTAACTGCTAGTAAATATCTCAGTTTTAACCTACACATATACCTTAAATTGATACTGAACAGCATTTAATATTATCCTCTTAAAATCTTATAAAAGGTTGTTAACCACATATTTTGTGACGGCAAAAATTTGAGCAGTACATGTATAAGGAAAAATTATGTACAATTTCACCAGTTATGATAATACACCATATAACGTTTGTCTCATGTTCCCTTGAAAACTAGCAATTTTTTTTTATACAGGTTTGTTATTTTGAAACTTGAAGCTGACTGGAGGCTGCAACACTCATCTTCATCTGCCTTATGCTTGTTACTGTTCAATCAACATGTATTTTAAAATAACACTGCTACAATCAAACTAGCATACAGGCTCTCACAGTCATAATTATTCCTATTAGATTTTTATTAAATGGTCTTAACCTTCCTATGATCAAGTAGTTTCAGACAAGGAGACAAACATGTAAAAATTAAATGTATAAAGACAAGGTGTCTGTAAACCAGACATAAAAAGCTCATTCTTTAAAACAGACTGTCCATAAACACTAACATATAATGATAACTGGTTTCTTTATTTCAAAACATAGTATAGTCCTATATTTCTATATATAAATTAAATACTAAATTCATGAAAGGTGTGAAGATGATAACATTAGTCATATCCTTTGAAGTTGTTTTTATTGTCATAAAACAAGTACTCATGATTTAAATATTCTTTTTTTACCATTATTTCATTCATAAAAAATTCATTTATATAGATTCATCTTATCTATAAAATCTTTAGAAGCCAAGTTATTTTCGTTTGTTTGAAAAAACTATGTATAAACCATACACATGTACACTTTTGTGCATTCCATAAAATCCAATTACAAATTTGGGTGTTGACTTCATGTACATCATGTACATTGGACATACATGTAAATTCAATTTATTATTCATTCAAATATATATGAAAATTGTTAATGCTGTTTTCAATATAAATGAAAAGCAAATATTGTTATTAATTCCTTCTATGGTACTCAATTGAAAGTCCTAGCTCTATCATGAAGTGAAGGCACCTTTTGAAAAAATATTTATTGTTGCAGAACTAATTTTTAAAATGTTTTCTTTTTCTAGAAACTTCATGGTCTTTTCTGTGCAGAATGTATATATATATATTGTAAAGGAAACAAATAAGGCCACACCCATTTGATGAATAGTTCTTTGGATTTTCCTGCTCCTGTTTTGGAGAAATTGACTTTTCAATAAATAAAAATAAAATGCTCCGCTGGGCGCAGCTTGATACGACCACAGAGGTCGAACCCTGAACTGTTGGGGCAAGTATGGACACAACATTCAAGCTTGATACAGCACTGAATTTGAATTGTGATTAAATATTTGACACAGCATAGGTTTCTGACACAGAATGAATGTGGTCTAAGAACTTAAAATTTTTTTAATTTACCTATTCAAACCATATCATTATTATTTGCTTTTATATATAAATCAGAAATAACCGATTTAAAATGGAAAATTTTAAAGAAAAAAAAGGAAAAAAAAAATCCCCCCTCAAATTTATTGAACCCCCTTATGATTCATCACCCCCAAACTCAATCCCAGCCTTCCCTTTGTGTTACAATGTATGGTGCCTTGCAGTACAATTTCAGAGAGATCCGTACCCTTGAACACAAGTTATTGTCTGGAAACTAGAAAAATACTTGTTTTTTTGCCCCATTTTGGCCCCTAATTCCTAAAATTTTGAGGCAATTACCTCCAAAATCAATCCCAGCATTCCCTTTTTGGAATGGTACCTTGCAGAACAATTTCAGAGAGATCCATACACTTGAACACAAGTTATTGTCTGGAAACTAGAAAAATGCTTATTTTTGGCCCCTTATTCCTAAACGTTTTGGGCAATTACCCCCAAACTCAATTCCAGCTTTCCCTTTGTGATATGGAACCTTGTAGTACAATTTCAGAAAGATCCATACACTTTCACACAAGTTATTGTCTTGAAACTAGAAAAATGCTTGTTTTTTGGCCCCTAATTCCTAAAACTTTGAGGCAATTCCCCCAAAATCAATCCCAGCCTTTCCTTTAGTGGTATGGTACCTTGCAGTACAATTTCTGAGAGATCCATACACTTGAACACAAGTTGTTGTCTGGAAACTAGAAAAATGCTTATTTTTGGCCCCCTTTTGGCCCCTTTTTTCTAAACGTTTTAAGCAATTACCCCCAAACTCAATTCCAGCTTTCCCTTTGTGATATGGAACCTTGTAGTACAATTTCAGAAAGATCCATACACTTACACACAAGTTATTGTCATGAAACTAGAAAAATGCTTGTTTTTTGCCCCTTTTTTTGCCCCTAATTCCTAAAATTTTGAGGCAATTACCCCCCAAAATTAATCCCAGCATTCCTTTTGTGATATGGAACCTTGTGGTACAATGTCAGAGAAATCCATACACTAACACACAAGTTATGTCTGGAAGTTACAAAAATGCTTATTTTTGGCCCCTAATTCCTTAGCTGTTGGTACCATAACCCCCAAAATCAATCCCAACCTTCCTTTTGTGGTAAAATTTCATAGAGATCCATTCACTTAAACTAAAGTTAGAGTGCGAAAACCAATGTGTCTTCGGACGACGACGACGACGCCAACGCCAACGTCATACCAATATATGACCACAAAAATTTTCACAAAAATTTTTTTGCGGTCGTATAAAAATTACGGCTTCCGCAAATTTTTGGTCCGCATGCCGCTCCAAAATTAACTTCTCCTTGAAATTTTTTTTTCACATCTATAGACGCTTTTCTGTTGCATATAATGCTCCTATCGTTTTTAACGCATGTGTGATAAATCAATTTTTAAATAAAAGGTCAAAAATCGGGATGACAACATGCAGTTGTGTCAGCTCATTGCCATGGACAAGTAGTTATTGAATACACAGTTATCCGAAATGCTTTTTGTTTTACTTTTAAAGACCTGTTCTAGGATGCAAAAATTAAAAATCTTTCGTTAGATGACCACAAACACATCAATATTTGTTAGAACCATCGTCAACCCCGATCCTTGTTTCAACAGGCATATAGACCTATTATTTGGATGAAATGAATTGTAAATTTCCACTAACTTTTTAAAAACTCATTGAAGTATTTGATGAAACCCCATATCCCCTTGTTAGTCTTTTGGCATGTAAGCAGAACTCTTTTGTTGGGGGGAATTTAAAGAGTTCCAACGAGACCATGGTGATGCCGTATTGTGATTGGCATGCTCCTAATAATTAGGGGTGTGTAATTGGTTCAACCACGTACTTCTAGTCAAGCTAAAGAGTTTGAAATGCATTACAGCTTTTAGGAGTAAAAGAAAAGAGTATTTTGCGCAGTAATGGGGTGACAGGTATTTTAAGGGAATATTTTAATACATTTGGATCTGCATGTATAGCAATATAACTATCTAACTCAGGATGTTGTTTTAGTAAAAAGCAAGAAATATTCACCTCACTCATTATTTTGATCCTAAATATGCATAAATAGTTCCAACTGGATGTAAAGCAGCTAATAAATAAAGGTAACAGTAGTATACCGCTGTTCAATAGTCATAATTTGATTAAGCAAGAACAAATCCGGGTAACAAACTAAAACCATGGGAAACACATCAACTATAAGAGGAAAACAACAGAACAACAGAAACACTTAACTACAACAATAAACAATCATTACCATATAATGAAAACTATCAAATATCTTTCAGGGGCATTTTTTTGGATACATACACATATTTTAATTTCATTCAACATGTGTCATTTACCTAACTAACATACTTCCTCTTGTAAAACTGCATCTGCAATGCTTCCTACACATATATATGGATTCAAATGAAAATTCACCTAGACAAAGCTTACTTGAAGAAAATAACCAAAATTAACTAAACCACAGTGAGACAAGAACGTCTGATATGGTACAGGCACCAATAAATCAAGTTATATGCATTAGAGCATCTGCTGATCCTCGTTATTCTATGAAATAACCCAGTTATAACATGTACATGTACATAAATTGTACAACTTCTAAATCACACAATTTAAAAAAAAAAATATACCGCTCGCTTCACTTATAGAGCACTAGCCTAAAAAAAAACTCATTTTCAAGAAATATATAAAAACAAAAAAATTTTGCTCGCTCTCCCCATATTTTTTGGAGCTTTTGTCCAAAGAACTCAATTTACGAAAGTGGTGTGGCCTAATCTATTATGCAATTTGTTTACTATGCCTAGAGGTCAATTCATCATACAAATGATAAAAATATACATGTAGCCCGATGGTGATAAATTGGTGTTTAACAACCTGTTGCAATAATTACATGCATATCAGGAAGAGAAATATTAATGAAATATGAATATCAACCCTACTTTGTACTAGACAAACACACCAAGTCAGATTCTTCATAAAATGTGCTAGTTCTCAAAATAACAGTCCACAGAAAGACATGTCACCCTACCCTGACTTTTTTAAAAATATTTTAGTGCTCTTTTAAATTTTATAAAGTAGTTACTCTAAACATTTTAGTGCTGACAATAAGCCTGTTTTTTAAATGAAATATTTCATGGTTTGAATGATTCTGTATGGTTAAAATGCATGAAGTAGGAAAAATGTTTACGTTTTTAGAATGTCACTTTATTTTGAAACAATAACAAAAAATTATTTATAGCAATACACTTACTAATACACGATTAAACAATTATTCAACACAAAACCAATAAAAAGGGTGTGAACATGAAAGGGGTGAACATGAATGGGAGCAAACCTGATTTTCTTTCCTATGTCACAATGGTTAAATGTTGTAACATCACAGTAAGATCCGATTGTCGATGACGTACAACGATTGACCTCAGGTCAACCTGTCTAACTCATTCATTAAAACAACTCAGATTGGTGAATGGAAGATGGTGCACAGACAGGGAAGAGGGAGCTGTGTCTCTCTATTTTGGGCTAGTTATGACACTGACCAGGATGAAGGGCTGGAAACCAGTGCTGCACTTGGTAGGTTAGGGTTATCAGCTATTGCCAGTTATTGGTCAGCCTATGGGTCACAAAACACAACTGCGGCTGACATAAGTTTACCTGTTTACATCGAGCTAAGATTGGCAAACATTTAAGCAAACTATTCATGAACTTTCCTCTTGTGTATAAATCAAGGAACATGATGCTGCAAGCCAGCATCGAAGAATGAAGAAACGTTACTAAACTGATAAGTTGAGCGATATTTTGAAATGTTTCAACTGTTTATACAATTGTGTTTTTAGGCAAAATGTTTAAGAAAATGCTCTATCGTTCTTACCATACAAAATCAGTGGTATTTGATATTATTCGTGTAGCTACGCAACTCTAACATGTGCGTCCTGTCAAGCCGACAAGCGTCATCCGTAACAATTTCACTGATTGGTTAAAGTTTACACTGACTGATCCTTCCACACCAATAGATTTCTCTGTTGAAAAAACCGTTAGGGCGAAAGTTCACTTTATGTGCCTTGAACTCTCAACTGACCTTCCTTCACACAAATATTTGGGTCATACAGCAATGTGTCCTATTAGTGGGTGTGAGGCGAAAAAGGGAAAGTAGTAGGTTTTCAAGCCACAGATTGTGCAAAATAAAAGTCTCATCTATTTTGTTAGGATTTATCAGACACATAATTATTTGTCTCTGGATTTATTAATTTGATTCAAGGGCAGGACTAAGGTTGGATGAAAGGGGGTGTATTAAATTATTCAAACTTTCAAAAATACAGAAACTTATTTAAAAATAAGAAGAAGCGGTATGATTGCTAATGACACAACTCTCCTTCAGAGACCAAATGATTTAGATAGTTAGTAACTATAGGTCACCGTACGGCCTTCAACAATGATAAAAAAACACACCGCATAGCAAGCTATAGAAGGCCCATTTCAAGTAAAAAAAAGAATATTTTTTCTGATCAAAAGGCCCTTTATCATGTGTCTAAGCTTCCTTGAATATTCCACTGGGATTAAACACTAAAAAGGCACAGATAGAACTTTTTGATGTAAAATGTTAAAAGTTGCTTTACAAAATGCCTTTGAACAGAAAATAAAAATGAAAAATGTGGTCTCTGTACTCGCTTTCCCGCTACAATACAAAATAAATGAATTTGTCCAGTTCATTCGTTTATAATAAAACTCTCCTTACATTGCAAAATTTTTAATGATAGCATTTTCTACATTAACTATGATTTCAATTTATTTAAATTTTGTACTGATGATTTAAGATCAAATAGCAGAATGCTCTCATCCTAGATTAACAGGAAAGTCAACAACTACTAAGAAATTAAACCTGAAGTAAAGTATAAGTCTGCACACCTTTCAAATTTGTGCACTGGATTAACAAACAGTTTAAGTGCAGACTTTGAAGATGCACACATATACAGTACAGCAATACCACTATGTCTAAACTACCCTGGCAAAAAATGTTTGGACTCAATAGTTTCTAATATCCGGTACGGTGACGGACCATCAACAGACAGAGAAAAGGTAGGGTTTCTGTTTATTTATCTGTTATTTTTATGATATTGAAGACTATACATACACATATAACTATTTTCGATTGTGAGATGTAATATTTTCTACAACCATTCTAGATTTATGGAGAAATAAGTAAAAAGGCGCATCAAAATGGTGAATTGAGTGAACCTTGCCTCAAATTTGTTTTAATTTCTCGTTAAATTGTGCACATTGTACGAAATGAAAGATACGGAAAGAAAGATATTAACATGGAGATTGCAAGACTAGTCACTTTTTAACACCTCAATATTTGTATTTCTGTGCATGCAACGAAAGAAATGGGTCATGTCAAAATGGAAGAACCCGGTTTTGTCAATGTTGTTGACTACATAAGGACCCGGTTTGTCTTTGTATAGGACCCGGATTTGTTTTGTTTTGAAACCACATATTGATGAAAAACAACGTTAACATGGACCTGAACATTGTCCGTCAAAGGAAATTCAATATATGAGTCATATATATGTTATTGTAAAACAAACCTGTCTTGTTAAAATTTATTTTAAACGGAAACTTTTCGAAATATGGAGAACACATTTTTCGAATGCTATAAGTATACCTTATTGTACTTATCTTTGAACTATTAGTTTCAATAGAATATAAATACTTTATAGCATGCACTTACATTAATTCTTTTATAACATTATGATGTTTGTTTGTTTTCTTTACTAGTATGCAACATTTGATGTAAAAATAAGAAGTTGTGATATGATTGTGTTACCATATCAATTTATCAAAAGAGTAAAGCTAGTATGCGCTACTATACTATACACTAAATGTTCATTATAAAACAAGAGAATAAGACAAATGTATATGCATGCAGAATCACCCTAGAAAATGAATTTCCATGCAGGGTAAAGGATCACAATAGCAATAGTTTAAAATCTTTTTACACCTCCTTATAACTATTATACTAAGTATAAATTAGTATGATATTCTCAGGCCATCCAGAAAATGCAATAATGATTATTTTATTAATAATTCTATAAATAAACGGTTCTTTTATCTCACCATTGTGCAATGATTATCGTACATTGACAAATGTTCTACATTTTAGTTGTCAATATGAAGGGGTGGATCAGAGATTTTTGAAAGGCTTGCATGACTAATCTGGCTTTAACTCTCACTTTCTATACAGATAAAGATCATTGTTGCAATTAAATTGTTTTCTTAATGACTGCTTTAGACACAAGTATGCCTGGCTAAGGGGGATTAGTTAGTTCATTCTGAAAATCAGTGAAAATAACTTAAATCTTCTCCCTAGTTGGGTTATTTTTCATCATACATTTCTTGTCAATATTCTAGAATTCAAAATGATTCCAGATTCAAATAATTCCTTGTTTTAATGCTCTAAATAGAACACTATAATAACAGGCATTCTTAAAGCATTAGTTAAAAAGCATATAAAACAGTAAAGGTTAATAATCTAAAATAACTTTCAATATATTATTTTTGATATGTGCTAAAAAATATGAAAATGGTAGGGTGGCAAGATGAAAAGGAAAATGGGCACAAAAGGTGGATACTGCACCCTGTGTTAGAATGGTCTAGCTGGAACACTGTGGGGATTTATGGGTTTCTGTCTTAATGATGAAACATAAACTCCACATGTCTATTTATTCATATGAATTTTTTACAATAATAATATGAATATTTCAAATATTCCAGAGAAATTATTTACTGTAAACTTGGCTTGTTGGCTAGCTTAGGCTAGCTGATTTGACTACCGGGGTAGCAACCAAGTTTTAAAAAAAGGTGTAGGTTTGTTTTTGTTTTTGTTATTTTGGCCAAAATTTTGTCTCTATTTCTTCAGCTTATGATTGTATAATACCTCTTTGGTATCTTCTTCTTTATGTTGCTATAGTAATAAAACGTTAAAACCAGTTTTACGTGAGTTATTCAATAAAATTAAGTTATAGGGTTCCTTTGTTAAACTTGCCCTTGTCCATTATCATTTGGTTAAGTCTTTTCAGGAGTAAAGTATTTAATTATTTTTGACACAGGCTTGATATTTTTTTGCTGTTATTAGTTTTTGTCTCACCTGTGACGAAAGTTGCAATATGCGAGACTTAGGGATTACTATCCAGCGGCGGCAGCAACAGCATAAACTATTTGTATAAAGCTTTATATTTCAGATAGTAGAAGACCTGGATGCTTCATGCCTTGTATGCAGATACCTTATGTTACGAAGTTTCCGTTTACCATATGTTCAGTGTCCTTGACCTCATTTTCATGGTTCAGCAACTGCTTGAAAAATAATTATTGTTTTTTTGTCATGTGATTTTCTCACTTGTTTTGAGTTATAGGATAACTATATTTGGTATATGGGTTCCTTGCAATGTCTAAATGTCGGTCAGGCAGAGTTCACCTGACCTTGACCTCATTTCATGGATTAGTGATCAAGGTTTAAGTTACGTTATTGGGTTCGTTTCTCAGATACTATAAGCAGTAGGTCAACTATATATGGTGTATAGAATGATTGTAAGGGGCACATGTCAGTCTGGCAAGTTTCATCTGACCTTGACCTTATTTTCATGGTTAATTGGTCAATGTCAATTTTTAGTGTTTTGGTTTGTTTTTCAAGTACTATAAGCAATAGGTCAACTATATTTGGTGTACAAAATGATTGTAAGGTGTACATGTCTTGCTGGCAGGTATTATTTGACCTTGACCTCATTATGATATCATGGTTCATTGGTCAATGTTAAGTTTTTGTGTTTTGGACTGTTTTTCAAATACTATAACCAGTAGGTCAACCATATTTGTTGTATGGAATGATTGTAAGGTGAACATGCCTATCTGGCAGGTATAATCTGACCTTGACCTCATTTTCATGGTTCATTGGTCATTGTCATGTTTTTGTGTTTATGTCTGTTTTTCAACTACCATAAATAAGCAGTCAGTCAGCTATATTTGGTGTATGGAATAATTGTACGGTGTGCATGTGTTGTCTGTCTGACCTTGACCTCATTTTGATGGATCTTTAAGAATGTTAAGATTATGTGATACTTGTAGTAAAACCTTTATCTTTTAACATGAAATCAATGGTCAGTAAAGCAGGCGAGATATTTCAGCATGTGCACTCTTGTTTGTTAATATGAACTTCTACAATTTACATGTTTTTATTAATGGAACTGTATTGTTGAGTTGCTGTTTCAATGATGCCTCCATTACATTTCCTGTTATTCATAATGTTAGGTGATATATTCAGGTCATAATAGGATATAATTATTGTGGAGCCTGTGACATTTATGTCGTGAAAGTGAGACATAGCCATCCTATATTCCGTCGTCGGCGTCAACATTTAGGTTCAATCTGTGGTTAAAGTTTTTTTTAGACATCAATTACTTTTTCAAACCTTCATGGGATTTTATGAAATTTGGACAGAAGCTTGTTTGTGACCAAAAGACAGTATCCAGAGCAAAATTTTGAAAATATTTATTTTCATTTTTCTGTATTTTACTGATAAATGGACTTAGTTTGGGTTTTTTTACAATTAACATTCAGGCTCAGTCTGAGGTAAAAGTTTTTTTTTACAATTAACATTCAGGCTCAGTCTGAGGTAAAAGTTTTTTTTTTACAATTAACATTCAGGCTCAGTCTGAGGTAAAAGTTTTTTTTTACAATTAACATTCAGGCTCAGTCTGAGGTAAAAGTTTTTTTTACAATTAACATTCAGGCTAAGTCTAAGGTAAATTTAGTTTTTTTTTTACAATTAACATTCAGGCTCAGTCTGAGGTAAAAGTTTTTTTATACAATTAACATTCAGGCACAGTCTGAGGTAAAAGGTTTTTTTTACAATTAACATTAGGCTCAGTCTGAGGTTAAAGTTTTTCAGTCATCAATAACTTTGTCAAACCTTCATGGAATTTGATGAAATTTGGACAAAAGCTTATTAATGACCAAAATACAGTATCCAGAGCAAAATTTTGAAAATATTCTTTTTCATTTTTCCATATGTTACTGATAAATGGACTTAGTTTTTTTTTTACAGTTAGCAAGTAGATACTGTCTGGAGTTAAATTTTGTTACAGATCAATTACTTTGTTAAACCTTCATACAATTTTATGAAACTTTGGCAGAAGCTTTTTTATGATTAAGAGACAATGTTTGAAGCAAACTTTTGAAAATTAATTTTTTTTCATTTTCAGTAATTTTCTGATACAATGTAGATGGACTTAGTTTTTTACAGTTAACATTTACAGACAGTCTGGGATTGAATTTTTTGACATGATAAAATTGTGCACCTTCTTGGATTGTTATTTAACTTGGACAGATGCTAATCTTCAAGACCAAGAAATAGCATCTAAAAAAAAAAGTTAGATTTTTTTTTAAATTCTGTATTTTACTGATAAATGGACTCACTTTTTAGGTCAACATTACACTTTTACACTGACAGCAGCAATCACAGGCGGGACAAGGGGTTACTGACCCCTTAAAAATTTTTGAATAAGTTGTGACACTTTTTTAACTTTTAAAAAATAATTCTGATAGGGTTCAATTTTGTAATTTTGGAAAACATACACATGAATAAGTTAAAGGTAGCACATTCCTCTTTCTCATTACAGATATGTAAATGAGGTTAATATCAAATAATACCCTGCAAGATTTTTCTCTTTGCAAAAAAAATTGAAATAAGAAAAACTGACTAATAAACTGCTTTTACATCTTTTTAGTTTGATATTCCTGATCACAGCATAATGGCTGATTCACGACAGCTATGTACATGTAAGACTGGTTTTTAAATTTTTTTTGAAAGCAGGAGTTCAATTTAAAACTTATTAACAGTTTATTTTTGCTGTTTCAAAGGAACCGACAAGCATTCATATGAAAACATGACTTTAATTAAGTCATAGAAAATTGTGTCACTAAATAACATTACTATATAATATACAAAGGTAACCATAATACACCTAATGTATAATACTTTTAAGTATATGAATTTGAAATAAGTAAGCCATTTAAAGGTATGAGTCCTATTTTCTGACGTTTAAACTTGACCTTGAATATAGTCTACCTACTTCACTATATGTATATGTCAGTAATCTGAATTTAAATAGCAGAATTTTGTTAACCATAAGGTATATTTTTTTAAGTTAGATTTATTGTTAACAAACTGATATATTTTCACAAAATCTTAGGTTAACGTTATACCATACAATATAGAAGACCAAAATCAATGTAATCCTAAGAGGGGAAAAGATTAAGTTTTTAAGTCTCCTTAATAATAATAATGTTGATAATGATCAGGTCACACGAAGTCCAGATATTATATGTATATGTATAATTACTACATGTATATCTGCATGGAATCCCAGGTAGACATTACATTATGTGTATACATATGAAATAATGTTACCCAAAATGTCCCTTTTGTTAATATAGAGTATTTTTTTTACAGAAAATGGAAGTGTTTGCATGCAAGATCACTGACCTTGACGGAGATAGGAAAAGGTTAAAGATAGACAATTATGATGTTATCATATTGAGACACAAAGGGATATTCTATGCCCTAGACAGTTTCTGTTACCGTAAGTATTGATTGGAATAAATATTAGTAAAAAATTCAATCATACAGCCACCCAACATCAAAAGATGACCAAAATAAACATCTAAAGGTCTCAACATGATTTCCATTGACAGACATGTGCCCTCACTTACTAGCTTTGAATAGCTCTGAGTCTAGTGAAGTTCTACAGTACCCACAAAGTGATTCATATAATGACCACTCTAACTGGTACTCAGTGAATGATTGTGAGGCAGGGTGATTTGGGGGACTGCACTCTGTCATATAATATGAAGATCACCAGAACCAGCTGCAAACTATTTTAACAAGAGTGATTTTAACTGAGTTGCCTTTTGTGTGCAAATTTATAAATTATTAATCAAGAACATCAGATATTTTTCACCAACACCTTATTTTTAACAAAAAGCTGACAATCTATGGTTTTGAAAAGGAAAGGGAGTTTCTCAGCTACTATCTCATCAAGTTGTAGAGGAAAAACATCCTAAAGTTTGAGGGGCCTCGGTGGGCGAGTGGTCTAAGTAGTTCAACTACTGTATCACTAGCCAGTCAACACTGAGGTGAGTTCGAATCCCACACGGGGCAGGTGCATTCGACTCCAATCTTAATTGACTAGGATTGTCAGTTTTCCTTCTGAAGGTCTGTGGTTCTCTCCGGGCACCTCGGCTTCCTCCACCAATAAAAACTGACCGCCACGAAATAGCACAATAGTGCTGAAAGTGGCGTTAAACACCAATCAATCAATCCTAAAGTTTGAAAGACGATAGACAATCTGTTAATCACTATTTTCCTTGGCAACATCTGAGAAAAACATGGTAAAATTATCACACAGAAATTTCAAAGGAAAATTTGAGAAAAAGAGATTAAAAAGTTTTATTTAAATGTCCACAATTCAAATTTACAGAATTTTATTTCAGATGCTGGTGGACCACTGTATAGAGGTGATATTGAAGTAAGTTTTTTCAGATTTCAAGAAACCCCAAAGATTGACTGCAGCAGAGAGATAGGGTCATCCTTTGGACTTCTCCTGTTCTGGCAGTAAATTCCTTGCGAAAGAGGGGCGTCTGTTTAGCTGTTTGGGATGTATCAATACACATGCAGTCATGTCAGGTGGAAAATGTGAATGTTAAATCTGATGCTTCATGTTGAAAGAGTGCCATTTCTGTGCTTGGAAAGAATCCTTGCAACATCTCCCTGAGGGGTCTGTAGGTGGCCTGTTACAAGGGAAAATTTCTGTCAATATCCATCATACCTAATTTTCCAGTTGTTGTCCAAATCTCCCACCCTTCAACAACCAAGTTGACCCATACCTTGCAGATCCTTCCTATTGTATTAATTGTTAATTTGTTCTTGTCCTGAACATGCATCATACATGAAATATTTGCCACTGAACATTAAGCAAACAACAATCAATCAGTCATCCAGAAAAAAGTTGACTGCAAGTTCTGAGCTTGAAACTTAATTCATAACAGAATTTTGCTAGTTAAAAGAAACCTATAACATAACAGGACAACTTAGCTAGTTCTAAAAACTTCACCTAAAAATGAAAAGCTTAATTGGAACGCAAAGCCCAAATTAAAATTCCTTCAGTGAGTCTTGCTTGGTACTCTGAATGCAAATACTGTCTCTTAGCATAGGACATTATAAGATGCATTATATGTATTTAGAAGATTTTATGGAGAGATTATCATGTGTTTCAAACTATACCAGGTCTGTCAATTTTTCTGAACTATTATGCATGAGATTTTGTTGAATAAGATTTCAGACAACACACTAAAAAGCGATGTTAGATTGAAGTTAATATTTGTTGCCTTACGTTTCAAATGGAAGAACATTTAAGATATTTTACTCTTAATGAATTGGTAAAGCATACAATTGAGATTCAAAATTTTCCCTGCTTAAAATAGCATTATTCAATATGTTAATCAAATACATAAAAATGAGTGAAATTTTTGTACATTTCTTGTAAAACATGCAAATTAGAGCGTGAAAAATAAGTAAAAAAACTTTGTCCTCACAGTATTGATATGTAGGACATGGGAAAGAATTTATCCAAGGAAATTTTTTGTGGTTAATGAAAGATTTCATTCAAGGAAATATTTTCTTCAAAATTTCACATGATGAGTACTAGTTCCAGAATAGCTTTATAGAGAATAACAGTAGATTGATTGTTGGTGTTAAGTGCCACTTTCAGCACACTTGGCTATATCATTGTTGGTGTTAAATGCCACTTTCAGCACACTTGGCTATATCTTGTTGGTGTTAAATGCCACTTTCAGCACACTTGGCTATATCATTGTTGGTGTTAAATGCCTCTTTCAGCACACTTGATTATATCATTGTTGGTGTTAAATGCCACTTTCAGCACACTTGGTTATATCATTGTTGGTGTTAAATGCCACTTTTGCACACTTGGCTACATCATTGTTGGTGTTAAATGCCACTTTCAGCACAATTGGCTATATCATTGTTGGTGTTAAATGCCACTTTCAGCACACTAGGCTATATCATTGTTGGTGTTAAATGCCACTTTCAGCACACTTGGCTATATCATTGTTGGTGTTAAATGCCACTTTCAGCACACTTGGCTATATCATTGTTGGTGTTAAATGCCACTTTCAGAACACTTGGCTATATCATTGTTGGTGTTAAATGCCACTTTCAGCACACTTGGTTATATCATTGTTGGTGTTAAATGCCACTTTCAGAACACTTGGTTATATCATTGTTGGTGTTAAATGCCACTTTTGCACACTTGGCTATATCATTGTTGGTGTTAAATGCCACTTTCAGCACAATTGGCTATATCATTGTTGGTGTTAAATGCCACTTTCAGCACACTAGGCTATATCATTGTTGGTGTTAAATGCCACTTTCAGCACACTTGGCTATATCATTGTTGGTGTTAAATGCCACTTTCAGCACACTTGGCTATATCATTGTTGGTGTTAAATGCCACTTTCAGAACACTTGGCTATATCATTGTTGGTGTTAAATGCCACTTTCAGAACACTTGGCTATATCATTGTTGGTGAAGGAAGCCAGAGTACCATGTAAGACCCAGAGACCTTTGACAGGAAAACTGGCAAGCCTTATCAATTAAGCATGTACTCAAACTCACCTTGCTAAGAGCTAGGTTAGAACTCACTATCTCAGTGTTTACAGACTTGTGATCACTGTAGATGTACTTCATAGATCACTCGGGGCCTCGTTGGCCGAGTGGTCTAAGTAGTTACTACTGTAATCACTAGCCAGTCAACACTGAGGTTGTGAGTTCAAACCCCGCTCGTGCAGGTGCACTCGACTCCAATCTTAATTGACTAGGATTGTCAGTTTTCCTATCGAAGGTCGGTGGTTTTCTCCGGGCGCTCCGGCTTCCTCCACCAATAAAAACTGGCCGCCACGAAATAGCCCAAAAGCGGTGCTTAAAAGTGGCGTTAAAACACCAAAAATCAAAAAATCAAATCATAGATCACTCGGTCACTGAGGCCCAAATATAAAAAAAGATGCTAGCTCAAATCAAAGACTTAAAAAAAAATAAGATCACTCAGTCACTGAGGCCCAAATATAAAAAAAAGATGCTAGCTCATGTCAAAGACATAAAAAAAAAATAAGAGATGTCCAAAGAACATGGATGTAAGCAACTATAATTTTTAAAGTAAATAAAAGATCACTGTGTTTTCACACAGATTTAAAACCTTATCTATAGCATCTTTAAAGTGATAATGTCTAGGTTACATTCTAATGGAAGAATAGGCTAAATTTGTGCCATGTTCCTAGTGATTACCTAACAAGGAATTGACACTACAAGGAAACACTTTCATGGGGAATCCAAATTGATAGATATAAGAAGATGTGGTATGAGTGCCAATGAGACAACTCTCCATCCAAGTCAAAATTTATAAAAGTAAACCATTATAGGTCAAAGTAAACATGTTTATAAGTGCATTTTAAGGCTTAATTGATTGCATAATTTAGCTCATATTTTAATGTTTTATATTTTTCATCACATTTGTAGATATTTGATATCATTCCTTAATGGATTTGACCTTAAGCTTAATAAGAGACCTTAAGTTTAAAGGCAATTTTAGTTATGATTACTGAATAGAATGCTCCAAGTATTTTACTACCCCAAAAAAATCCCTAAATTATATATTAAAATTTTTTAATAAATCAACTCACCTGTATAAGTTGGATGAAATGAATCTCAGGCTCACCTAAAAAATGTGTACATGTATATCCGTTTAGTTGATTTTTTCTAGCCAGGAATTCAGATATAAATTCAACCAAAAATAGTTTGAAACAAGAGAATTAGGTGTTTTTCAAACAAATTTCTTTTGACTACCCTTTCTAAAATCAAATAGATCCCAGATAAAAAATGCACATACAGGATACTAAACCAAGATTGGTAAATGAATGACAGTACAAAATCAGAAACAATTTAAAAAATGTTAACTTTGTGATGGGGTATTTTTCCTATAAGTACACTCTACATCGCAGTGTGTTATCATCTGTTATAAGTGAAGGACAATAATGTCATAATATATACCATGGTGTTTTTATTCATTTCATGATAACATGATAAATTAATTAAAAAATGCCCTATGACTTTTGTCATGTACATTTTACCTTAGATTGTCCATGAAATAGACCACTGATACACTAAAAGATGAAACATATTGATTTATAGATAACAGTGCATTACTGAAATGTACTATATATTTCAATGACATATCTGCACTTTAAATTTACAATTTAAACATAGTTTATCTTGTCAAATGGTCAAATTTTAGCCTTCGCATCACAGTGGAACTGTGGCTTCTTCATCCATCTATCCATAAGCATCTGAAACTATTTAGTCATTTGTTTTAATATTTAATTTCAGATTAATAAGGATCATTATAATGAGACAAGATGTTGTAAAAGGGATATATTAATGTCATTGTCCATCTGTAACACTGTTGATACTGAAGAGTCCCAGTTTATAATCCAACTTTATCAAATACTTGATCATGGAGAAAGCTTAACCCTTTTTAACGGTTAAAGGTCAAATATCAATGTTACAATATGATTTTGGAGATAACCTCTTGTAGGCACTGTTAGCTTCACTTGTGTAATCTTCATCAAAATTTGTTCAATGCTTGTCTATAAGGAGAGCTTGAACTGTAATTTCAAGGTCAGAGGGTTCAGTCACAACTCAACTTGAAAAATAAAAATTTGTAGACCTTATTATTAAACTTTGGTATTGCTGTGCAGAGCCGTTTTTGAACTCTTTTATATCAAGGTCAGAGATGACTGGTCATGAATACAGTATGACTGAATGGATTTAGATTTTTATTATTTAAGAGAAAATGCACCTAGGCATCAAATGAAGTACATGGAGAGAATATTTAAATCCTACTTACAAGGTCATAGGTCAAATCATGTCATTTGAGGGTATCATAAAATTCTAGTCTTGCATCCAATCTTGGAGATAGTCGAAGATAGTCTAAATCATCTATAATTTCAAAGACTGATGTCAGACTCAAAGGTCAAGCTCAAAACATGTAATGAGAGATTAAAGCTGGCAGATCACATAGCACTTAAATCACATTAAATCTTTACTATAACTAACACCAATGACAATGGATGTTTAATAATTGAGAGAGAAATTTTAAAGTCAATATCTTACAATGTATATCACCTGATAGAATTGATAAAAAACAACCATTCAAATTTTATCTGATGTGGAAGGAATGCTCTTTTTCATAGTGTCCTTGCTTTTTTAAATGTTTCTGCAAATTTGATACAAACTTAACAAAACTGACTCCTCAGACACTACTGCCAATAGCTATTTAGAGGAGGCAACTTTCAGCAAATGTTTGTAAGAATTCTACACTTATTTCTTTACCTGTACTTTAGTTGTCAAGTGAGGATAATAAACAATTTATATATGGTTTGAAGTGAGGATATTAAACAATTTATATATGGTTTGAAGTCAGGATAATAAACAATTTATATATGGTTTGAAGTGAGGATATTAAACAATTTATATATGGTTTGAAGTGAGGATATTAAACAATTTATATATGGTTTGAAGTGAGGATAATAAACAATTTATATATGGTTTGAAGGGAGGATAATAAACAATTTATATATGGTTTGAACATGTTGAAGTGAGAATAATAAACAATTTATATTTGGTATTCTTTGTCGAAAGCTCATTACAGAAGCAATAATCATTGATATGAATAATTCGTTAGATAACAAAGATAAAATAGTTTACATTTTGCTTTTTCTATCATTCTTCATTAACTTAAATTTTAACACAAATAACTCTGCAGTAAAGATCTTTTCTATATCTGAAGGTTTTTTTTTAGGCTTTACTATTGTCTGTTTTATATTAATAAAAGGAGATGTGGTGTAAAAGTCAGTGAGACAGCAAATCAACAACAAAAATAACCAAAGACATCTAGATGGCAACATATTCTTCAAAAATTAACAGGTGTCCATTCAAAATGCCAAATTGAAATCTGCCTAAGTTAAAAAAAAGTTGTGAATAATTAAACTGTGATTAAACTCACAAAAGGATACCCCATGCTCCCCCACAAATTGGATTATCTCCCTCTTTAACCTGTTGGACAAAGATTTTCATCCTTTAAGCACATCCAATGTTTAATAAATATCCATCCAGCTTGTAATGACCACTTACAATGCTAATTACTTGGGACAGGTACATGCACATTTGGCAGAGTTTCAGGCAAGTGGTATTAATGAAAAATGAATACCTTACTTGTCTATACATATTATGTAGGGTGATCTTATCATGAATTTTCACTTCCTGTCTGTCCACAATACTTTATTATACGTATAGGTATATATATTTTAGGATGTTCTTTATATATCACTGTATTATATTTGTAAATTTTATAGGATTTCAAATTTGAGTATAAGAGATATTAGGTGCATTCCTCTAAAACAGCAATCCAACAATACTTGTTCACAAAAATAAGTGTCTAGAGCTCATCATATAGTTTGCAGAAAGTTAAACCAGATTTGTAACTCATTCCTTTCCAATTATCTCAATTAGCGGAAGAACTAAAGTGCTGCTGCAAAAGAAAAAAAAACAATACTATATCTAACCATATGAAAATGCTCAAAGTTACTGAAAGAAAGCAGAAGATATTTTATTTGCAGTCTATAATAAATAATTTTTATTCACATTTCAGGATATTGGTAACCATTCCTGTCTTGTTTGCCCATGGCACAGATATAAAGTGACATTACAGACAGGAGAAAATTTTTACCAGGTAGGTATAATAACCTATGAATCTAATAACCTGAATGAGACTTACAGCATTCTTAACGAAAATCAATGTAATCTAGTACCATCAGTATTTTCCAGATGCTTATTACTATTGATTTGCTGTTTTCTAACATAGTTATTCATGTATAATGTATAACAAAAATATTCAGTGTTTGGTTTTTTTTGTTATTAAATACAACACACATTGTATAATCAGGCTTATGGTGGATCAAGTATATATTACATTAGATAGAATATTCTTATACTTTGCCAAAATGTAGATTTTACCATGCTTTTTTTCAAAAATATAATAAAAAGTATTGGTCCCCGTGCTATTTTTCAAGCTACAAGTCATGCAAAATTGTCCAATTTTGCAAAGATTATTCATGAAAAACTTTTTTTGTAAATAAAAAAAAATTTATGGGATAGAATTTTTAAATAAAATATGAGAAGATAGGTTTTATAACATGCTACAAGTAAAAAACGAAAATTTCATGAGCAATCCTTATAAAAAATTTACTTTTTAGAGTTATCTCCCCTAGAATAGCTAAGTTGAAAAATTGATTCGAACAAAAAAACAAATATTTGGTATTAGATAAAACAATCTAAATAATGCAATAAATTACTTATTTTTTCTTTGTTCATCAGTTTTACACATTAATTGCCAATCTGACTCATCTTTTAAGATTTAAGCAAAGAACTACCGATTGTGTACTGCTATTTTACAATCCAAGATGGCAGTATACAGTTAATCTACCTTAAGAAAAATAGGATAGAAGTTGAGCAAGTAATTGCAAACTCTATCATGACTAAAAAAGAGAACCAACCACTTTCTAGAACCCTACTCTCATGGTGATTGACTGCAGTTATCTGCACTATTTTATTATATTCTTGGACCATTTTGCTTCTTTAAGAATAACCGCTCATTGTAGATTTTATAAATTATTCTAACAAAACTGTGATATTGCATCATTTGTATTTACTTAAATGTTCTTGTAAGCTTATGAGATAAAAAATGGACACAACATTCGCGCTTGATACAGGTCTGAATTTGGTCTGTAATTAAATATTTGACACATAATAGGTTTCTGACACAGAATAACTGTAGTCAAAGAACTTAGAATTGGTTATATGATTTGAATTTATATTCAATTTTTTGCTTTTGTGCAATACACTATGCTGTTGCAAATTGACCCCCCCCCCCCTTTTTTTTTGCAAAAAAAAATAATATTTGAAGAAATTTTCTTTTTATGTTCTCCAATCTGAAATGAGAAAAAAAATTGTTCCCCCTTTTTACCCCCCCCCCCCCCCCCCCCCCCCAATTTTTTGTTTCACCTCCCCTTTTTCCAAAAAAAAAAAATTCTTTCCCTCAAGATATGGTCATTATCTCAATTCAAATTTCCAATGGAGTTTGCAACCATAATTACCCATTTAAATACATCATAGAAGTCTTAAAATAGAAAATGACATACATAATCATGTCTAAAATTAGTATTCCTTAATCAGCATTTTTATTAGTAACTTCTAAAAATAAATTAACAGCTAATCACCTCAAGACAATATAACATTTCTTTATACATAATTTAAAAGCAATGTAAGGAAGGTAATCCAAACACAAAACATTGTACTTAAAAGTAATTGTCCATTAACAAGGAAACCCTTGTTTTTCCACCTTTTTTGCCCCTAATTCCTTAACGGTTTGAGCCATTACCCCCAAAGCCAATCCTAACCATCCCATTGTGGTATGGAAACTTGTGGTATAATTTCAGAGAGATCCATACACCGTTCCACAAGTTATTGTCTGGAAACTAGAATAAACTGCTTCGCTGAGCGCAGCTAGATACGCCCACAGAGGTCCAACCCTGAACAGTTGGGGCAAAAATGGACACAATATTCAAGCTTGATTCAGGTCTGAATTTGGATTGTAATTAAATATTTGACATATTATAGGTTTCTGAATAAATGTAGTCAAAGAACTTAAAATTGGTTATATGAATTGAATTTATATTCAATTAAAGACTTCTTGCTGTTGTGCAATACTTAGTATATCTGTTGTCAGACTATAAACAAATAAAGTTCAATTAATTCTCAATGTCATATTAGAAATTTATGAAAATAAAAAGGGAGCTTACATCAATAGATATAAACAATTCACCAAAGTTTCCTGAGAATTGGTGACAGCATTTTTGAGTTATTGTCCGAAAACTGGAAAATTACCCCTTTTTTTAATGAATAAAACCCCATAACTCAGAAATGTAAAATGTAAAATTTCTTAAATTCTAAAAGGAGCTTAAATCAATACATGCAAACAATTCACCAAAGTTTCATAAGAATTGCTGAAAGCATTTTTGAGTTTTTGTCCGAAAACTGGAAAATCCCCCCTTTTTTTATGAATAAAACCCTGTAACTCGGTAACGTAAAATCTAAAATTTATAAAAATCGAAAGGGAGCTCATGTCAATAGATATAAACAATTCACCACAATTTCTTGCAAGTTGTTGAAAGCATTCTTGACTTATTGTCTGAAAACTGATAAATCCCCCTTTTTTTAATGAATAAAACCCCATAACTCGGAAACGTAAAATCTAAATTTTATAAAAAACGAAAGGGAGCTCACGTCAATAGATATAAACAATTCACCAAAGTTTTATGCAAATTGGTGAAAGCATTTTTGAGTTAATGTCCGACATGTTGACGACGGATGGACAGACGGACAACGGTATACCATAATACGTCCCGTAAACGGGCGTATAATATAACCCCCAAAATCAATCCCCACCTTCCTTTTGTGGTTATAAACCTTGTGTTTAAATTTCATCGATTTCTATTTACTTAAGTTATTGTCTGGAAACCAAATGTCTTCGGACGATGCCGCCGACGACAATGTGATACCAATATACGACCACAAAAATTTTGTGGTCGTATAAAAACTTGTCCTCATCTTTAATGCTGCACATCTTTATAATTATTGTTAACCTTTAACTTTCAGTCAATTGATCCTTATAATACAAAGAAAGCACCAGTATGGACCTGTGGAGGTGTAAAACAGCGTACTCATCAAGTTATTATTAAGGATGAAGATATTTACTTAAAACTATCTCCATGTTCAGGTGATCTAGCCTCAGATCATTACAACTCACCTGAATATAAGTACAAAAATGATCTGACCTGAAAATGAGCAAGAATGGAGTTGTCTCCCTAATGTTAACAATTCATGTCCTAGTGGTCCTATCTCAATAGTGAAGTACAGAAGCACTTGGGGAGCAGAACGTGGTATATTGAAGAAAAATGACTAAATAAAGCTGTGAATGCCTTTATTTGTGGAAAGTTTATGTGATACTAAAAATTCAGTGGGCTTTTGTTTTTTGCCTCAATCAGAAATGGTACAATCCAATCGAAACATGCTGTTGGGTATCTGATTTCACAGAAACACTGTCATACCTTAAAATACTGGACCATATGTATAAATGTAGACTTTGGATGTATAAAACTGGATTTTACTTAGAGATAAAAAACACATATGGAATTAGTCAATTTTATTACTAGTAACAAAGTAACTATATCAAAAACAGGACATCATAACAAATATCACATGTCATTTTAAAACATATACAATGATGGCACATTAATTGGCCTGACACTTGAAATACATTATTGCTCCGCAGAGCCTTCTTACTCTATGCATAATACAAATAATTCCAACAGTATAGTTAAAACAATATCAGCAGAAACCAAATAAATATTGAGAAATGAATGTGAAGCTTTAGTTAGATTAAATGATAATAAACAGAAAATAAATGATTGAATTTCAAAGGTGCAACATTTTTAAGATAATCAAAATAAACATAGTGTTTGTTTAAAATTTAAAATTGGTGAAGTTCAGCTCAAGGGGGAGGAGTGGGTGTTAGAAATATTTTATTTTGATTTGAAAACACACCATATTCAAAATGTTAGTTTTATATGCCATCTGGGGTTGTTGTCTAATAGACATTTACCACATTTCTTCCTGGTTCAATGTGGCTTGATGAGAAAATTCAACCGTATAGTTATATATATCTGTCTTTTTGTTCTGTCAGAGAATATGTCTTACAATAATATATACATTACTTCTAAATAATGAAAGCAACAAATAGAGATCAAGGTTCTGACTAAGAGTATAGAACTGCCAAACATGAAAACTGGTATGATTTTGACTATTTCAATGTGCTGACAAACTCATTTTTATGCCTCATGTTCAATTTCAAATTATATCTTAAAAACAAAAATCACCAAGTTAAACTATTAATTGGGAATGGGATATAATTATCAATTGCTTGTGCTGCCCAAAAAAATCATCAAATATGAATCTTGCTATCTACCATGTCTACTAAAACACAGACATGTATACACACTTCATGAACACACAATACCTTTCCTACACAGCCTTCCACAATCTCTTTGCAAGGAGTTACAAAATCAGTACCGGTAATTTGATTTATATGGGATTAGATCTTAATTTTAAAATTTGAATACTTAACATTTGAAAAACAGAAATGTTAAACATCACTGAATCATGACTGCAGGACACCAATTATATATTTTAAAATGCTTTTTACTGAAATCCATGAATGATATTGTAGCAACATAATAAATACTACTGGTCTAATATAGTACTTAAGGAATGGCTGTAATATTTTTTCTGTCTATGAAGAAATAACATAAAAAATGTGGTGCACACTGAATAACTGTGTAGCGGGTTATTTAAAAGTGTGCACAACATTTTTGAGGTTATTTCGAATAGACAGAAAAAATATTAGTCATTCCTTATAATTTAATGCTAAATTCCATTTTTAAGGAGTAAATCATGAAAAAACGTTGATGACGTCACAGTCACATGACCAAATTATGTCTATGAGCTGATAGACAAAAAACTTTCAGCCAATCAAAAGATGTCTATATCCAAAATTAAATTATTTCTTCATAAACACACTTATTTGAACAAATGTAAGATGTTGTCATGAAAAAGAAGTTCCTTTATAGTATTAGTTCCAAATGGAAGAAATATTCTGTAATATTTTTTTCCACTGGAACAAATATTCTGTTTGGCTGTTTTCTGCTCTTTGGTCAAGTTGTTGTCTCTTTGACACATTCCCCATTTCCATTCTCAATTTTATGTAATATTTTTTTCCACTGGAACAAATATTACAGAATTTGTTCATTACAGAACAAAGGGTATAGAATACAACAGGAACAGATATTACAACATTGTTTAATATAAAGTTTCCAGGGGAACTTCTGTTAGGCAGAAAAAATATATGTTGACACTGTCTTGTCATCAAAGCAAAGACTCAGAAAACAGTCTAAAATTCTGTTGGAAATGAAATGCATGTACTGGTATGCTAAATATGTAACAACATTCAATGTGTGAATATTAACCTATCAACATATTTCTATTACAAACACAATCAAACATTGAAAAATTCAAAAGTCACTGGAGCATAGCTACAAGGAGAAAAATTCCCTGTGATATATTTTAACTAATCTCTATTGGGAATGTCTACATAACACCTATTCCTGGCTGTTTTATAAGACAAGAAATTTCCATCAAAGACAATAAAATCAATATTTACAAATAAGCATAACATCAACAAATATATATGTGCACATGATAGAGATAAGACATTCATTCTAACTCAGAACATGGCCGGGTTTATTAAATATCAACTGCACCACATTAAAAATAAATTACTTGCCCTTCAATACTAGAATCTAATTAAGCTTAGAGGGCAAGGTAATTTTGATTAGGCTTGCCATGTCAAGGTGATAGTGCTTATTTCCACCTATGCACAGTACATTCACTACATTATATCACATAAATTATTTCTATGCCATTTCTTAGTCATATAGTTAACAGCCAAAAAGCATTACCAGTATATACAATTATAATAACTGTTGACAAATCCATAGAGAGGTTCTAGGAGTTATAAGCTTTTTTTTATATATTTGCTTTTAAATCAGGTAAAAATCAATACCAATTGAGTTGGATCCTCTCCCCTTCACCAAGTGGTAACTCCTAGAATCCCCCTTTTTCAAGTTTCTGAATAGTAGCCTAATAACATCATGGTATATCATAAAAGATATGTGTATGACTGAATTGTTACTAAATGAAAAGTGATTACCAGATTGTTTATATCAAATTGAAATACTACTCTGAAAACTCAGCACATGAATATCCAAATAAAATACCACAAAAATACAATTCTGATTATATCTTTTTGATTGAATCAATGTTAATCGTATATTTATTTATAACAAATACATTATAAGCACTGAGATCAACAATTTTACAAAAATGAGTATAATAGATTTGATATGAAATATATGTAATGTATCATGTAAAAGATATCTTTTTCTATCTACATGTAAAATAATATAACAATATAAACAATCAGAAGGGAGCTGAAAAATACATATTTAATTACATGAAGTTACCTTCTTTTATTGCTGCATTATTTTTATAATAGCATAGCAAACAATTTATCATACCTGGAGGTTTTAACCATTCAAATGAGTAAGCAGAAAAAATAGGTTATGCATCAATCTAGCATATTTTTAACTCTGCACATTTTGGATATTACCATCTCATGTACATCTACCCTGTTTTTTATTTCTTAAATAAATAAAAGAAAATTGTAGATAAACCTCAATAAGACAGCAATCCAACAACCAAAATTGCCAACTAATATCTAGATGGCAACATTACATGTCTCTGTACAATAGCTCTTAATCATCCCATTTTCTGTGGATTTATTATTATTCCAGGAATGAAAATTTTCATGGGTAAAGGTGAACCACAAAGTTGAATGTTCAATGAAGTTAAATTTTAGATAGGGTTATATTACCTTATATGCAGACTTTGGCAAAACCATGAAATCATATATCCATGAAAAATACAATTATTCCTCAATCCATGAAAACTGAAACCCATGAAAATAGTAATTAATCAACAGTACACCAAATTCTAGTACAACAAGAATGTGTCCATAGTACACGGATGCCCCACTCGCACTATCATTTTCTATGTTCAGTGGACCGTGAAATTTGGGTCAAAAATCTAATTTGGCATTAAAATTAGAAAGATCATATCATAGGGAACATGTGTACTAAGTTTCAAGTTGATTGGACTTCAACTTCATCAAAAACTACCTTGACCAAAAACTTAAACCTGAAGCGGGACTGATGGACGAGCAGACGAACAGACGGACAAAAGGATGCACAGACTGAAAGACAATCCCCATAAATGGGGCATAAAAACCTAAAGATATTAAGACACCCACTGACAAGGTTCTTGTTTTGGAACAGGAAATAGAACATGTTGTGAGGTTAGATCTCAAACCTCCACCTTTTAATCTGAATTATTCAACTAAAAGCAGGTATATAAAATACATACAATAAAAACAGTACAGGAAAAGCACTTTACTAATATACTAAATAACAGTATAATAGATAACAAAAAACAAGTATAAACAATATGATACAATAGCAAAGAAACTTACTAAAATGAAACTCAGTACTTAGTTAATCTTCATGGAAGATTACATGCAACAATGTCATAAACAGTACAAGTGCAATGCACAGAACAAACAACAGAACTTCAATGCAGAAAAATAAAAGAAATATTTGTTAAAGTATTTCTTCAAACTACAAAATTAATAAACCAGTGAATTTATGTTAATCCAAAAAATAACAGATACAGTAATTGAAAAATACTTATAATCTTTATCAATAACTTTATCAAGATAAAAAAAAGTTTGACCAATTTATTATATCTTTATCCGTGCTGTAAAAGATATTTAGTAATGAACATATTATGCTGACCAAATTCATACATCACTAACTCATGGGCTCATTGAACCAACAGAGAAATCTGCACTCCATAAGAAGGGTCAAACAATAAGTACATAGCAATCAAGGAAAGGAAAATTGACCATTGGAATGGAAAAATTGTTACAAAGTCTATAATGGAAATGTTTTTTATACATAGTTCTCTTGTTTGACCTTCATAAATGATCAACAGTGAAAAAATTTGAATACATACACCATATCATAAAGCTGAACAAAAAAGACACTGATAATTAATGAGGTAGGTTTTATGTCTTGGTACAGGTACATTCTAGCTTAAATGCACATTTATATTTTAAGATCTAATATTGTACCAAGTTTAAAATAATTACAGCACTGTTATTGATTGTATAAGTATTTATCTGTTCCTATTATAGTCAACAATAAAAATTTGACCCCATTCCAGTCTATGTAATCATATATCTGAACTGTTCCGTTGGTAAGAAATTTGACCACACTGCTCTTAGTCATGTATATTTGTACAAGTAGTCAAAGATCAAAATGAAAGCATATACATGGTCATATTAGATTTGAAATTTACTTTCTGTTTAAAAATGACATACATGTATATAATTTGAGACTTCTATAAAATCAAATGAAAAGTAAGATATAAATTTTTGAATTATTGCAATTAATGTTATGAATACCTGATAATGAAAACAAGGTACGTTCTGACATTAATGTACCATGGATTTATTTATTTTTGTAGATACCAATTTTCGTGGATTTGAGAAAAAAAATGCATGAACATGGATTTTGAATTTGTGGTATTGCCAAAGTCTGCATACAAGCCTATTGAGAATTTGTACTTCCTGAAACATTTAAATTTGTGGTTCCCCTTCATCCATGAATGCCATGAAAACTGGTATCTCACAAATAATGATCCAAAGTAACCAGGTATGATAAATTGAATATAACTATTGTTCTAGCTATCATTTTGGTCATCACTCTAACAAATAACAAAACCGGTAAAATATATAATAATCACTAAATTCTTGGTTAGACTCAATATTCCTAAATGTATTACAAATAAATAAATGATAATTTGAGTTGTAGGAAACAAACTATGACAATCTTTAAATGCTAAGATGAATAAATGTGTACGTAATGTTTCCCTAGCCGTGATGGAAATTGGTGGGTAATCTGTATCCCTACTACAACTGGAACTGGTGAGTGATCTTGATCGTTGCAATGATCTGATCAGATGAGTAATCTTGAACTGTATCTCTGCTATGACTGGAACAATAATCTCTGATAGTGTGGATAAATCTCATTGTCAGACAGATGTAGTGAAAACTCCAAAGCCACCAAACAAGCAAATTCAAACGTCAACAATTCCTTTCTGTGTAATCTAAAGTCATCTTCTACTTGCTGTTTAAAATAAAAACAAATTTTAAATAAATCATAAAAATGCATTCAAGTACCGTTAATAACATTAGGTAAAAGATTTTTTAAAATTTATAATTTTTAATGCATTGATATATTGGTGGGCATTAACCCTTTTTCATTTTTCTATGCTGATCAATTTCTGGCACAAAGAAACAGATTGTGAGATAGGGCATTTTTTTGGGCCTACAATTTGAATATTGTTAGTCTTGTTCTATCAATTCATAAAAGATAGCAAAATTACTATAAATGAAGAATCAAGGTAATTGATTATGATTATATCATGATGCCATTATAATCTATACTTTGAAAAAAGCATAATAGATGATTTTAATTCAAGCATTTTGTTCATGGCATTTGCATTCAGAAAACATCACCTAAAAACATAACTAAACAAAATATTTTAAGGGAAATAAAACACATTGTACTTAATATATAAAGATGGCCCATACATGAAAGGACACGTTCCTAATTAAAAAGAGGCAGGAATATTGAGCATAAGAAATAGAATTCTGAAAATTCTTCAAAATATGTGACTTTTATGATACCATAAGAACATTGTAAGTTTTCTCCTTTTTTTTCAACTGTTGTATTTTTTCTGAAACACTTGTCGCAGTACAACCAGTTTCATTTGATTTTTTAGTTTCAGTCTATTTTAGTACCAAATAACTGTAAACTAACTCACTTATCCTTTTTTTAAAGTCTCACTAAAATAATTATTATACAAAATGGGACAGACAATTAATTTAATCAGCTTTAATTATGCTTCATTATATATCATAATCCTGGGCTTGCTCAGGTTAATAAGTGAACCTTTACTTTATGTCAAGGCCGCACGCCTTTTTTCACAGCTGAGTGATTTTTTGTCTGACCACTACTATATAAGCCCGTGCAGAGACGTGACCAGCCTCTTTATTTTAAAAGGCCGCACGTGGTTAGTCGACTCGATTAAACGCGAAATAAAAGTTTTACAACAGACTCTGTTGTAAAATAATTTATCCGAATCGGAAATATTGAAAATAAATTTCAAAACTTGGCAGAATCTGTCAGCTGTTTATACAGAAATTATGTCGCGCTGTACATCGCGTTTAAGCGACAGTGACAGTAATGACAATGACGATGAAATACTAAAATTATTTGCGTCAGACGAAGAAGTTGATGCTTCATTTTCTGGTTTTTCTCAAGTTGAGAACATTATTGACCCTGAGTTGGATAACCCGGAAGCACAAATATTAATTGCCGAGGACATCCGAATGGCAAAAACACAAAAACAACAACAGACTGAAAATTCAGTAATGAAAGGTAAGAAGAGTACAAGCTCTACAAAAGGCAAGGCTTTAGCAAGCAAGTAAAAAACACCTAAAAGGCAGGTGACTGAGATGGACAACGAGTTGCCATCAGGGAGCGGAATAACAGTAAGTCCGGTTAAAAAACGTGGTAAAGTTACGAAGGCTACTACGAAACCTCGCACAACCACAGGCACAGTTAAGAAAAATACTGCAAAGAATCAGCTTGACCAGTCAGAGTTACTTAAAACTCTATTTAAAGGTTTGTCGGATACTCTGGTATCCACATTGAGTCAGAATAATGAAAAGTCACAAAGACCAAGTAGTAATATTGACATTGAATTTTCTGAGAATGAGTCTGTAGCCGACGAGCAGGTGATTGACACCAATTACAATATTTTTTCTGATGAAGAGAATGAACCTCAAGTTGTTGCATCAGATGATGAATTTGATTATGAACTACCTAAGATTTTTGAAGATGATGAAAAATACGATGAAGAGGTAAGCCAATCATTGGCTAAAGTATTTGACAATATATGTAAAAAGAAATCTGATGTGTCAGTAATGACGAGAGAGATGAAGATACCTGTTAATTGTAAAAGTCTGGTAACACCCCCAGTTAATGCTGAGATATGGCAATTCCTTGAAAGAAAAGCTAAAACTGCTGATTTGAATCTGCAAACTATACAAAAATCGCTGGGTTGTGGTATGGTACCATTGATAAGAGTGGCTGAAATTCTGAAATCCAAAACTCCAGATGTAAAACTAATGAGAGAAAATATTTCTAAAGCTTTGGCTATTTTAAGCAATACTCACTTTGAGCTATCAATTAAAAGACGGATGTCTTTAAAGCCACACATAGACAAGAAATACCACCAACTTTGCAATCGCAATGAAGATGTAGGTTCTAGCCTTTTTGGAGATGAAGTTGGCAAGCGATTGAAAGATATCAATGAAATTAACAAAATAAACAAGAACATTACTAGTAGCTATAGTAGAAATTCAAATTACAGAGGAAGTTTCAGGGGAAGAAGCCGTTTTTTAGGCAGAAGGGGCTATCAGCCGAGACAAAGTTATCAGAGCCCACGGGGTCAATTGAGAGGAAACAGACCCAACACCTTCAATCAGAAAAGAAGATTTTAAAGGTGAGAAATAAAAGTATAAATATTAAAAGAAAGTCGGGTAAACTGAAAAAATTTATTTCAAATTGGAAATATTTAACCAAAGACAATTGGATTATTTCTACAATTAAGGGATATAAGATAGAATTTGATAGAAAGCCAATTCAGGAAAAAATTCCATTTCCTATAAAATTTAACAATAAGGAAAAGGCCCTTATTGACAAAGAAATAGTTGATATGCTTGAGAAAGGTGCTATCAAAGAATCTTTTGATGAATCAGAACAATTTATTTCAAATATATTTCTAGTAAAAAAGAAAAATGGAAAATTTAGGCCAGTCATTAATTTGAAACCATTGAATCAATTTATTAGCTATCACCATTTTAAACAAGAAACGCTAGATTTGATTTTAAAAGGAATTTCTAAAAATAGCTTTTTTACATCTTTGGATTTGACAGATGCATATTTTTCCATTTCAATCTATGAATCAGACAGAAAATATTTAAAATTCATATGGAATGAAAAATTATATGAATTTCAATGTCTACCATTCGGTATTGCTTCTGCTCCAAGAGTATTTACAAAAATACTGAAAGTAATATTTTCACATATTCGGAGCATGGGTATTGATTCATATTTTTACATTGATGATTCCCTGTTGCAAGCAGAAAACTTTGATTTGGCAATCCAAAATAAAGAAAGGGTTAAAACTTTTATAGAGTCAGTTGGGTTTGACATCAATATTGAAAAATCAGTTTTTATTCCAACCAATAGAATTATATTTTTGGGATATATTATAGATTCAGTACTATTTAAGGTATTTTTACCAGAGGAGAAAGTACAGAATATAATTGAACTATCAAAGAAAATGCTTAAAGCTCACAAAGTATCAATTAGAAGTCTAGCACAATTAACAGGACTTTATTCATCTGCACATTATGCAGTACATTATGCTCACTTGTTTCATAGATATTTAGATTTAGACAAAACACGAGCTTTACATACATCAAATAATAATTTCAATTCATTTTTGAATATCTCAGTAGAAGGCAAATCTGAAATAGTTTGGTGGTTAGAAAATGTTAAAACAGTTAATGGGAGACCTATTAGAAATGATTCCCCAAGTTATTATTTACATACAGATGCCTCCCTCAATGGTTGGGGAGCTGTTTTTCATGGAAAGCAAACTCAAGGTCATTGGAGTTTGGAAGAGCAGTGTTTACACATTAATACTTTAGAATTAAAAGCTATCTATTTTAGCATAATATCACTTTGCTGTCATGTAGAAAGAACACATATTTGTGTAAAATCAGATAGTTCCACTGCTGTAAACTATATAAATAATCAAGGAGGATCAGTTTTACCTTTATTAGAAATAACAAAACAAATATGGTATTGGTGTATAAAAAACAAAGTTTTACTATCTGCTGTTCATATTCCAGGGAAAGAAAATATTATACCAGATAATTTATCAAGAAATTTTAATGACACTTCAGAGTGGAAACTCAATGAATCAGTTTTTAATGAAGTAACCAAACATTTTTTCATACCAGATACAGATTTGTTTGCCTCAAGGCTAAATAAACAATTGAATAATTTTGTAAGCTGGTTTCCAGATCCTGATGCTTATGCAACTGATGCTTTTTCATTTTCATGGCATAAATTATATCCTTATATATTTCCTCCTTTCAGTCAAATCAGCAGAGTACTTCAAAAGATAGAAGACGATCAGGTAAGCAGGGCAATTTTAATCGTCCCTGTATGGACAACTCAGTTATGGTATCCAAAGTTATTGAAAACATTAACAGATTTTCCTGTAAAATTGCCTCAGTTGTCAAACTTGCTAACTCTAGCACACAACAATCAAAGTCATACAATCAACACAAGAAAAATGTTTCTTATCGCCTGTCTTGTTTCAGGAAACATCTCCTTAATCAAGGGTTTTCAGACAAAACTACAAAAATCTTTCTTAAATCTTGGAGAAAGTCAACCAATGTTCAGTATGAATACTCTTGGAGAAGCTGGGTTTTGTGGTGTAATTCAAGACAAACTAGTCCCACTTCTCCATCTGTAAAGTTACTCTTAGATTATCTGTCCATTTTATTTCAAAAAAGTTGGTTCTTATAGCTGTATAAATAGTCACAAATCAGCAATATGTCAGACACTGACTTTATTGGGTAACTTATCTTTTGAAAATAACAGTTATATTCAAAGATTTTTGAAAGGTGTGTTTAATCTAAGACCACCAAGACCAAGATATTTGTTTACTTGGGATGTTGGCAAAGTATTGAGCTATTTAGAATCTCTGTACCCGTTACAGGATTTGGATTTAAAAATGTTAACTCTAAAATGTGTTGCTTTAATTGCTCTAGCATCTGCTCAAAGATCACAAACACTTGCAAGTCTTAATTTAAACTCTGTTCTCAGTACAGGCACATCATTTATTTTTCGTGTCACAACTTTATTAAAGACGACACGACCAAAAAACATAGGACAAGATGTTATTATTCCTATCTTTCAGAAAAAAGAAATTTGTCCTGTTGAAACTTTAAAACATTATATTCACCGAACTAAAGACTTGAGAAAAAGTAGTAAATTGTTCATTTCATTCAGAACTTTAAAAGCTGTAACAAGCTGTTCAATTGCCAGATGGTTAAAATTGGTACTGTCTAATGCAGGCATAAATGTGTTGAAATTTAAGGCTCATTCATACAGATCTGCCTCCTCTTCTGCAGCTAAAAGAGCAGGTATATCATTAAATGATATCCTGAAAACAGCAAATTGGGCATCAGCTCAGACCTTCAAAAAGTTTTACTGTAAGGATATTGAGGTAGACAATACAAATTCAAATTATGTTCATTCAGTATTTAATCATACTTTTACAGCCTGATCACGTTGATGCTGACAGTAACTTAGAGATACAGTTCCAGGGTTTTTTCTGCATCAGGAGATGTACTGTCTGAGGAACTAAAAGATTGGAGATGGAGGAACCATTATTCCAGATGTTGATTCTTAATAGTGAAGGAGTAGTGACTGGACTTTTGCGATGTTATTTATATATCGTGTTGCGTGTATGGACATACTAAAGATTTATGAACTAGTGATGGACATCAAATAATATTTGTTTTCCAATTATATTGTGTTTACATGTGATGCATATTAATACACAAGATTAAAAGAATTAATCATATATTTTAATTTTTCTGCATTGCTACAAGAATTTTTAGGTGAAAGATTTGCTTTATACTGGGTCTAATTAGACTTAATTTTGGTATTTGATAAAATTGCAAAGTATGTGGAATAAAGACTGGAGAGCAAAGACTTGTCTGTCTTAAAACAAAACTTGTCAAAATGATTTGACTGATTTTCAAATCAGTTTTGTGTTGGATATTTATATTTGGTGAATTTCTTTGTTTATATCTCTGTTCAAGTTTTTACTGGTAATGTACATGAGATCAGTTGGTTATTAATTTCCATTTATTTCTTATTATATTTTGGAAGTTGCATTTATTGGAGCTACAAAGAGTTCACTTATTAACCTGAGCAAGCCCAGGATTATGATATATAATGTTACCTTATCCAAGCATCATTTATGATGTGAAGGATAAGGTGCATTATATGAAGAAGCCTAAGGGCTTCTAGGGTTAATATGTACCCTCCCAAATTATGTATTCAGTAATACGCCCGTCCCAAAAATAAATATTAAGACCAATAAATGCCCATAGCGGTTTGGGTTTTTAAAAAAGAGGCTGGTCACGTCTCTGCACGGGCTTATATAGTAGTGGTCAGACAAAAAATCACTCAGCTGTGAAAAAAGGCGTGCGGCCTTGACATAAAGTAAAGGTTCACTTATTAACCCTCGAAGCCCTTAGGCTTCTTCATATAATGCACCTTATCCTTCACATCATAAATGATGCTTGGATAAGGTAACATTATTTTTAGAAAATTGAAATAAAACAAGTTTGATAGTTGGTTTTTCAAGTAGAATATCACTAAGTATGAAGTATTTATCTAAATTAAGGTTAAATGTGTCCCTCTTCTAATTTCATCATTTTGGTTAATTGCATCTTCTTATTCATTGAAGCAAGACATTAACATTTTAGTAGCAATATTCTTTTGATTGTGGAGATTGTAACTTTTAGTGGAAATACTAAAAACCTCCCCTGGGTGTATTCTATAATTCAATAATGTGACTACAAGTCGGTCAATAAATGCAAAAATAAGGTTTAGTTTTCTAAAATGTATTTACCTCAATAAGTTTAGTAAGCTCTGGTCCTTTCACATCGTTTAACTTAGCAGACAGAATCAGGCATGCTCCAGCACACAACTTTCTGTTCTGTTTATTTATCAATAGCTGAAAATAATGCAACAACATACAAATCAATAGAATTCAATCTCAAAAATAATAAATTGCTTCGCCGAGGGCAGCTGGATACGACCGCAGAGGTCCAACCCTGAACAGTTGGGGCAAAAATGGACGCAATATTCGCGCTTGATACAGGTCTGAATTTGGATTGTAATTAAATATTTGACACATAAAAGGTTTCTGACACAGAATAACTGTCGTCAAAGAACATGGAATTGGTTATATGATTTGAATTTATTTTTGCTGTTGCGAATTGACCACCCCCCTCCCCCAAAAAAAAAATTTACCCCCCCTTTTTATTTTGCTTTTGTATTTTGATTAAAACCTTACACTGCTTTTAAATTGTCTTAATTGTTCATTAACCATTACTTTATACATAATTTAAAAGCAGTGTAAGGGAGGTAATTCAAATGATGTATTTGAATTACCTCCCTTACACTGCTTTAAATTATGTTTTGAACTAAAGTAACATTAACCAGGACACCCTTGTTTTTCCCCCTTTTTTGCCCCTAATTCCTAAACGGTTTGAGCCATAACCCCCCCCCCCCCCCCCCAAATCAAATCCTAACCATCCCTTTGTGGTATGGAAACTTGTGGTATGATTTCAGAGAGATCCATACACCGTTCCACAAGTTATTCCTGGAAACTATAAAAATGCTTATTTTTGGCCCCTAATTCCTTAACTGTTGGTACCATAACCCCAAAAATCAATCCCAACCTTCCTTTTGTGATATTGAACCTTATGGTTAAATTTCATAGAGATCCATTCACTCAAACTAAAGTTATTGTGCGAAAACCAATGTGTCTTCGGACGACAACGACAACGTCATACCAATATACGACAATTTTTTGCTGTCGTTTATAAAATCATCTGTCATTTATTGTTTTTGTGCCAATCTGCCTAAGATTCAGGCAGTGGTGAAAACATGACAAACAAAAACCCACTCAACTTGACATTAATTTATGTTTAAAATGTATAATGGTGCATGAATATAATATTTGTTTCCTTTTCCTGTTCTGGTAATTCAAGATATAGTTTGGTTGAAATGCACTAGAAATTAAACAATTAAGGGGAGCTAACTCCATAATTTTCTATCATTCTAACCAAAAGTTATCTAAGAGATTTCTCGAATTACCAGACACCCAGAAATGAAAGACCTACCATTTCTAACTCAGGATGAGGGTAACTTCAAAATAGGATACTGTAAATTCAGAAATTATTGCGAGGTTTTTATAAATGCGAATAATGCGACTGGGTGAGTATCGCAATAATATGAACTCGCATTTTGATATCTGATACATATATCTGTATGCAGATTTTACTTAAATCGCAATAATTAATCTTGCATTTTTGTCCATTTTTAGAAAATCGCAATAATAAATGCACGCAATAATTTCTGAATTTACAGTAGTTAGGTCAGTGGGTTATTTTCGGCCATGTTTTGATTTTTTTCAAAACTGCCTGATTCTTACAAAGACTGGCATTAAAAGATCAACACCATCTTACGATATTAAGATTTGCCCTATTCAAATGATTAACATCGTATTTAAACGAAAACTAGAACAGTCCACTGAGTAGTTAGGCTGAGGCCTTACTTAACATAAGATAACTTTTGTATGCTCTGGCAGAACATGGGTACATGTCATGAAATACAACAAATTAGTTGTTTTGAGTATTGCTTGGAGTTTTAAAGTAAAACAAAAACCATCCTGAAACTTAACCATTAATAATGAATGTTTCATGAACTTGAGATTACAGGTCTTTTGACAGTAATCTGATGCAGTTTATATCTTAGTGTATTTTTACATATACCAATGTTTTATAATGTTTACCCGACACCAACCTGGTTAGCTATACAAAGTAAATATGTGAAGTTCACCTTTTGAAAAATTTTCCTAGATTTTCAGGTAAACTGTAAGCAAAACTAGAGGCTCAAGTGCTTGTTTGGCTCATCTGACATTTTTGCATAAAATTGATATAATGTGACAAGATTATTTGTTTTTAATGGAAACTGTGTGGGCCACAATGTTGTCTTGCTGATGGTTTTTGCTAACCATTTTTGTTATTATGACTTATTTGTAGATCTACATATTAGTTGAAAGTTGAAGAAGAGGGATGCCAAGTGATAACAATAATTACTAGCCAAAAATCTTTAAAACATTATTGTCATTTACATTGAGAAGATAGTTTAATAACAAAAGAGTTGGAAGATCCAATAAAACAACATTTTTTTACGAACAAACTCAAACTGTAAAATAACATTGTCTGATAAACAAGTTCGAAATATCTAGATTAAAAAAAATTGATATATACTTAGATATAGATTATATTGAAATTTAATTTATATATCATCATAATTCACAAACAACAACTTTCATTGTACTTTTATTGTTACTATAACAGCAGACACCAATTTACTTGCATGCTATATAGTGTACAGAGAAGTTGTATAACTCCTTGCCAAAAAATACTATCTATAACTTAAGATTTAGTGAACCTTACCTTTAAAATTAGCTTTTCAAAATACACATAGGCAACAGCTACAACCCATAGGTCAACATTGCTCTGAAAGAAATACAATATACATGTATTTAACTCTTGAAAAACTTAATTAGACGACATTTCTACAATTTCACTTAAGTATTGCTTACTTCAACTATTAGAAACTTGATTTAATCTTTTTTTTTTCTTCTCTTATGTTTAAATTAAAAGATATATCCCAACCAAGTACACATGTTCAAGGCAAACAAAATGTTTAAATTTTATGTTTTCATTCCTGATCTATGGAAATCTAGTAATTTCACTGTAATACATTTACCTTGGATTCATTATTATTCGTGGGATACCAATAATGGCAATTTTTGTGGATTTTGTTGGTATAGGTGAATTTAAATGTTCAACGATTTAAAAATTTTCTATAGCGCCTTGTATGCAGACTTTTGCAAAACCAGGAAATTAAATATCCATGAAAATGCAAGTTTAATTAAATCCACGAAAATTGGTACCAACAGAAATAAATGAATCCACAGAATCTTGATAACCAAAATTATGAAGTTAAATCATCCAAGTCATATTAATAATACAAAGTATTCAAAGGCTACAATTAATAAACCTTTTTTGACATTTCCTCAGTGTAAGATCAATGGACAACAGAAATGGGTTATCATATGTTTTTATATTTCTTTAAAAATATTAAAAAAACAGGGGGGTAGTAGTTGTGACCCTGACCTTTAGAAAGTTGACATAAAATTGATAGGCATTTCCTCTCATCATATTAGACCCTTAATCAAAGTTTAATTCTAATCATAAGGTTCTTAAATTATCATCAAGAAACCAAAATTGACATGACAGACTGATGGACAGATGGGCAAGTAACTATATGTATAAACCAGGCAATACTTGGTATAGCATTGGGTATAATTCAATAAATGAAATTAATTTAAAATTATTGTTAAATAACCTGCTAACCATGTTGCATTGATTCACAAATCTGTAATGAAATATAATCTTCTGCTACAGATTTAATTTCACTTTTCCTAAATTTTATCTGTTATTAAAAGAGTAATACAACTTACACCAAGATGTCCTTAAATTAAATTAGATACCCTGCATTTATCATGCCTTTCAATAGCATATGATCAAATCACTGAAAGACCCCACCCCTCCTAAATTATTGAAAACTATCATTCTGTCATTGACAATAATATCTTGGTGTACATTATTTACACCCATGCAGGCTAATGCCCTCAAGGTGTATCATACATACAGTCACTAAAAAATTTCTATATCATATAATTATAATGCTAAAATAATTGTTTGAAAAACTTTTATTCAATAGTATGTTAACTAGTATGTTAACTATTTTATCAGAATGCTACATATTATTAATAACACTTTTATCAGAAATATTACAGATAATATTTGATCACACCCATGAACTTGAATATAAATAACTGAGGTAATCCATATTTACTGTGTCCTATTTTTCCAAGGTTACTAAACAACAAATAAAATTTTAAACTTTATATTCAATTTTCAATAGATATGAAAGAAAACAGTAAACTGACCACTAGAATTAATTTCTTCTAGCAGCCATTTTCAATTCAGCTAACTAAAAGCTATGTGGTAGCAGAGGTGCAAACCACAACACTCAACGAGCTAGAAAATTGAAACCTTTGTTGTGGGTTTCAAAATTATCTGTTTTTCAAATGTTGAGAAAAAAGGTTCATTGTAGTTTCAGGAGAGAAAACAATTTGAAATGGTCCAATTTCAAAATCCAAAATTCATTGTGAAATTTGAGAAAAGTTACTACTGACACACACATTTTGTATGTAATACTTTCAGACTGGTCAGTAGTTGAAAGGAGAAAAGGAGAAATGATTAATGAATTTTGGCAGAGCATGAATCAACTGCTTTTCAGAAATTCAATATCATTTAACGATAACTTTTAATTTCTAAACATGAATATTGAAAGGGAGGTTACTCATCCTTGCCTCTTACACTTAAAGCAAACAGCAGTTATTTCCTAATAACCAATTCATGCATGGAAAAAATCATATATACAAGAGAAATGCTTGTTTGATTGTGCAGTTGAATGGGTAGACAACATTCAGTTAATGCAGTTACATTGTCAACATTTTCAGCAGGAAATTCAATCATGTTAATCATTAATTGCTATTGGAACATCTTCCACTTAGAATATACACTGTGGATTCATTCATTTTCATGAGTACCATTTTTTGTGGTTTGATTGGGGGGGGGGGGGGGGGGGGGGGGGAAGCATTTTCTTGGATATTTGATTTTATGTTTTTATCAAAGTCTACATACACCTACAAGCCTATAGGAAATGTGTTCTTCGTTAAAGTTGGGTATGGGTAAACCACACATTTAAATGTTCTGAACATTCAAATTTATGGTTTACCCATACAATCCACAAAATGGGTATTCCATGAATAATAATAAATCCACAGTACCACGAAGGTTGTAGCACATGTACATTATGAAATATATTAAGATTCCCTGTGGTTCATAGCTGCAGAAAATTCTAACAGATATAGATAAACAGGTGATAAATTTTAATTTGTAAAACCCTTCTTTCTTTGCATTATTGTTCAGGAAGTATTAAACATCAACATACCTTAGTGTGAGTTATGACTTTCAGTTCTTTCTTCAAACTGTAAAATAACATTGCCTGATAAACAATTTAGAAATACCTAGATTTTTTTAAAAATCTAAATACACAGGTATACTTTCTTCTGAAATTTAATTCATATATCATCATAATTTCCTTAAAAATTAACTCTCCTTTAATTCATATTCTAATACAGTTACTGGAGCAATAAAGTGTAGGAAAATAAAAACGGTTCTTTTGCTTGGAGTTTTGTCGAGAGATCGTAAAGATTTTGATTCATGAATTAATGCACAATACCCCTTCTTTACTAAGATGACTCATATATCAATAAAAGCTGTCCTAAACAAAAGGATTGCATTGGGGATATATCATTTCTATATCAAGGCTATCTGAGAATGGGATTTGAATACACACCTTAACATAACAAGAGGCTCCTAAGAGTCTGATTTGCTCACCTGTCAAAATTTGGCTTTTTATAGTTTCTACCTATATTTTATTATTTCAAGAGAATGCAAAAACTGGAAGTAAGTAAAAAACTGATATACATCAATAACCTTTACAAGGAGAGTCATTAAATGATTTCGTTCATTTTTGTAGATGTTGAAATTGCTGATTTTTTTGAGATAGTAAGCAAAGGGCTTTTAACTCCAATAGAGGGGCAATTTAAAGTTTTTCTCTATAATAACAACAAATAAATGCAAAATTTGCTAAAAATGACATTGAAGTTGCAATTAATCCTAAATAGATTGTCAGATTTGTTTTTAAATTCCATAGGAGATAAATGTTGTACAAGGTCAGTTTTGCTCCAAATACTTTTTATAATAAGTCATAAGATATAAGCCAAAAACTATAAAATTTGACATTTCAGGGGCAATAACTACATAATGGGTTGTATGATTTTTACAATTTCTAATCTAGATTCCCTCAAGTACATTCAGGTAAAGTTTGGTAACATTTGGCTCAATAGTTTCAGAGGAGAAGATTTTTCTAAAGTTTACAACAATGGACAACAACGACAGACACCAAGTGATAGCAATAGCTCATTTGGCCTTTTAGGCCTTTTAGGCCAGGTGAGCTAAAAATAAGAGGAGGATAATGTTAATCAAGTTGGAGCATAAAAATCCATGTTTCAAGAACAGGCCTTTAATGCTACAAAAGAAAACCTTCTAAGAACACTTGCTTCAACTCGATACAACTCGTCAATCAATTATTTAACATGCATTCTTATTGGTAGAAGAGGAGTCATTATTGATACAATGTATATGTTATGATATGTTGCCAGACAAAATTTGTAAGTATACAACAACAGAATAATTTCGGTCCGATAGTTTCGAAGGAGATGTCATTTTGGAGTTGTAAAGATCAATTTTACTGTCTTTCTAACATTTCACTGGAAGCCTACATCTTGGACATCAAATTAATGCAATTGACATTATAAAAATTCAATATTTCAATACATAAATATACTATGATATGGGACAAAATGGAACCCTTTGAAATTTTTTAAAATTTGATAAGAATTAAACATGTTTTTCAAAATTTGATTAGAATTTCAATTCACAGAGATTAAATAACAAAGGAGTATTTATTGTATGTTTTGATCCAAGAAATCCTCTTTAGAAAGTTTCTGGTTTTACAGGGTCTGGTTTAAAAAGGTTTCACTAAATGAAATATAATGAACCAATTGAGCTATAAAAATATTCCTCTGAATAAGTTATGGGTTTTGCAATAATATGAAGCTTAGGTTTGCAAGGTGAGATAACATACCTTCTTAGTTTTGTAAGAGTCAGTTGAATATGTGGGTTCTTTGCTTTGAATTTCTCATTTACTTCTTTTTTCAGAGAAGATGGCTTTACATAATCTATGACAGATGTCTAAAATCAAATACACAATAAATATAACATTTCAGAACAATAATGTAGCTTTCCAAATAATTCTGCATATAACATTGCCTAATGAACAAGTTAGAAATACCTTGATTTAAAAAAAAATCAAACTACTGTAAATTTAGAAAATTTTGCTTGCATTTACTATTGCAATTGTCGAACAATGAACCCAAATGCGAGATCAATTATTGTGATTTCAGGAAATGCAGCATTCAAATAATCATTAATGCTATTTAAAGCTGAAACTTTTTATTTTCGGGAAACCCTTTCCAATCACAATTTTCGCAACAATAAATACATCAGTTAGTTTCTGAATTTACAGTACATGGTGATTCCATTGAATTGTCATGAAATTTAATTAATATGACAATAACCATGAAAATAAAGATTTAAGTTAAGAGCATTCAATACTGAACAAGATATCTACAATAAACTAGTTGATCCTGTACAAAGATCATTAATACACAACAGCTATTTAGGAAAATGGTATCATCAATTTTCTGTTCCTGGTATGTTTCACAATACAGGATCAAGCCAGTAAATGAACTTCATTTTTAAGTTGATGATGATCAATTGCTGTTTAACATCCAGTGGCAAATATTACATGCATCAGGATGAGAACATGTTAATATTTTATTGAATTGGAACACTGCTTTGTACTAGAAAAATAGGCTGAGCCTAATTTTTAATGCTGATTCACAAGGTAATAGTCTGCAGGAAGCAAGACACATTATTCTGGATCCCGTCTGACCAATCTTTGCTCTTCCTCCTAAATCCTGCATTCATAGCAGAAAGCAAAAAAAAAATTTCAAGTCTTTGATTTGACAGTTTGACCAAGCAAATCCATAATCTCTTGCATTGAAGGTGAACAACTACTACAACACAACTAAGACAGATAACTCCATTATGAAAAAAAGTCCACACTAATGAAAAGAAAATTAAAATATTGTCATCACTGAAAATTTTGTAATGTAAACGAAATTATTCTGACTTGAGCTCTGGATCAGCTATTTTGCATGTCGTGTATTTCTGAACACTAAGGGGCTATCAATACATACCATATAAGAAGTGAAGGTGAGTAATTTCCTGTAACTCCCAGACTGTAACTCCGGATCATCTAAGTATTTAGGATCATACTGGTGACCTGTTCCTTCTTCTACAACTAAAATTATAAAATACTTATATGTTACTGTTCATCAAGATTGATAGCAGTACTGGTTTAATAAAATATAGCATTTTTTTATTTCAAAATAGATCCAAAATAACTAAGTTTCTGTAACCGCTTTATTTTTACCTGTAAAAAGACAATTTTCTAAAAGGAAGTTTATTTTTGTTTTTCAGAATTGTTGACATAATTTGACTTGTATGAGGAGAGGCCCAAGTTCCAATGCAAGTTCACTTGGAAACAGTAGCATTCTTACATATAGTACTAAACAGAAGATATATTACAAGTTGCCATGTTTTGGACTAAATATAACAGTATTGAATTTAGATATATCTTGGGTTTTTTTTTTTTGCTATGCGATTTCAACTTCGTCTATATTTTCTACTTAACCAAATAACAGGAGTATTCATAAAACTTGTTAAACCCAGCCATGGTTATGCATTGGTCTACAAAGTCAGAAACCTTGTCTGTGGTGTCACCATTTATTGTTTTTTATTTTTATAAAGTTGTTATGTCATATCTTCTTGTTTATGTAGGACTTGCCATATGGTATGGACATTGTCTACTAGAAAAAAACTGTATGGTTATGATGTAGATCTATAAATGTTTACTTTTGGTGAACTTGTATTGTCTTATTGGTGTTATCATATCACTCCTACCAATCACAATATATTCATTCAGGTAAATATAAATGTCCACACCAATCATGAACCACATCAGTGGTTGTATTTTTTTTCTGTCTTAAAGAAAGTTATAAAAATAAGATGTAGAAGAATTCCCAATAAGATAACTAACCACCAGTGACCATAGAATGAGGTTTATTTTAGGATACTGTTAACAATATTACACTGATAACATTACAAGTGTATAAAACATCTTTTCTGCTAGTTTGACTTGTCCCCAGTCTGATGAATGTTGGAATTGTATACATTTGTAGGAGACATTTTCTAGCTTTGCTTGCTTGATATACATTACTGTTTTTCTCTGTGGGACAGAGGTTCAAGGCAGCCTTGGGAAAATGCTGTGCATAAAAGACTAGTGGTTTATAAAACTGTGCAATATTTAAGATAATAAATATACATGAAACATTTAAAAAAAAAATGCACAACATAAAAGTTTTACAATCGAAACAAATTAAATACTGCTAAAAGTTACACTGATATGTTGAACATGTTGAAAGAATGTGGATAATTAGTTTTCACTATACATTGTTTGTAGTGCTTTATTCTATAAATCATTGTTTTCAATCCATCAAAACCTAATAGAATAAGATTAAACTGAAAACTGGCAGCTCAGACTCCAGCTTGGGAATAAATAGTTAGAGGGAAAACAAGTGGTATACCTCTATGATTATTTCAAAATTAGTTTTTTATTTCAATTTGTTTACCCATATTGAATTTTATCTAAAACAAGATATTCACATCAAACAATGATGCAAAACAATTGTGTAAAAGAGGTATAGTCAATTTCCCCAGAATTTGTTTCTCACTCATGAGGTGAAAATTTGAAGGTTGATGAAATACATGTCGGACAGGTCTATATTGTATAATCATTACCTCTCCCTTGCATTAAAATAAATTATCATATACTTGGAGTAAATAACTTATAACTTTTACAGCTTGATTGTAGCTTTTAAATACGGTAAATTTCATATTTTTCTAAATGGTACTTAGTGGGGCTAACAGAAAATATATTAACTGCTTCAAGTTAATATTGTATGTCTGTTAATAATATTATTGCATGGATCAACAAATTCCAGGAAACTATTACAATTTCAATGAAAAAAGTAACACAGAAGAAGTAGAGACAACTAATAGGAAATAGGAAAATATATCATGAAAAGTATAATACAAATAATACAATATACATGGATACATTCTTTTCAAAAATTTAATACTTTTATATGCTCTATGAGTGCAACAAAGTTTGGAACACCTTCACAAATTATAGACAGTCTTGTCTGCAATGTTTGAATACATTTTTGTCGTACAAAAGTATCAGTACAAAATCCCTAAGAAATATAATTCAATGTGGAAATGTATGATAAAAATGTGTTATTATGACATTTTTCATTTCAGATGAATTATCAGCCTTAGTTCTTGGGCTGATAATACATCGAATATGAAAACTGTCATGTAATCAAAGTGCTTGTAAGCACTGAAGGGTACAGATTGCATTCATTTTGCAGTGGAAACAAAAAAAAACATTGTAATGTATTAAGCTTTGGAAGGCAATACATAATGTAGTCGTTTCAACTGCAATTGTGTATAAAGGAAGATAACTTCAATTTTAACTATTACTTTACTAGTAACAATGACATCATTGATATTTTTAGAACAGATACTAGATTCATTACCATGCATAATTTATTTAATTTTCTTAACAAGTATGGTTAAACACATACACATCATTTTGTAACTTGAGTATATATCATTATTCAATTTCTTGATATTTTCATATGTAGGATGTAAAAAATGTTTTGCTTAATGCACTCTGGTTTGTGTATATCAAAAGTAGTCATAAAATCTGGAAAATTGATATCTATCAAGCCAGCCACACAAGAGTTTTGATTACATGAATGCAATCTTTACCCCAAAAATCTGACATTTTCATCGCAATAGGTATGTTAATTGTATAGAATATAAAGCATATCAGTTCATGCAAAACTCACAATCAACTACAAAGAAATTCTAAAAACACTAGATGAATTCATTTTTTATAATTTCAAATCGTCTTTCATTTAAAAACCCTAACTGGAACTATTAAATTAAAAAAAATAAATTGCTTCACTGAGCGCAGCTGGATACGACCGCAGATGTCCAACCCTGAAAAGTTGGGGCCAAAATGGACACAATATTCACGCTTGATACAGGTCTGAATTTGGATTGTAATTAACATTTTGACACATAATAGGTTTCTGACACAGAATAACTGTAGTCAAAGAACTTCAAATTGGTTATATGATTTGAATTTATATTCAATTTTTGGTTTTGTGCAATACACTATGCTGTTGCGAATTGACCCCCCCCCCCCCCCCCCCCACCCCCCCCCCCAAAAAAAAATTAATTTTACCCCGGTTTTTTGCTTTTGTGCAATACACTATGCTGTTGAATATTAACCCCCCAAAAAAAATATTTGAAGAAATTTTCTTTTAATTTCTGAAATCTGAAATGAGAAAAATTGTCCCCCCCTCCAATTTTTTTCACCTCCCCCCTTTCCCTTATTCCAAAACAAATTCTTTCCCTCAAGATCTGGTCAGTATCTCAATTCAAATTTCTAATGGAGTTTGCAACCATAATTACCCATTTAAATACATCATAAAAGTCTTAAAATATAAAATGACATACCGGTACATAGTCATGGCTAAAATTAATATTAATTAATAGTAACTGCTAAAAATAAATTGACAGTTAATCACCTCAAGACAATCATCATTTCTTAATACATAAGTTACAAGCAGTGTAAGGGAGGTAATCAAACATTGTTCTTTAAAATTAATTTGGATTACCTCCCTTACACTACTTTTAAATTGTCTCAATTGTCCTTTAACCAGAAAAACCCTTGTTTTTCCCCTTTTTTTGCCCATAATTCCTAAATGGTTTGAGCCATAACCCCCCAAAGTCAATCCTAACCATCCCTTTGTAGTATGGAAACTTGTGGTATAATTTCAGAGAGATTCATACACTTTAACACAAGTTATTGTCTGGAAACTACAAAAATGCTTATTTGGGCCACTTTTTTGGCCCCTATTTCCTAAACAGTTGGGACCATAACCCCAAAAATCAATCCCAACCTTCTTTTAGTGGTTATAAACCTTGTGTTAAAATTTTATTGATTTCTATTTACTTATACTAAAGTTATTATCCGGAAACCATCTGTCTTCTGACGACGCTGACGACAACGTGATACCAATATACGAACAAAATTTTTTTTTAATTTTTGCGGCCGTATAAAAATTAAAGGGCACTTAAAAAGGCTATTAGTTGATGAAACCAGGTTGAGAAGCTCTATATGCATTTTATCTGACCTACATTGTGTAATGAGGAAAAGTATTATGTATATATGAATGAATAATAGCACACTACATATAAAGGAAAATTATTTCCAAACTATGTAACCATCCATGCAGACTACACTACGGACATTCAAAACAGCAAAGTATGTCTGTTATAGGTCCATTTTGTCAATCAGTGTTAAAAATGGATTAGATCACTCCTAAAACGGTTAGCTTTGAATATATTTATAGACGTCAATCAACTCCTTAAATACTGCTTGCTTTGAAAACATGTTTAGATGTGATTGAAAAAAAAACTGCTTCGCTGAGCCCAGCTGGATACGCCTGCAGAGGTCCAACCCTGAACAGTTGGGGCAAAAATGGACACAATATTCAAGCTTGATACAGGTCTGAATTTGGATTGTAATTAAATATTTGACATATTATAGGTTTCTGAATAAATGTAGTCAAAGAACTTGAAATTGGTTATATGAATTGAATTTATATTCAATTAAAGATGTCTTGCTGTGCTGTTGCGCAATACTTAGTAAATCTGTTGTCAGACTATAAACAAATAAAATCTTATAACTAGGATACGTGAAATCGAAAATTTATAAAAATCAAAAGGGAGCTTACAAAAATAGATATAAACAATTTACCAAAGTTTCATAAAAAATGCTGAAAGCATTTTTGAGTTATTGTCCGAAAACTGGAAAATCTCCCTTTTTGTAATAAATAAAACCCCATAAATTGGAAACGTATAGTCTAAAATTTATAAAAATCAAAAAGGAACTCATGTCCATAGAAATAAACAATTCACCCAAGTTTCTTGCAAATTGGTGAAATTGTTTTTGAGTTATTGTCTGAAAACTGGAAAATCCACCCGTTTTTAATGAATAAAACCCCAAAACTCGGAAATGGTAAATCCGAAATTTATAAAAAACAAAAGGGTGCTCACATCAATAGATATAAACAATTCACAAAAGTCTCATGCAAATTGGTGAAACTGTTTTAGAGTTATTGTCCGAAAACTGGAAAATCCCCCCTTTTTTAATGAATAAAACCCCAAAACTGGAAAATCCCCCCTTTTTTAATGAATAAAACCCCAAAACTCGCAAACGGTAAATCCTAAATTTATAAAAAACGAAAGGGAGCTCATGTCAATAGATATAAACAATTATACAAAGTAAGTTTCATGCATATTGGTAAAAGCATTTTTGAATTAATGTCAAACATGTTGACGACGGACAGACGAACGAACAGTCAGACGGATGGACAGACAGTCAATGGTATACCATAATACGTCCCGTAAACGGGTGTATAAAAACAATAAATTTTCTCCTAGCTGCATTTAACTTAGTCATCCAGTGGACAAAATGTGTTATGCACTGATCTATGCAAGTCTGACTGGGTTGAAATTTATTATTAAATATCATTTAAATTTAAGTTGAATATTTGTGATTGTCATAACTTCAGTTTAGAAGTACGGTAAATGTTCATGAATTCAACATAAGCAAGACAAACTACGCACCTAAATGTATACTGAAGAGATTTTATTTTTCTCTATCTACCATCAAACAGATTTTGAAAAGATGGGCCTTGTACATGATGTCAAATTAGTTTAATATTGGTCATAGCTATGTGAAATAAGAATATCCATCTAATTGAGAGCTATATGTGCTATAGAAACATGTTTTTTACATTAAAATATTGTATTTAAAACAGATTTTAACAAAGTGTATGAAATAATTGCAGTTTCTCGATTTCCTAAAATTACCCTAATACTCAGTTATGTTTATATGAAAAAATATTTCAGGTATCAATACATGTGATGCTATATTAATTTGGCTATATTTAGTGTTATATATATGCAAACTGAAGTTTCTGTCATGATCTAATTACTGTGGATTCATTTATTTACATAGGTACCAATTTTCAAGGACCTAGGAAATATTGAGTTTTTTTGTGACGTGATTCTTGAATGTGAAGTTTTGTCAAACTCTTCAAACAAAGCCTATGGGAAATTTGCATCACTTATAAGTTTTCCATTGGGTTAATTTGAGTTAAAAGTTATTTTTCTTGGAGGGCAAACTGGTTTATTTTCCTAGTTGACAAACAAATTTTAACATTTGGTACAAGCATGTCTGATAAAAAATCCTTTTTAAATCATAATGATGAATTATACAAGGCTAAAACAAATTAAACTTGTTTTCAGAAAACAACTTTTTGGAAAGTCTAGCAGTCAATATAACAGGTTGAAATTGGTTGACTTATAAATGAATATTGAGCATGCTGTCCTCCAACATGATGATAAGGGAAATAACTGAAAATTACATCAATGGCCAATACCTATACCCAATAATCCCACTAACGTTAGTACCACACTAATAATGATGATTCCACAGTAAGTTAGAACAATACAAAACCAACTACAAAGATGGAGGTATGATCACTATTTATCTCTATAATTAAAAAAAAAATTCAAATATATAATTATCTTGCAAATTATCATTTTATGAGTAGTCACAGAACAATTATTGAGATTATGAGTTTTGTTGCACATTCAAAATTTTAAGGCCAAAAAGTAGGCTGAACATACCTTCACCTCAAGAGTGCTAAGTGGGAAGTTTTTTGTTCTACAGTTAAATACACTATGACACAATGGACCAAATCAGACATATAAAGCTTTATACCTTTCTCAAGACCAGGTACAGCTGAAGGTCTGTGTAAGAGTACATTAGGGTCGTAAGAATGACTTCTATGAAGATCTCGGCCTGTAGACATAGACATAAACAGGTAGGAAAGAACATGCATATGAAGAAAAACAATCAACCAAAAAGTTAAATAAATGAATAAACAAAGCGTCAACTTTTTATCCTACAATCATTCTTTGTAAAATATGTACAAATGAATAATGGATTGGAGAGGTTGCAAATCAAGTTTTCTTCTGACCTGTTTAACTTAATCAGAGTTCCATTCATTATGCATTTTAACCTCGACTTTTACCAGTATTTTAGTTCTTAAAATGAAGGTCAAGGTGACATCTACTTGGATTTGTAGTTTAATACTAATATCTTATTCATCTTAATTCAAAATGTACTTAATTACCTGGATAAAATGCTTCACAACCTATCAAATACCCACTGGATGTGTGAATAAATACTTTTAAGATAATTCCATCAATCAGAACAAAGAGTGATAGTTCTTTGATCTCACCCTCTTTCTATGTGATAACTGTTGTATCAAAAAAATATTTCCTGCAATGGTTTTTCTGACTGAAATATTATATTATTCAATAATTTATAACAATTTCCAGCCGTGTGTTATTTCGGTACATTAAACTTGTTAACTAGTACTACATGTACCATAAAGAATATATGCATTTTATACACCAAAGGTCAAAGGGTCAGATAGTGGTCTTAATGATTCAGCTCTTCGATTCTACAACTTTCTTTACTATATAATCTTTTTATTTTACTGTGCTTATTCAATAGGCTTTGGCCTATTATTATACCAATTGCTCAAATAGTTTACCAAATTGCAGTTTGAAATCATCTCTACAAACTGTTCAACTGGTAAAATATTTTAAGTAATTGCTTCAGTGAAAGGTTGTTAGTGTGAAGTGAGTGTAGTGACAAAAAGTTATGCTTACTAATTATCTTCAGATATTTATTGTCTATGTCATGGAATTCAAACAAAATAATGACTTAGTATAATATAAGGCACTGGTTTAAAAAACTTTGACATGAAAACTTCTATCCTTAATAACTTTTATAAATAATTAGTTCAAAACATTGTTTTGTTGGTCAATGATTTATAGCTTTGTTTTCTAACAGGAAATTATTGCTTAATTGTGATTTGGATATTTTTTAAAAGCAATTATTACTCTGCTAATAATAAAGGGAAGTAATTGACATTATATAATCAGCAAAATTTTATTCTGTCAACTATCAACTTCCTTCATATTGACATTTTATAAGTAATTTATTCTAAACAAAATTTCCATGTTTATTTGACTATTTTCCTCTGTTCTTACGTTGTAAAAGAACTCAGAAATCTATTTTTAAGATGATTAAAATTTTGAATTTTTTTTTATTGAAAACATATTATGGGACACATTCAAAGTTGTATAAATCATACATATTCCTATGTAAATTAAGAGGGTATCACCAGCCCAGTAGTCAGCAATTCTGTGTTGACATGAATTATCATTCATATGGTCAAAATTATAAATTAACTGTTTTGTAAAAATTTGAATTGTTCAAAAATACTAAGGATTTTCTACCCTTGAGGATTAGATTATTTTATAAGCAGTATTTGGCAAAACATTTCATAATTTTGTTTCCTCAATGCTCTTCAACTTCGTACTTTATTTGGCATTTCAATTATTTTTTATTCGAGCCTCACTAATGAGTCTGCTGTAGACAAAACTTGCGTCTAGCATACAAAATCATCAGCCTGGTATCTTTGATTAATTTTTTTTTACAATGACTGAATAAAAATTATTTCCCTTTAATGCCAGCAGACAAGTAATTTTCAAACAAAAAAATATCCAAACAAGCATTCTGAGAGTATTGCATGGCAATACATAGTCCCCTACCGGGTAAAAATTCATTATACTGGAACAAAATGCTAACTTGTTCTATAACTTGTCATGGTGTAAACAAAAAGTAAATATCATGTCAATATCTTCAAGCATGACTAAAAACAGTGTGGAAAACTGATTCTATGAGTGAATTTTTCAAGTCCAAGGACCATAACTCTGCACAAAATTATTAGACTGAAACAAAAATTTGAACTTGATCTGTAACTTGTCATGATAAAACTATATACTAATTATTAATCAATATCTTATAAGCATGATGAAAAAAACATTAGATATGATTAAATAGTTCTCTAAAATTAGATATGATGTAATACAGTGTATATCTATTTTCAAATTATAATCAGATATATAATTAATAGTTCCAAATATTTTTTTCTTTCATTTGTCACAAACTAATATAGATTTGTAACTTATCTATAAAATGTCAACAACTTTTATCTACACAATGTAATGTATTGAAATATATACATTAATAAAAATAGATTATTATTTAATTAAAGGATTTCTCTTCATAATTTTTTTTTTATATATATAGCATTCAGAAAATTAGTTTATACTAAATAGCAAACAAACCTGTCAAAAAATTCTTCAAATAATTTAACAAAGAATGTCTTTTAAATAATGAGTTATCTCCCTTTGTACAGAAATATGGTTTAACATAGTACTCTAACATTAGATATGGTCCAGAGTTATGGTCCATAACTCTGGACTAAATCATCAGACCGGAACAAAATTCGAACTTGATCTATAACTTGTCATGATAAAACTATATACCAAATATCAAATCAATATCTTAAAGAACGAAGAAAAAAAGTGTGGAAAGCTGATTTGCCGGACTGACGGATGGACAGACGGACAGATGGACAGACGGACGGAGTGCAGACCTAAAGTCCCCTTCGACTTCGTCGGTAGGGGACTAAATTACAATTACACAATAACGTCCTGTTAGAAAACAAAGCAATAAATTATTAACCAACCAAACAATTGTAAGAACTAATTATTTATAAAATCTCATTAGGATAGAAATTTTCATGTCAAAGTCAGACATTTTTAAACAAGTGCCTTCCTTATATTATAGTAGGTGATTATTTGATTTCAATTTCCTTACACAGACATTAAATAACTGAAGTTGGATGGTAAGCATTATTTCTATTTCACTGTATTCACTTCATACTAACAATCTTTCACTGAAGCAATTAGCTAAAGTATTTTACCAGTTGATCATTTTGTTGAGATGAACTCAAACTACAATTATGGTAAACTATTTCAGCAATTGGTATTCTGATAGGCCAAAGCCTTCAGGATAAGCACAGTAACAGTACATTTTAATTTAAGTCTGTTTTCCCCAAAATATTGAGGTAAAATTGAACTAGAGGCTCTAAAGAGCCTGTGTCGCTCACCTTGGTCTATGTGAATATTAAACAAAGGACGCAGATGGATTCATGACAAAATTGTGTTTTGGTGATTGTGATGTGTTTGTACATCTTAATTTACTGAACATTTTTCCTGCTTACAATTATCTCTATCTATAATTAACTTGGCCCAGTAGTTTCAGAGGAGAAGATTTTTGTAAAAGATTACTAAGATTTACGAAAAAATGGTTAAAAATTGACTATAAAGGGCAATAACTCCTAAAGGGGTCAACTGACAATTTCGGTCATGTTGACTTATTTGTAGATCTTACTTTGCCGACATTTATTGTTTTTTACAGTTTATCTCTATCTATAATAATATTCAAGATAATAACCAAAAACAGCAAAATCACCTTAAAATTACCAATTCAGGGGCAGCAACCCAACAACGGGTTGTCCGATTCATCTGAAAATTTCAGGGCAGATAGATCTTGACCTGATAAACAATTTTACTTCATGTCAGATTTGCTTTAAATGCTTTGGTTTTTGAGTTAAAAGCCAAAAACTGAATTTTACCCCTATGTTCTATTTTTAGCCGTGGCGGCCATCTTGGTTGGTTGACCAGGTCACGCCACACATTATCAAAACTAGATAACCAAATGATGATTGTGGCCAAGTTTGGTTTAATTTGGCCCAGTTGTTTCAGAGGAGAAGATTTTTGTAAAAGATTACTAAGATTTACGAAAAATGGTTAAAAATTGACTATAAAGGGCAATTACTCCTAAAGGGGTCAACTGACCATTTCGGTTATATTGACTTATTTGTAAATCTTACTTTGCTGAACATTATTGCTGTTTACAGTTTATCTCTATCTATAATAATATTCAAGATAATAACCAAAAACAGCAAAATTTCCTTAAAATCACCAATTCAGGGGCAGCAACCCAATAACGGGTTGTCCGATTCATCTGAAAATTTCAGGGCAGATAGATCTTGACCTGATAAACAATTTTACTTCATGTCAGATTTGCTTTAAATGCTTTGGTTTTTGAGTTAAAAGCCAAAAACTGAATTTTACCCCTATGTTCTATTTTTAGCCGTGGCGGCCACCTTGGTTGGTTGACCAGGTCACGCCACACATTTTTAAAACTAGATAACCAAATGATGATTGTGGCCAAGTTTGGTTTAATTTGGCCACAGAGTTTCAGAGGAGAAGATTTTTGTAAAAGATTACTAAGATTTACAAAAAATTGTTAAAAATTGACTATAAAGGGCAATAACTCCTAAAGGGGTCAACTGACCATTTCAGTCATGTTGACTTATTTGTTAATCTTACTTTGCTGAACATTATTGCTGTTTACAGTTTATCTCTATCTATAATAATATTCAAGATAATAACCAAAAACAGCAAAATTTCCTTAAAATTACCAATTCAGGGGCAGCAACCCAACAACAGGTTGTTCGATTCATCTGAAAATTTCAGGGCAGATAGATCTTGACCTGATAAACAATTTTACTTCATGTCAGATTTGCTCTAAATGCTTTGGTTTTTGAGTTATAAGCCAAAAACTGAATTTTACCCCTATGTTTTATTTTTAGCTGTGGCGGCCATCTTGGTTGGTTGGCCGGGTCACGCCACACATTTTTTAAACTAGATACCCCAATGATGATTGTGGCCAAGTTTGGTTTAATTTGGCCCAGTTGTTTCAGAGGAGAAGATTTTTGTAAAAGATTACTAAGATTTACGAAAAATGGTTAAAAATTGACTATAAAGGGCAATTACTCCTAAAGGGGTCAACTGACCATTTCGGTTATATTGACTTATTTGTAAATCTTACTTTGCTGAACATTATTGCTGTTTACAGTTTATCTCTATCTATAATAATATTCAAGATAATAACCAAAAACAGCAAAATTTCCTTAAAATTACCAATTCAGGGGCAGCAACCCAATAACGGGTTGTCCGATTCATCTGAAAATTTCAGGGCAGATAGATCTTGACCTGATGAACAATTTTACCCCATGTCAGATTTGCTCTTAATGCTTTGGTTTTTGAGTTATAAGCTAAAAACTGCATTTTACCCCTATGTTCTATTTTTAGCCGTGGCGGCCATCTTGGTTGGTTGACCGGGTCACGCCACACATTTTTAAAACTAGATACCCCAATGATGATTGTGGCCAAGTTTGGTTAAATTTGGCCCAGTAGTTTCAGAGGAGAAGATTTTTGTAAAAGTTTATGGACGACGGACGACGGACGACGGACGACGGACGCAGGACGACGGACGACGGACGCAAAGTGATGAGAAAAGCTCACTTGACCTTTCAGGTCAGGTGAGCTAAAAATGACTAGCAAACATCTTAAAATTTAACAAATTGGAATATAATACAATTATTGACTGACTTTGAAGACAAAAGCTGTTTCCTTTGACCTGAAGACCAAATTATTACCAGAAGGTCAGAGGATCAACAATAACATCTGCTTTCCAGAGCAGTTTGTTGTTTTGAAAAAAGGACAAACAGTTTTCGTGAGGGTGATGTTATCATTAGCTAATTAAATGCAAGCAGGTGGTCAACAGACCACATTAGTTGAAAGCAAAACAAAAAATTATAAAAGTACAACTTTTGTGGCATTTCAAAATAGTGATTCTATTTTTCAAGACAAAAAATGCAAATATAGTTGTTTGCACTGGCTGAAAATACTAATTACCTGTAATCTAAAGCTACTTTAAATTACCTTGCATTAGTGTGAGAGTATGATCAATATTTAATGGTGCTCTCTCTGACATTGCTCTGTGTAAATGCCTTCCATGGGAGGGAACTAACAGTTCAATGTATGATACATCCTACAAAACAACATGTCAGTTAAGAAAAAAATTGAAGAGTAGAAAATATTTCAATAATATTCATGAAATTTACATATCTTACCATGTTTTGTAGCCAGATTTTCTACATACATGTAATAGCTTGTGTCTTTTTTTTCTAACAAGTTCTGAAAAATTTCTTGGTCCTTGACAATAAAAAAAATAAGCTGAGAAATGATAAATCAAATTAAAAGCAGCATCAAAATATATTGAATAGTTAAGATTTCAATGGTAGCAATATCTTACTTGACCATCTTCTACAAGTCCGATAGCATGAAGACCTAGATACAACAGTCCTTCATGGGATGTTCCAGACATATTTCTGTGTCTCGTTGATTTGATTTCCTCATTTTCTACCCTAAAATACAAAGAAAATGATATTTACTATCATAAAGTAAGGTATGTTGGTGAATTTTCAAACATTAGTTTCTACGTTCCCTTGATGACACATTAGTTGCTATGTTCCCCTGATGGCACATTAGTTTCTATGTTCCCTTGATGACACATTGGTTTTTATGTTCCCCTGATGGCACATTAGTTTCTATGTTCCCCTGATGGCACATTAGTTTCTATGTTCCCTTGATGGCACATTAGTTTCTATGTTCCTCTGATGGCACATAAGTTTTTATGTTCCCCTGAAGGCACATTAATTTAATTGTTCCCCTGATGGCACATTAGTTTCTATGTTCCCCTGATGGCACATTAGTTTCTTTGTCCCCCTGATGACACATTAGTTTTTTTGTTCCCTTGATGACACATTAGTTTCTATGTTCCCCTCATGGCACATTAGTTTCTATGTTGCCTTGGTGGCTCATTAGTTTCTATGTTGCCCAAATGACACATTAGTTTCTATGTTGCCCTGATGGCACATTGGTTTCTATGTTCCCCCGATGACACATAAGTTTCTATGAACCACTTTAATTACTTATTGAAGTCTTGCCTAGTTGAAACTGTTACAATAGAATACAGATTCATAGTTTAAAGATTATACACCTACTTCTGCAACAGAACATCTTGTCAATAATGAATACTCATATTTTACCTTCGATTATATGGTAAGGTAGAACATATAACCATTGGAGCTCTATTCTTGGATACAATGATTATCCTGAAACAAGATAAAATTGAGAATGCAATTTTGTAAGGATGTAGAGTACATGTACTATTATATCACACTAAGTCATTTGTCAGACATTACAGATATTACATGACTCCTCTTAATATTATGGGAATTAATTATATTATATATAAAAAAAACTATAATTTATTTCCACAATCATTTTTCTTCACCTGCAATCTTAAGTTGACTTAAACATATGTAGATATTTAGAAAACTAGAGGCTCTAAAGAGCCTGTTTCGATCACCTTGGTCTATGTGCATATTCAACATAGGACACTCTCCAACATTGTAGATGAGAATAGAATTCATGACAAAAATCTCTGTTTTGTTAATCTTGTATTGCTGATCATTTAGTCTGTTTAGTTTCTCTCTATCTTTTTTTAGTTTTTGCTCAAATTACAAGAGGGTAAAAAATCCTCATTTAAGGGCAATCACTCCTGTAAAGAGTGACAGTCTACTAACCATATCTGCAAAATTTGACTTGTTAGTAGATCGTGCCTTGCTGATCATTTTTTTGATTTAAAGTGTCTATTTATCTATCATAATTTTTATCATATAAGGCAAAACTAAAAAAAATGGTAAAAATCGTCATTAAAGGGCAATAACTCCAATAAGGAGTCTAAATTGTAGATCTTGTCTAGCTGATCATTTCTGCTTATTTAAGTTTCTATCTTTCTATTATAATTTTTAATATATAAGACAATAAATGTGGAATGTGTCCATGGGACACAGATGAAGCCCCTGCTTGCATATCATATAAAGTTATAAAAGAACATAACTGAAGAACAGTAAAAGTGACGCTACCTAAATTTGTACTTGATCTGAGTTTTGTGGTAATAAGTATTGTGTATAAGTTTCATAACATTTGATGAAGGCAAACTTAAATTAGAGAACAGAAATGAAAAATTCAGCAATTTTTCCATTTGTAAAGGGGCTGAACTCTAGAACAGTAAAAGTGACACCACCAAAATTCAAACTTGTTCTGTATTTTGTAGTAATAAGCATTGTGTATAAGTTTTATAACATTTGGTTGAGGCTAACTTAAGTTAGAGAATGGAAACGAAAAATTCAGCAATTTTTCAATTTGTAAAGGGGCATAAATCTAGAAACGGTTAAAGTGACGCCACCAGAATTCAAACTTGATCTGTGATTTGTGGTAATAAGCATTATGTACAAGTTTCATAACATTTGGTTGAGGCAAACTAAAGTTAGAGAATGGAAATGAAAAATTCAGCAATTTTTCCATTTGTAAAGGGGCATAACTCTAGAACGGTTTAAGTGACGCAACCAAAATTCAAACTTGATCTGTGCTTTGTGGTAATAAGCATTATGTACAAGTTTCATAACATTTGGTTGAGGCAAACTAAAGTTAGAGAATGGAAATGAAAAATTCAGCAATTTTTCCATTTGTAAAGGGGCATAACTCTAGAACGGTTTAAGTGACGCAACCAAAATTCAAACTTGATCTGTGCTTTGTGGTAATAAGCATTATGTACAAGTTTCATAACATTTGGTTGAGGCAAACTAAAGTTAGAGAATGGAAATGAAAAATTCAGCAATTTTTCCATTTGTAAAGGGGCTGAACTCTAGAACGGTTTAAGTGACGCAACCAAAATTCAAACTTGATCTGTGCTTTGTGGTAATAAGCATTATGTACAAGTTTCATAACATTTGGTTGAGGCAAACTAAAGTTAGAGAATGGAAATGAAAAATTCAGCAATTTTTCCATTTGTAAAGGGGCATAACTCTAGAACGGTTTAAGTGACGCAACCAAAATTCAAACTTGATCTGTGCTTTGTGGTAATAAGCATTATGTACAAGTTTCATAACATTTGGTTGAGGCAAACTAAAGTTAGAGAATGGAAATGAAAAATTCAGCAATTTTTCCATTTGTAAAGGGGCATAACTCTAGAACGGTTTAAGTGACGCAACCAAAATTCAAACTTGATCTGTGCTTTGTGGTAATAAGCATTATGTACAAGTTTCATAACATTTGGTTGAGGCAAACTAAAGTTAGAGAATGGAAATGAAAAATTCAGCAATTTTTCCATTTGTAAAGGGGCTGAACTCTAGAACGGTTAAAGTGACGCCACCAAAATTCAAACTTGATTTGTGTTTTGTGGTTATAAGCATTTTGTACAAGTATCATTTGGTTGAGGCAAACTAAAGTTAGAGAATGGAAATGAAAAATTCAGCAATTTTTCCATTTGTAAAGGGGCATAACTCTAGAACGGTTTAAGTGACGCAACCAAAATTCAAACTTGATCTGTGCTTTGTGGTAATAAGCATTATGTACAAGTTTCATAACATTTGGTTGAGGCAAACTAAAGTTAGAGAATGGAAATGAAAAATTCAGCAATTTTTCCATTTGTAAAGGGGCTGAACTCTAGAACGGTTAAAGTGACGCCACCAAAATTCAAACTTGATTTGTGTTTTGTGGTTATAAGCATTTTGTACAAGTATCATTTGGATGAGGTAAACTAAAGTTATAGAATGGAAACAAAAAATTCAGTAATTTTTCCATTTGTAAAGGGGCTGAACTCTAGAACGGTTAAAGTGACGCCACCAAATTTCAAACTTGATCTGTGTTTTTTGTTAATAAGTATTTTGTATAAGTTTCATTTCATTTGGTTGAGGCAAACTAAAGTTAGAGAATGGAAACAAAAAATTCAGTATGTACGGACGGACAAGGGTAAAAATTAATGCCCCCTCCGCTACGGCGGGGGCATAAAACAACAAAAAATTGGTAAAAATCATCATCAAATGGCAATAAGTCTAATAAGGAGTCAACTGACGATTTCGACCATGCAGATTTATTTGTAGAACTTGTTTTGCTGATCATTTTTGCAATTTAAAGTGTCTCCCTATCTATTATAGCTTTCAAGATAATAGGCAAAAATGTAAAAAATTGGTAAAATTTGTCATTTAAGAGCAATAACTCCTATAAGAAATCTTCTGACAGTTTTTATGTATATGAAAATTGGTAGAGCTCAACATTCTGAACATTTTTGGTCTGTCAGATTTTCTCTATTTATAATGGTTTTCAAAATAATAGACAAAACTTGCATTTTACCCCTATGTTCTATTTGTAGCCATGTCGGCCATCTTGGTTGGCAGGCGGGGGGTCATAGGATACATTTTTTAAACTAGATACCTAGATGATGATTGTGGCCAAGTTTGGTTAAATTTGGCCCAATAGTTTCAGAGGAGAAGATATTTGTAAAAGTTAACAACGTCGGACGCCAAGTGATGAGAAAAGCTCACTTGGCCCTTTGGTCTAGGTGAGCTAAAAAAGTAAACATTTGAATTTGGTGTCTTAAAATGATAGTTACCTTCTCCAAATTTTTTCCATATTCAATAAAAATAAAACGTGATTGCGTATCAATTAGTGAATTACGTCTTCTTTAAGAATAATGTCCCATGTGTTTAACTCTCCATTGCTATATTAGATTTGACCTAAGATATTTTGTTACTAAGTTTGTGGTTTACCTTTCTTCACCAATCTTTTTCTTACTTCTAACATCAAAGAAATTTACAGGCCTTTTATTCTGTGATTTTATTACTGAGTTTCCTGCAATTCTTGTTGATTGGTCCGCTAAATGAAGAAAAAAATCATTGATAGGATTATTTGTTGCATTTTCATATCTTTATAGAAACTAGAAACATATAATATGATTAAAAATTATTGATTTTGTATTTGCTTTTCTGCATTTATCTACAGAATCAATTATTACTAGATTTAATGCAAAATGTCATATCTAATCATAATACACATGGCAACAAATTAATCTCCTTTCTTTCAATATATATCAGTATCTGTGACATTTCAAATGACATTTCAAAGGACATTTGATTAAGATTAATGGAATATTTGATCTCACAACATTTGAGATTTAAAAAAAAAAAGCAAATACTGGTAGTTATATAAATATAATAATGCAAGAACTTACAGTCTTTTACATTATCTTTGTTGCCAAAATTTTACCTTGTAAATTTTCTCTTATTAAACAGGGATCTCCATATATAGATGATTGCTTTTTCCTTGAGTTCTTCTCTCTATCTATAGTAGCAGAAGATGTCCTGAAAAAAATCATCTATAATCATTCAATTGCCAATACTTTTAAAATATAGTATATATCACATTTTTCTGTGACAATTGCACATGACTCAGACAATACAGTAGTAAATTTAACCACTTAAATAGTCTTGTTACACATGTAGAAATTTTAACCACTTGAATAGTCTTGTTACACATGTAGTAAATTTAACCACTTGAATAGTCTTGTTACACATGTAGTTATTTTAAGCACTTGAATAGTCTTGTTACACATGTAGTAAATTTAACCACTTGAATAGTCTTGTTACACATGTAGTAATTTTAAGCACTTGAATAGTCTTGTTACACATGTAGTAAATTTAACCACTTGAATAGTCTTGTTACACATGTAGTAATTTTAACCACTTTAATAGTCTTGTTACACATGTAGTAAATTTAACCACTTGAATAGTCTTGTGATATATGCTGTGTATGTATCTCCTGTATAGTTAATTTGAACAAAAGCTGGATCAAACAGAATACTTTCAAATTTACTGTTACTCTTACAAACATACACGGTTTAGGTAGATAGTCAAAGGCTGATTTGGATCAAACTCAGAATAATAAAATTAAATTGGACAGGTCTTTATGTGAACTTTTACCTTGACTACCTGTAGTTACAATTACAAGCTATCAAATTAAAAATCCAGCTCAGTGTGTCTGTCTAGTACAAAACAGGCTTCGATTTCCTCCCATAAAACAACAAGAGTGCACACGCTGAAATGTCTCGCCTGCTATACTGACCATTGATTTTATGTTGATAGTTCAAAATATAAAGTTTTACTACAAGTATCACATTAACATTTATGATACAAGAAAATGAGGTCATGGTCAGATAAAACAAGCCGGAAATACATATACACCTTTAATACAATAATTCCATACAACAAACATAGATGACCTATTGCTTATAGTATAAAAGAAACACATCAAAACATGGAAATTTTATATAGACCAATGAACCATGAAAATGAGGTCAAGGTCAGATGAACCCTGCCAGACTGACATGTACACCTTACAATCATTCCATACACCAAATATAGTTAACCTACTACTTATGGTATTTAAAAAATTCGTAAGGGTTCCACGGAACCCAGTGTCTCGCCTACTTTTTCTGTTAATCGCAGGCTCAACAAAAATGAGGAAGTAAATCAATAAAAATATTCCACTTGATACTATCTTTTGATTGCAAGAAGCTTCTGTCTAAGTTTGGTAAAAATCCAGGATAGTTTATGAATCTAATAAATGTTTAAAAACTTTAACTGCAGACTGAATGTAATGTTAACTGGAAGAAAACAAAATTTCCTTCTAGATACTAGCATTTGATCATAAACAAGCTTCTGTCCAAGTTTGGTACAAATCCAAAATAGTATAAGAAAGTTATTAAAATTTTAAAAACTTTAACCACAGAGTGAATGTGTTGTTTCCTGGCAGAAAATCTAAGTCCATTTAAAAGTAAAATACAGAAAAAATGGATTTATTTTTTTACAAAATTTCCTTCTAGATACTAGCTTTTGATCATAAACAAGCTTCTGTTAAAGTTTGGTACAAATCCAAAATAGTATAAGAAAGTTATTAAAATTTTAAAAACTTTAACCACAGAGTGAATGTGTTGTTTCCTGGCAGAAAATCTAAGTCCATTTAAAAATAAAATAAGGAAAAAATGGATTTATTTTTTTACAAAATTTACTTCTGGATACTATCTTATGATCATAAACAAGCTTCTGTCCAAGTTTGGTATAAACCCAGGATAGCTTAAGAAAGTTATTAAAATTTTAAAAACTTTAACCACAGAGTGAATGTAATATTTCCTGGCAGAAAAACCAAGTCCATTTATAAGTAAAATATGGAAAAAATGGAATTTTATTTTTACAAAATTTACTTCTGGATACTATCTTATGATCATAAACAAGCTTCTGTCCAAGTTTGGTATAAACCCAGGATAGCTTAAGAAAGTTATTAAAATTTTAAAAACTTTAACCAAAGAGTGAATGTAATATTTCCCGGCAGAAAAAACAAGTCCATTTATAAGTAAAATACGGAAAAAATGGAATTTTATTTTTACAAAATTTACTTCTGGATACTATCTTATGATCATAAACAAGCTTCTGTCCAAGTTTGGTAGAAATCCAGGATAGTTTAAGAAAGTTATTAAAATTTCAAAAACTTTAACCACAGAGTGAATATTTGTGGACGCCACCGACGACGACGACGACGCCGACGGAATGTAGGATCGCTATGTCTCGCTTTTTCGACTAAAGTCGAAGGCTCGACAAAAACTGATCAAAACATAAAAACTTAACATTGACCACTGAACCATGAAAATGAGGTCACAGTCAGATGAAACCTGTCAGACTGACATTTACCCCTTACAATCATTCCATGCACCAAATATAGTTGACCTACTGCTTATAATATCAGAGACATGGACCTAATCACGTAAACTTTAACATTAATCACTGATCCATATAATGATGTCAAGGTCAGGTGAACTCTGTCTGATGGTCATGAAGGTGTTGCAAGGAACCCATATACCAAATATAGTTATCCTAATAGACCTATTGTTCATAATAAATGATAAATTCACATGACAAAAAGCCATAATTTTATTTTCAAGCAGTCGCTGAACCGATGAGGTCAAGGACAATGGGCATATGACAGACTGAAACTTCATAACATAAGGTATCAGCATACAAAGTATGAAACATCTAAGTCTTCTACCTTCTAAAATATAAAGTTTTATACAAATAGTTTACACTACCGCTGCAAGTTAGTAATCCCTAGGTTTCGCAAACTGCGGTGAAACACTGCGACTTTCGTCACAGGCAAGACAAAAAATAGTAGTTTTTTCAATTTTGTTTTATTTATTTACCAATAAATATTCCATATAACTTTTAAAAAAAGAGAAAAGAAATAAAATACTAATAAAAGAACAGAGTTCCAATGTCCCCCGCGTTGCACATATTTTATATTTCCAAGGGGCATAACTCTTTTAAAAAAAGTCGATCGTCCACCATTAAACTTGTCTGATATATTGCTGATATTAACCTATACTATAAGTTTTATAAAAATCTGGCAAGAATTGTACCCGTGAGAGCGCTAACGAGGCCATTTTCCATAAATTTAATATTTCCAAAGAAATTGTCTAAGAACTTAAAAAATTTTTAATTTACCTATTCAAACCATATCATTATTATTTGCTTTTATATATAAATCAGAAATAACCAATTTAAAATAGAAAATTTTTAAGAAAAAAAAAGGAAAAAAAATCCCCCCCCCCCCAAATTTGTTTAACCCCCTTATGATTCATCACCCCCAAACTCAATCCCAGCCTTCCCTTTGTGGTATGGTACCTTGCAGTACAATTTCAGAGGGATCCATACACTTGAACACAAGTTATTGTCTGGAAACTAGAAAATGCTTGTTTTTTGGCCCCTTTTTTGCCCCAAATTCCTAAACATTTAGGGCAATTACCCCCAAACTCAAACCCAGTTTTTCTTTTGTGATATGGAACCTTGTAGAACAATTTCATAAAGATCCATACACTTACACACAAGTTATTGTCCTGAAACTAGAAAAATGCTTGTTTTTTTGCCCCCTTTTTGGCCCCTAATTGATAAATTCCTAAAATTTTGAGGCAATTACCCCCAAAATCAATCCCAGCCTTCACTTTGTGGTATGGTACCTTGCAGAACAATTTCAGAGAGATCCATACACTTGAACACAAGTTATTGTCTGGAAACTAGAATAAAATGCTCCTCTGGGGCGCAGCTTGATACAACCGCAGAGGTCGAACCCTGAACAGTTGGGGCAAGTATGGACACAACATTCAAGCTTGATACAGCACTGAATTTGGATTGTAATTAAATATTTGACACAGCATAGGTTTCTCACACAGAATGAAAGTGGTCTAAGAACTTAAATTTTTTTAATTTACCTATTCAAACCATATCATTATTATTTGCTTTTATATATAAATCAGAAATAACCAATTTAAAATGGAAAATTTTAAAGAAAAAAAATATACATGTGATGGACTGTGAAACTCAGATCAGGAGATTGGGAAATTTTGGTCAGGAGATTAGGATTCAGATCAGGAGGTTTTTAATCGACATAAATTTTGTCGTAAATGTAACCGTGTGCTGTAAAAATTGTCTTTTAAAGTGTGTTTTCTTCAACTTTCAATCCGAATGTATTATGTATTATGTATTATGTTTATAGTACCCTTGTACTTATAAAGTTTCTTTATCTTTATATTCTACATGTTCAATCTAACATTCTTTGTTTTTTAGTATGTTCTTTAAATTTTTCAATTCATATCTTTTATATCATTATTCTATAGGACAACCATTGCAATCAGATCATTACCTATCTGCATTTGCAATTAAATTTATTTGAATAATCAGAAACTCATTAAAATTTGTAGCAAGGGCCATAGTTATTATACAAATTCAATTTAAGCCTTGAAAGAAAGTATAGAACCCTCAAATAATTTTCAAATTATTATTTTTTTATTTGTCCTAAGACATTTAAAATCATTTAATTACCATCCTTTTATGATTATTTGTTCAATTTATATTTTATTTATATTCTTTTAAAAATTTACATTATTTAAAGGAAAGTAACTTAAAACAGGATAAATCAAGGGAAGTAACCCAATAAATACACAAAGTTTTTATTACACAACAGCAGTTAGCCTGAGGTAAAAATCGTTGATTACCAGTATGTTTGACACCCAAGCTGACAAGTGAAGCCATATAATTATGCATGTTAATTGATTTACAGGTAAAATATAACTTCAGGTGATGTCAGTTACACCAGATGTCTGAGATGATATGTTGGGCAGAAATATTTCATACACAGGATTTTTTTCTCTTCAACGCAAGGTCGGGAGGAGACCAATGAAAACGGGATTATTGTACTCCCGTCCGGAGATTCACATGTATGATTAAAAAGGAAAAAAAAATCCCCCCCCCAATTTTTTTGAACCCCCTTATGATTCATCACCCCAAACTCAATCCCAGCTTTCCCTTTGTGGTATGGTACCTTGCAGTACAATTTCAGAGAGATCCATACACTTGAACACAAATTATTGTCTGGAAACTAGAAAAATGCTTGTTTTTTGGCCCCTTTTTGGCCCCAAATTCCTAAACGTTTAGGGCAATTACCCCCAAACTCAAACCCAGCTTTCCCTTTGTGATATGGAACCTTGCAGTACAATTTCATAAAGATCCATACACTTACACACAAGTTATTGTCATGAAACTAGAATAAAATGCTCCGCAGGGCGCAGCTTGATTCGACCGCAGAGGTCGAACCCTGAACAGTTGGGGCAAGTATGGACACAACATTCAAGCTTGATACAGCTCTGAATTTGGATTGTGATTAAATATCTGACACAGAATGAATGTGACCTCTTTAAGAACTTAAAAATTTTATGGACATTCACCTATTATGGTCCAATATCCAAAATCTAAATACATGGTTAGATTCAGCATATCAAAGAACCCCAAGAATTCAAATTTTGATGAAATCAAACAAAGTTTAATTTTGGACCCTTTTGACCTCAATGTGGACAAAGTTGATAACGGGGCCAAAAAATCTAAAATCTAAATACATGGTTAGATTCAGCATATCAAAGAACCCCATATTTTCAATTTTTGTTGAAATCAAACAAAGTTTAATTTTGGACCCTGATTTGGACCAACTTGAAAACTGGGCCCATAATCAAAAATCTAAATACATGTTTAGATTCAGCATATCAAAGAACCCTAAGAATTCAATTTTTGTTAAAATCAAACTAAGTTTAATTTTGGACCCTTTGGACCTTAATGTAGACCAATTTGAAAACGGAACCAAAAAATAAGAATCTAAATACACGGTTAGATTCGGCATATCAAAGAACCCCAATAATTCAATTTTTGATGAAATCAAACAAAGTTTAATTTTGGACCCTTTAGACCTCAATGTGGACCAATTCAAAAACGGGGACCAAAATCCAAAAACTTAATACATGGTTAGATTCAGCATATTAAAGAACCCCAAGAATTCAAGAATAAAACCCCATTGAAATTGGTCAAGAAATAAGCAATTTATACGAAGTATCTTCTTTTGCACAATACTGTGCAATTGAATATTTCTTGCTATTGCACAATACTGTACAATTGACAATTTCTAGCTATTGCGCAATATTGTGCTATTGGATATTTCTTGCTATTGCGCAATACTGTGCAATTGAAAATTTCTTGCTATTGCACAATACTTATTATATAATAATTTACACATCCTGTTTGGTGTGTATCTCCTACCATATCATTATTATTTGCTTTTAAATATAAATCAGAAATAACCAACTTAAAATGGAAAATTTTAAAAGAAAAAAAAAAGGAAAAAAAGAAAAAAAAAGGAAAAAAAAAAAAATCCCCCCCCAAATTTTTTGAACCCCCTTATGATTCATCACCCCCAAACTCAATCCCAGCCTTCCATTTGTGGTATGGTACCTTGCAGTACAATTTCAGAGAGATCCATACACTTGAACACAAGTTATTGTCTGGAAACTAGAAAAATGTGTTTTTGGCCCCTTTTTGGCCCCACATTCCTAAACGTTTAGGGCAATTACCCCCAAACTCAAACCCAGCTTTCCCTTTGTGATATGGAACCTTGTAGTACAATTTCAGAAAGATCCATACACTTACACACAAGTTATTGTCCTGAAACTAGAAAAATGCTTGTTTTTTGCCCCTTTTTGGCCCCTAATTCCTAAAATATTGAGGCAATTACCCCCATCATCAATCCCAGCCTTCCCTTTGTGGTATGGTACCTTGCAGTACAATTTCAGAGAGATTCATACACTTGAACACAAGTTAATGTCTGGAAACTAGAAAAATGCTTATTTTTGGCCCCTTTTTGGCCACCAATTCCTAAACGTTTTGGGCAATTACCCCCAAACTCAATTCCAGCTTTCCCTTTGTGATATGGAACCTTGTAGAACAATTTCAGAAATATCCAAACACTTACACACAAGTTATTGTCATGATACTAGAAAAATGCTTGTTTTTTGCCCCTTTTTTGGCCCCTAATTCCTAAAATTTTGAGGCAATTATCCCCAAAATCAATTCCAGCCTTCCCTTTGAGATATGGAACCTTGTGGTACAATGTCAGAGAGATCCATACACTTACACACAAGTTATTGTCTGGAAGTTACAAAAATGCTTATTTTTGGCCCCTTTTTGGCCCCTAATTCCTTTACTGTTGGTACCATAACCCCCAAAATCAATCCCAACCTTCCTTTTGTGGTATTGAACCTTGTGGTAAAATTTCATAGAGATCCATTCACTTAAACTAAAGTTAGAGTGCGAAAACCAATGTGTCTTCGGACGACGCCAGACGACGACGCCAACGTCATACCAATATACGACCACAAAAATTTTTTTGCGGTCGTATAAAAATGCTTGTTTTTTGCCCCTTTTTGGCCCCTTATTCCTAAAATTTGGAGGCAATTACCCCCAAAATCAATCCCATCATTCCCTTTGTGATATGGAACCTTGTGGTACAATGTCAGAGAGATCCATACACTTACACACAAGTTATGTCTGGAAGTTACAAAAATGCTTATTTTTGGCCCCTTTTTGGCCCCTAATTCCTTAACTGTGGGTACCATAACCCCCAAAATCAATCCCCACCTTCCTTTTGTGGTATTTAACCTTATGGTAAAATTTCATAGAGATCTATTCACTTAAACTAAAGTTAGAGTGCGAAAACTAATGTGTCTTCGGACGACGACGACGACGACGACGCCAACGTCATACCAATATACGACCACAACAATTTTTTTGCGGTCGTATAAAAATGCTTATTTTTTGCCCCTTTTTGGCCCCTTATACCTAAACGTTTTGGGCAATTACCCCCAAACTCAATTCCAGCTTTCCCTTTGTGATATGAAACCTTGTAGTACAATTTCAGAAAGATCCATAGACTTACACACATGTTATTGTCATGAAACTAGAAAAATGCTTGTTTTTTGCCCCTTCTTTTGTCCCTAATTCCTAAAATTTTGAGGCAATTACCCCCAAAATCAATCCAAGCATTTCCTTTGAGATATGGAACCTTGCAGTACAATTTCAGAGAGATCAATACACTTGAACACAAGTCATTGTCTGGAAACTAGAAAATGCTTATTTTTTGCCCCTTTTTTGCCCCTTATTCCTAAACGTTTTGAGCAATTACCCCCAAACTCAATCCCAGCTTTCCCTTTGTGATATGAAACCTTGTAGTACAATTTCAGAAAGATCCATAGACTTACACACAAGTTATTGTCATGAAACTAGAAAAATGCTTGTTTTTTGCCCCCTTTTTTGCCCCTAATTCCTACAATTTTGAGGCAATTACCCCCAAAATCAATCTTAACATTCCCTTTGTGATATGGAACCTTGTGGTACAATGTCAGAGAGATCCATACACTAACACACAAGTTATTGTCATGAAACTAGAAAAATGCTTGTTTTTTGCCCCTTTTTGGCTCCTAATTCCTAAAATTTGGAGGCAATCACCCCAAAAATCAATCCCAGCATTCCCTTTGTGATATGGAACCTTGTGGTACGATTTCAGAGAGATTCATACACTTACACACAAGTTATGTCTGGAAGTTACAAAAATGCTTATTTTTGGCCCCTTTTTGGCCCCTAATTCCTTAACTGTTGGTACCATAACCCCTCAAATCGTTCCCAACCTTCCTTTTGTGGTATTGAACCTTATGGTAAAATTTCATAGAGATGTATTCACTTAAACTAAAGTTAGAGTGCGAAAACCAATGTGTCTTCGGACGACAACGACGACGATGCCGCCGCCGCCGTCATGCCAATATACGACCGCAAATTTTTTTTCAATTCTATAAAAAAGTCGGTCGTCCACCATTATAGAACTTGTATGAGATATTGCTGATATTAACCTATACTATAATTTTTATAAAAATCTGGCAAGAATTGTACCCGTGAGAGCACTAACGAGGCCATTTCCCATAAATCTAATATTTCCAAGGGTCATAACTCTTTTAAAAAAGTAGATCGTCCACCATTATAGAACTTGTCCGAGATATTATTGATATTAACCTATAGTATAAGTATTATAAAAATCTGGAAAGAATTGTACCCGTGAGAGTGCTAACAAGACCGGATGGACACACGGACGGATGCCCGATATTTCCATGTTCCTGGCAAAGCGTTACATGGGGGACAATTTACTTTGAAACATTTCATTAAATCCTACTGAAGGACTTTTAAACAAGCATTCTGAGAGTATTGCATGGCAATACATAGTCCCCTACCGGTTAAAAATTCATTGTACTGGAACAAAATGCGAACTTGATCTATAACTTGTCATGGTGTAAATTATATAACAAATATCAAGTCAATGTCTTCAAGCATGACGAAAAAAAGTGTGGAAAACTGATTATTTAAGTGAATTTTCTAAGTCCAAGGACCATAACTCTTCACACAATCATCAGACCAGAACAAAATTCGAACTTGATGTGTAACTTGTCATGATAAAACAATATACCATTATCAAATCAATATCTTCAAGCACAAAGAAAATAAATGGGGAATGTGTTCATGGGACACAGATGATGCCCCCACTTGCATATAATGTTATAAAGGGATATAACTCAAGAACTGTAAAAGTGACGCCACCCAAATTTGTATTTGATCTGAGTTTTGTGGTAATAAGCATTGTGTATACGTTTCATAACATTTGGTTGAGGCAAACTAAAGAAAGAGAACGGAAACGAAAAATTCAGCAATTTTTCCATTTGTAGAGGGGCATAACTCTAGAACAGCAAAAGTGACACAACCAAAATTCGAACTTGATCTGTGTTTTGTGGTAATAAGAATTGTGTATAAGTTTCATAATATTTGGTTGAGGCAAACTAAAGTTAAAAAACGGAAACAAAAAATTCAGCAATTTTTCCATTTATAAAGGGGCATAACTCTAGAACGGTATAAGTGACGCCACCAAAATTCAAACTTGATCTGTGTTTTGTGGTAATAAGCATTTTGTACAAGTTTCATAACATTTGGTTGAGGCAAACTAAAGTTATAGAATGGAAACAAAAAATTCAGCAATTTTTCCCATTTGTAAAGGGGCTGAACTCTAGAACAGTTAAAGTGACGCCACCAAAATTCAAACTTGATTTGTGTTTTGTGGTTATAAGCATTTTGTACAAGTTTCATATCATTTGGATGAGGTAAACTAAAGTTAAAGAATGGAAACAAAAAATTCAGCAATTTTTCCATTTGTAAAGGGCTGAACTCTAGAACGGTTGAAATGACGCCACCAAATTTTAAACTTGATCTGTGTTTTGTGGTAATAAGCATTGTGTATAAGTTTCATAACATTTGGTTGAGGCTAACTTAAGTTAGAGAATGGAAACCAATTTTGGGACGTACGTACGGACAAGGGTAAAACTTAAAGCCCCCTCCGCTACGGTGGGGGCAATAAAAGTGTGGAAAACTGATTTGCCGGCCTGACGGATGGACAGACAGACAGACAGAGTGCAAACCCAAAGTCTCCTTCAAAACTGATTTGCCGGACAGACAGACAGACAGACAGACAGACAGACAGACAGACAGAGTGCAAACCCAAAGTCCCCTTCAAGTCGGTAGGGGACTAAAAAAAAAAAACACAAACATATAAAAATTCACAACTATAGTTTCTTAAATTTTGTTCAATTTACAGTGCATGGCCAAAAGTATTCCTCACATTCAGTTTTCCCCTATAAATTTCATAAAAACTACATTTTTTTAAAAAAAATTATTGTGGGGTCATTTCTGGTTGGATTTTAATCAACTTGGTAAAATCAAAAAGGTTTCTGTTTTGAGCAAAAAATTGAACCAATTTTTGTTATATACTCCAAATTTTATTTCTATCAAATAAGCATGATAAATGTTTTGTTTTCATAAGAATACAGGCGACCATATCTATTTAAAAGAATGTATTATATGTTAATTAAGCATTGTAATTAGTATTTATTTTCCTAAAGATTGAAACATCATATCTTGTTTCGACAAATCAGATATGGGTAACCTATTTAAGGAATAAAAGGTTTCAAATTTTAAGAAAATATTCCTATTTAAGGCACAGAAATAATGTATCCAAATATTTCCTACATGAAAACAAGAATATCTTTAATAATAAACAGTTAATCTTTATAAAAACAACCACATGTATTATACCGTTTAGTTCATCGGACACTATAATCAACAGATCAAGAACTTGCTACATGTACAAACCTCATCATGAGACCTTCTAATCAACAGATCAATAAATGCATTAGTAAAATTTTTATTCTAAAAATGCATAATTAAAATTCATTTATCTTTTATTTGTTTTCTATAACTATTAGCATTTACTTTTCCTTAGTGCTGGTTCAGTTAATTCGCATGCAAGATTAAGAGTGATTTTTTCTCATTGGTTCAGTGAATTTTATATTTTACCTAGCTTGTCCATTTCAACTGGTCCTGCTTGTAATTTCTACTCAGTAAAGTTTTCTTTTCAAATCACTATATTCGTATGGTCATTCTGCTAATCAGTTTTCTTTGAACAGGTCATAATTTTTATCAAGTTGATGCATCGATGGACTACATTTATTATTCTTAAAAAGTGAAATATAAAAAGAAATATTTTAGAATTGAGTTCGTCGAATCAATACTGAATGTTTTTTTTGTTGTTTATCTTAATTATTTTAATTATGTTAAGTAGAGTATTTACGGTACTAGTTATTCAAACTTTGATATGAGTTCATGCAGAATATTTTCGGTACTAGTTAATCTTACTTTGAGATGAGTTCACGCCGGCGAAGAAATCTTCCATGTCTGAATTATAAGAAATTAAATTTTCTTGGTCTTTCAGATACTAAGTTTGAAAGTATTTTTCAGAATAATAATATGGATGAAGAATTGAACCTTTCAATCTCAGCTGATGACGACTTTGGTGGTCTGGATCTAGAAGAAGATCCAACGGCAGGAGACTCGTCTTTGGTTAGGGATAAGCAGGTGGAAGGTGCCAAGGTGTTAAGGCCGGACAAAATTCACGGAGAGGAACAACCTGTTGTGTCCGAGGAAGAAAGTGGCGACGAGGATTTGGTACTTCATCTTTAGTTGTTAAAGGAGAAGCTAGATTCCCTTAAGAAGGAGAAGCTGAAGAAGGATATCCGCAAATTAGAGCAGGAGATGGAGCTACTTACTATAGATTCAAAGACTAAGGCAGCGAAACCGAAGAAAAAATCTGGTGAGGTCATTAATTCGAATGTTACCATCAATGATCTGAGTAAATTAAAAAAATTATGTTCAACAGTGAAATCTCAAATGTATACTTTAGGTCTTGAGTTAGATAGTGAACAAGATCATACTTGTAAAAAATCTAATTCTAAGTCTCAAAAAGAAGCTGTCGATGTTGGTGCATCAAAACAAAAATTGAAACCTAAAGAAAAGATAAAGCGGAACACAAAAACAAACGCTAAATTAAAATATAATCCAAGTTCTAATTCTGAATTATGGCATTGCGATGCAGATTCTGAATTTGAAAAACGTTCGAAGCGTAAATTGTGTTCAAAATTAAAAAAAGATGGTCTTGACAGCTCTAAATTGAAAAGCAAGAAGAAGTTATCAAAGCATAAAAACAAATCTAGAAGGAATCTGAAGATTAAATTAAAACCAGATTCTGATTCTGAATCTTCGAGTAGCGATTTAAATTCTGAGTTTGTTTCTTCTGATTCTGCGGACTCTTTTGATTACGGTAAATATGATTGGAGTGGTCATAATTATAAATCTAGCAGGAACAAAATCAGGGACTGTTTTAAAATCCTCGGACAAAGTGAAAAATCCTCAGTATTTTCCTCACAATTTTTTACAATTTGAAAACATAAATAAAGACTTGAAATTCAAGCAGTTGAATTTTAAACAATTTGTAGCGGGGGAATTGGAGATAATATATAATTTTTGTAATGATAAATCTGAAAAAGAGGGCAGGTTAAAATTACTGCATCAAATTTCATATTTTTCTTCCATTTATCAATGGTCGGCTATTTTGGTCTTTTACGCTGCTTGGTTATGTCAAATAGAAATAGGCAAAAAAAGTTGGAGTGATGATCCACAAATTTTGGAGAGTGCAATATTGACTGGTAAAATGTTTAGTTTTGATAAAACTGACTCAAAGTTTAACAAAACCCAGTCTTCGAAATCCACAGTTTGGTTTTGTTACAAGTATCAAAGAAATAAATGTGAGGAAAAGACAACACCACCATAATGATACGATTAGGGGGGTTGTTCGATCTATGTTACATATTTGTGCAACATGTTTACAAAAAGATGGTACGCAATGGAACCATCCTGAATGTGCTGAGTCATGTCCACATAAACGTAAATGACTATGTACATGTAATATAGGGAACATAAATTCTATATTTGATGGTGATCACTGTCAGTCAGGGGTACTACTTCTACAAGTAATTTTTATTTACTTGAAGAAGTAAATATTAATATACTTATATAAGTAAATTTGTAGGATACTTATACAAGTGTCTTTTATTTACTTGTATAGGTAAATTATTTTTTGGCCTATTTATGTCCCTTAGACATTCAGATTTTTTTACTTATACAAGTAAAAAAGTCATCCTATCTTCCTTTCTGGAATTCTTAGAACTTCTTTGCTCTAACAGAATTTTGAATTGTCTGTCCTTTGCAGATGTCTTTACTAATCATTTAAGTGTAATTTCATAGATAATGAAAATCTCATTTGTCTGTTATCTTCAGAACACTGCTCATTTACAAGCCCCAAGGAGCAATTTTTGAAGGCCTTGCGCAAATACTTAAGATCTTTGCACAATCAGTTTCTTTGTTGAATTAATGAGATGAAACATTGAACTCTTATCAAAAATTATGAGCTAACCTGAGAAAAATTGTTAAAGGCATGATTTTACATCTCAAAACTTAAGATTTTTTGTGGAATTGTAAAAAAAATTTACTTATACAAGTAAATTTTTGAGAAAATTAAGGGGAGATTATTCAAACATTATAATTAACTTATATAAGTATATTTTATTTACTTCTTCAAGTAAATAAAGATTACTTGTACAAGTAGTACCCCTGACTGACTGTGCAATGTGTAAAGAAGTTTACTTTTAGAAGTTGGTCACACTTCTGATCTTATAGATTTACATAATCAGTTAGTTTTTTTTTCAAATACTTACAATTTTGAGTGTTTAAATATTTATTTATTTTAAGTTGAATATACGATTTTGGCCTTCTCAGTTCGAGTTTTATTTTGACAAAGTCATTTGTGAATTTTTAGAATTTGGTTGGCCATTTGGAATAAAATACCTAGAAAATCTTGCTCTTGTCGAAAGAAATGTAGAAATCACACTGGGGCTGGGTTTTATCCCAAAGACATAGAAAAGTATATTAAGAAAGAGAAAACGTATTGTGCAGAGTTAGGCCCATTCAAAGTTAATCCCTTTTCTGATAAGTTGGTTATATCTCCTCTTAATTCTGTTCCGAAATCTGGTTCTGTTGAAAGAAGGGTCTTTATGGATCTTAGTCACCCAAAGGGTCATTCTGTGAATGACTGTTTTGAATGAATGAATGAATATTTGGGAGATAGAGTTTGATCTTCATTATCCTAATGTTGATAAACTAGTTGACATTATTAAGAGTAAGGGTCCGAATTGTTTAGTTTTCAAGAGGGATCTTCGTCATGCATATAGACAAATATTATTAGACCCAAGGTCTATAGTTTTGTTGGTTTTTCTTGGCGTGATCACATTTTTGTCGATTGTGTTTTGCCAATGGGTTTGAGATCATCAGCCTATATTTGTCAACGTATCACTAATGCGATCAAACCATTGCTACAGTGATGAATCTGAAAACACATCACACGGTATAGCTGACTCATATTAACCCTGAAACCAAATTTCAGAAATCCTTGTAATGTAGTTCCTGAGAAAGATGCGACGAAAAAATATTCATGGGACGGACAGACTGATGGATGGAAGGATGGACAGACAGAGGTTAAACGGAAGCAAGACAATTCGCCCCACTGCCAAATCGCCCCACACAAAATCGCCCCCCTTTTTCACCAACACGCCCCACTTTCTAAAAAATCGCTCCACTCTGGTTAACCAACTCGCCCCACTCATGAAAAGGTACGTAACAGAAATGCTGATACTTACTTCTTTCTGCTTTATTTCAACCAAAAGAAAAGATTTAAAAAAACAAGATGCATTTTAAGGTTTTCATCAGTATTCATTTAATTCATAAGTGGGGCAAATTGGTAGGCCTTAATTCAGTACAGTTTATTTCTTTTATTCATTAGTGGGGCGAGTTGGCAGACTTTTATTCAATGGGATTAAACTCCTTTTCATAAGTGGGACGAGTTGGTAGTCATTAATGCAGTAAGATGTTATTCTTTTTTCCATAAGTGGGGCGAGTTGGCAGACCTATATTCAACGCGATTTTATCCTTTTTCATAAATAAGTGGGGCGAGTAGGCAGGACTAAATTCATCAGGATTTTGCTATTTTTCATAAGTGGGGCGAGTCAGTAGACCTTTATTCAGCGAGATTTTAACCTTTTTCATAAGTGGGGCGAGTTGGCAGACCTATATTCAACGGGATTTTACCCTTTTTCATAAGTGGAGTGAGTTGGTAAACACGAGTGGGGCGAGTTGGTGAAAAAGTGGGGCGAGTTGGTGAAAAAGTGGGGTGATTTGGCAGTGGGGCGAGTTGTCATGGATTCAGGAAAAACAGTTTACCCCCACTTTTTTAAAGCAAAAAAAATAATAATACTACATGTACCTAAACAATTTTTTTGGTGTAATTACTCCCTGATTTTCCAAAAATACATTCAAATTAGCAGAATCCATAGAATTTTTTCTACATTTGATGCCTGTATCACTTCCTGGCTTCTTATGAGAGACACAGTTTATTTGATCGGTGACGAGACGTTCGGCTTCCACGTCTTCACTTATTTCAAGCTCACACTCTGACTCCTCTTTCAGTCTGTGGTGTTTCCTATTGAACATGGCATATTTAGTGTCTTTGTGGGTCCCATCTAAAGAAATATTGGATAAGAAATTAACTGCTGCAGTTTTTCTTCTTGATTTTCTTTTCAGATATTTCATATTGGCTGCTGCCATTCTCAGCTGTTGCTGTTGATGGGTTGTGTTTTTTTCACACTCACCAGCGTTCTCTTAATTTGTATCAAAACGTTGCAATGTGGCATGATATTATTAACAATGAATAGCCGTTAATATAAATAAGTACTGTGCATGGATACAAGTTTTCGTCAATTGCGATGTATTGCTAAACAATTTAATATAAAACCACTTTTTTATCTCCTTCTTCTTCTATTGGATATCCGCCCTATTTGCAAGGTCATCGCATTAATAATAATATATGCATGTCTTTAAAAAACAAAATTAACACAAATAGGAATACCACACTGAAAATGCGTCATCAAAATGACTATAAGGTTTTCTAGAGTTTTCTGAACCTCGACCATGTTTGAAGGAACTTTGACAGTCTTGGGTTCACTTTTTGAAAGATATCATTGACAATCATCAGTTTCCTCAGAAAAAAATCTGCAAGGATATGTTAAAGCCCATCCATTCAAGGTTACACAATTGTGAGCTGGAATCATATGGTTATTACAACTCACTTGAAAATTGTCTATTTTGCAAGTTTTCATTTTAAACTAAAAAAGAACTTGAAACACCGTCAGTTTTGCCCAAATCAAGGATTTGTATAGTATACTATACAAATCCTTTCCCAATTGCAGGGATAATGTGTGTTATGATATTAATCAATGAACCATTGACTGCTAGTCTGGAAGTTTTTGCAGATATTACCTCCGGGTTCCCGTATGCGAAATTAAAATTGTGCTATCATCTGCATACACTGATAATTTATATTCAGCGCTAACGCTAATAGACATGTCCTTTACACAATATAAGAATACAAGGGAACCCAAAATACATGATTGATGTTCACCACATATGTAACCGTTTGAAAATTAGATTCAACATCATTACTTAATGTTGCTTTCATGTCGATCCGGCCCCACGTCGATCCGGCCCAAGTCGATCCGTCCCACGTCAATCCGGCCCAACGTCGATCCGGCCCATATTTTAAGTCGATCCGGCCCAATAAAAAAATATATTTATAAGGAATAAAAATAAAGATATATATTAATTGTAATTCATAAATGTTTATGAATTTTATTATAATGTAAAAGGTGTACGGTAAAAAAAAAATGGCCTTTGACAAATATTTTCTTATGAGTTTAAAACAACTATATGTTGATTATGTTTTCATTACAAGATTTCAAGATTAATGGATATAATTATAATAAAAACGTATATAACAGAATTTAGTACAATCAACAGACATCAACATCAATCAGCAGTAATTAGCATTTTCTTTCAATTGACTGTGATCTTAACAAGTCTTTCATCCTGTGTAATAACAAATAATTACATACACAACGGTACAAGCCGATCCCCAAGCTGATACATACAAACTTTGTTTTTGTTTTAAGTTCTTAAAACTTCTCAAATGGCATCAAACTCCACTTCTACAAGATGGTTCCAGCGCTCATCAAGGAAGCCAAAACTGTTTCGAGGCAAGTGCGTCTGGAAGATGAACAGAGTCTTGCCCGTTGGCAACGCACCAACACTGTGTATCATCGCCACCGGAAATTGGGTACTAACGAAGCGGAGAGAAATGGAAAAAAAAAGTAAACAAGGTAAGAATTCATTCAATTTAAAGCATTTCTACTGATTTGACAATGGTACCGCTTAAGAAATGATTTTCTGATATATAATTCTTTAAATTATTAGGCCGATAAGTACAAAATTAAGACAAAATTTTGTGTTATACTCCAAAACTTGCCACTTAGTACCTGAAAATTTCGAGGTCGATTGTCCTCTGTCGCCCCATTGACAAGATATTCAACTGTTTTTCATTATTTTTCCAGACACGTTTTTAGATTGTGATAGTGTGACATCATATTGACTGAAATCTGTTGTCATAAAGATGTTTTTAAAAGAATATGGACCAAAACATTGTTTGTTTATTGTCCACCCACAACCCATCCCCGAAATGTTCATCACTTATATGCAAATGCTGACTAATGTTGTATGGTTAAAACATTTGGTTGAGGCAATCTAAAGCTTGAGAACAGAAACGACAGCTTTAGCTTTTTTTCATTTATAAAAGGGCATAACTCAAGAACGGTAACAGTGACGCTACCCAATTTATAACTTGATCTGTGTTTTGTGGTGATAAGCATTTCGTGTAAGTTTTAAAACATTTGGTTAAGGCATACTAAAGTTAGAGAACGGAAACCAATTATTGGGACTTTCTGGACGTACGGGAGGGACGGGTCGGACATGGGTACCCTCGTCAAATCAGTAGAAATGCTTTAAATTGAATGAATTCTTACCTTGTTTACTTTTTTTTCCATTTCTCTCCGCTTCGTTAGTACCCAATTTCCGGTGGCGATGATACACAGTGACCAAGTATCAACGGTCACAGGGACGCCTCTCTTCACTATGGGAGCAACTTCAAGACGGTACCATCACCACCTCCTTCTTCCTTCGTGCCGTCGGACACATGTACGACATTCCTGTGCCAAACCCAGAACCAGAAGAAGACACTGACAGCGAGTGATTTAATTGACATTGAGTGAACTGTATGACTTGTATTATGTTAGTGCATATATGGCTACAATCTATATGTTTATATAACATTTATTTATTAAATGCTTAATGAGTATTCTTTATGTTTAGAATAATATAGTGCGTTTTTTCTTGGTGAGCTAATCAAATTGAACAGTTATAGTGCTGTTAGTTGTTCTATATATTATATATGTACTGCGTATGATAGTTACTGTATTATATGTTATTGTAGTGCTGCAAGTGTGACCCCTTTTATATTATGTAAGTGACAGTGTAACTGTTAGTGTAAATGATTTAAGAGTTATATATATTTATGTGAGTGTCAGAGCATAGATGTATAAACCCTATGGTCAGAGATAGTGTGTTTGTTAGTGTGTATGAATTTATTGTTATTATAGTAGTGCTGATATTATATTTTAGAGAGTGAAAATGTGCATTCAGTGTGATTATTTTGTTATTATCTTGCAATAAAGAATAATGGATACTCATATAACTTGTTTTTTTATCTACACACAACTATTCAAAATATTGTCGACTATATTCGATATTACAAAAACAAAAACATGTATTATAGAAGCCTCTGATGGTACCTGAAAAAAAAATACAATTAATTATTATAACACATAACACCAAACAAAAGATCAAACTATAAAGACCTTGTTGATTACGTAACTTTAATCAATCAGGATTTGATTGAATTAAGTGATTACGAGTGGCATTACCTTAGTTCACAATCATTAGACAATTGTTGAATAAACAAACCAATTATAGACTAATGATTTGATTAAACAAGTCATTATGATGAGTTAAATTTTATAGGTTCCATTGGACTGTAAATATTTATTTAGCTATTCTGTGTCTGAATTAACTAAAATAAAAATCGCCATGACATTCAAAGTTATCATGGAAAATAACTTCATATTAAAATATGTTGAAGCTGCTATAAAAATTGCACAAATTGTCAATCACACTCATTTTCGTATCGATGTAAAATAATTCTTTGACTGGTACTCCAATATTTCACTTACCTGTTGTCATCCATCAACGATACTTTTTACAAATTCCATTTATACTGTTAAAAATTTGTCACAAAATCCTTCAAAGTCAATATAGTTTATTCATTTTTTATTATGGGGCCGGATCGACGTAGGGACGGATCGACGTGGGCCGGATCGACTTGGGACGGATCGACTTTGGGCCGGATCGACTTGGGGCCGGATCGGTTTGGGGACGGAACGACCGGATACCCTTAATGTTTCAGCTGCCTCTATGTCATATATGATTCAAACTATTCTATGTTTTTTACGCCCATTGTTTGTGGTATAACTTCAAGTTATAAAATAGAATGATCAACTATATCAAAAGCTGTTTGCAAATTCAGCCAGAGAAATGAAATTCATATGTTGTATGATATGTCTTTGATTCGGCATATCATATTGGTCACAGCAGAGACATATAATATTATATGTGTTACATGTCTCTGGTCACAGTAAAGCCCCAGACAGAAGACTTGGTCAAGTAAATGAACTTAACATGTATCCGTAGAATACGAGGCCCTGAAGCCTGATTGACAGCTATATAAAAAAATATTTTAACTAAATAATTTTCAAGTTGAGAATAAACCGATTTCTTAAGAATTCAGTTAGATACTATAACCAAAAGGCATTGGCTACGGTTACATTGAAATGTAACAATAATAAAAAAGTTATTGTTACATTAGAGACTAATTGCCGGAATGCAGGGTTGGGTAAAAATAAGGACCTGATTCATGCCAAGAAATTGCCTCCGTTGAAATTCTGCAAACACCCCATAGAGCAAATTACATGGATGATTAATATTGACCATTTGGTATATGGCCGTTTTCTAAGCGACACGTACATGAAGGTCATAAATTAATTTGTTGAATGAAATCAAATCTTTAGCTACTAATGAGTGCCGTAGGAGGTCGACCGGAATTTTTAGCGAGGATTTCTTGGCATGTAATTACGAATGTAACAATAATATTCGTATCTACGGATACGTTGTGTTATTGTTACGTTATATTTATTAAACCAGAGACATATATGTCTCTGATTAAACTTAAACCTTCTATAGTTTTGTTGACGTCTCTGAGTAATGGACTTCTGTCATTATTCAACAAATGGTGTTCAAATAGTTTAAAGTATTAAATGTTTTGATGTTCTTCAAGATACTACTACAGTTTAGCAGTGCCAAAGGCGAAAAATATAGTTCACGGATGGTTCTATGTTAAGAAGAAAAGTGCACCCTTATTACTGTCATTATATTTTGAACAATGGATGAAGTGATACCTATTATCAACACTGCCATTGTAAATAAAAATTAAAAAAAATGCATGCAATATTGTAAACTCAAATAAAAGTTTTCAAGTTTTATTTTAATACATATTACTAGTCCCAGCATACATTAAAGAGCATAAAGGTAACAATAACACAACGTAACCGTAGACACAAATATTATAGTTACATTCGTAATTAATCGGTTCCTTACCCTGCATTCCGGCAATAGTCTCTACTGAGCGATAACTTTTTTATTATTGTTACATTTCAATGTAACCGTAGCCAGTGCCTAACCAAAACGCGCACAGGCAAATAGTTTTCAACATCTAGCCTGATGTTCTTCTTATATTTGTGCAGATTATACTGAGTTATTTCATGTCATCTTAGAAAATACTACCAGAGACATATAAAACAATTATATGTCTCTGATACTACTGACGATAGATAGATTAACTAAATATGTGACAGGTCCTTTAACCAATACTTATCATGAATTTAAACGTTCAAACTCTTTTAGCACAATTTTTCACTCAAAGGTATTAATTCTAAGTAAATATAACTTCCACATGCTTTTCTACAAAAATTCTTTGAACTATTCTGGATTTAGCTAAACAAGCTTAGCCTTTATAGTTTTTGATAAGTCCAGAGGATAACAAACGCCCGAGATTCCCCGAGATTTTGCGAGGATTTAGACTTCCTACTACCATTTCGTGTCTGAAGAACATAAACATTTCAGAATGAAGTAGATTAAGACTGTATAAAACAAAATGAATGCAGAGAACCTAGAGCCTTCCACCAGCACGTCCAATCGTGTGGCACGTGTGACAATGATGGAAGGTGTAGGCGCCAGGGTTGTAAGGGGTCCTGACTGGAAATGGGGAAAGCAAGACGGAGGAGAAGGGCACGTCGGAACAGTTAGAAACTTTGAATCACCCGAGGAAGTGGTAGTTGTGTGGGACAATGGGACTGCAGCTAATTATAGATGTGCAGGGGCATATGATTTGCGAATATTAGACAGTGCACCAACTGGTAATTTAGTTTGTATGCAGGTTTGGTTCGAGTTCTTTTTATGAACAGTCACACTGGTTGACTGGTTGTCAATTGGCATAACCCGCTGACCGCGAAGTTTGTAGAATAATGGTTTTGTCGTACTCAGTATTTTTCTTTTATATTGTTCAAAGAATTTCAGGAAACATCATACTGCATTGTTGATGTCATATCTGTCATTGTCAATAGACCTTATCGCTATTTAGAAATCTGCGCCATTTGACACGAGAATCTACGCCACTTGAACTTTTGACGTCATACAACAATCATTTTCCTTTGTGACGTCAAAACTTTATGGGAATCTTTGTGATGTCCAGTAATCATGGTAATGGCGGACAAATAGCAATAAGGTGTATATGACGTTATACTGTTATTCGTTTGCATTAAAAGGTTACTAAAATACATGTGATAATAAGTATTCAAGTAGTAGAAGTTTGTAGTTATTGCATAGTTTGTTTTGAAAAATTAATTGGTCAATGTCAGTGTTCCCGCCTGCCCTAAATAGAAGAGCATCCCGCCATTGGTGCCCTTACCCCCGCCCTTCTGCCCTCCAAAGCGAAAAAATACTCTTTTCAAATTACATGCCTATCAGCATTTCCGGTAAAATTGTTACCTGATTATGTAACACTCTAATTAACTGACAATGGCACAAAGTTAAATACCTAGCCTTTGCCGATTTTGGCAGTTTAATCACCTCTGTTAATGATTGTTTACATCTAATTAGGTGATTAAAGATAATTTAACAAATACTAGATATTTAATACAAAATGAAAATGTCCACATGTTTATCCATTTGTAATGTTTATCATGTTTACGTACAGCATGTACACCTGAAAAACTTCATTTAAGTAGGCAATAAATAAAAATAAAATGTAAACAATTTTAAAGACATAAATGGTTTTGACTAAATTTGTTAAAAATGTTTTGTTTAATAATCCTGAGTATGAAATTTTAAAAAATTCGTATTTTGAACATAAACAAGATTGCATCACTTCCTGTTTTACTTCTTGTATTTATAATCCTCCTTACACAGGAGCACTTAACAAATGCTTTTATTTTTAATAATTATGGAGAAAAATAGTAACTGTTAATACCTTCTGCAAAGTTTGCATCAATATGATGTTATTATCTCCTGTTTCACCTTATATATTTATAAAGCTCCTTACTTAGGAGCACTTCGGTGTGCACTTAAAAAAATACTTTTTTGTAACAATTTAACTTGATGAGAATAAGTAACTTTCAGTAGCATATACTTTATGTTCGAACAAGTAATTTAAATGTACATAATTTTATTGCATTAAAAATTAAATTTTGCATGTATACCTCCATCTTTCAAAACTACAATGTACCAGTACTTCTTTAATGTTATAAACTGGTATCAGTAATAAAATCTTGAAATTTCTGATGATTATTTTCCTTACCAAATGTACAAGTTTGTTTGATTAAAATAAAAATAATATGCTTTGCTTCATGGTATGATAATGTGATGAAATATCTTACTATAACTAACATCAAGAGACACAATAATTTCTAAATATGCTTGAAATACAACTAATGTCCTCCAGTTGAGCCTTGCAATATTCTATGTCATTTACACTGTCGAACAGTGCCCTTATAATCTGGTTTATTGCACTGAAGTGACGTTTCAGACAACTAGCACCCTTCTGCCCTGAGATTCAAGCTGGAACACTGAATGTTTATGAAAGGACACATATGTTTCTACTGTGGTCTGTCGACAAGGGACATATATGTTCTCAGTGCTGTCAAAGGGTTTTAAATGATAGGTAGTGGCTATTTTGTCAGCGTAGGCAAAATAGAAAATATGCTATTTTGCCGGCTCTACATGTAGGTAAGCGGAAGTCAATCTTGCCAGTAAAAAACAACTTTGTTTACACACAGATATGCAATTCAAAGAACTGACTATTATTTCAAAAGCAAATTATGTTTAAACATATTTGATTTTCAAGCTATGTACTGTAAATTCAGAAATTATTGCGTGCATTTATTATTGCGATTTTGTTATTTTAGACTAAAATGCGATTTTTATTTTTGCGATATTGAGAAAAATCCTGTTTAATTCATATAAAAAATTTCAAAATGCAAGTTTAAATTATTGCAATTATTACCCTGTCGCATTTTTCGCAATAATAAAAACATCGCAATAATTTCTGAATTTACAGTAATTGATTTTGTTAGATTGCATTATGTTTTATTCAATTTATATACAATGAGATTTTAACTTTATTATTTTTACAACATATACAGTTGAAAAATGTGAGATTTTATTCTTATGCATTCATGTCGCATTAGACTGTGACTGGCTTTAGAAGTCATTTCAACTACTATTTTGATATGATTTCATTGCTACAAATGGATGCTCAATATTTTTATTTTTTTTCCTTTTTTGCAAATTCTTTACTTATTTTCACTTTGACTGATAAATGTTTTTAAAAGATTATATGTATCTCAAATACAATGTATTGATACTATTATTTTACTTAACTATATGAGTAATAATTTGATTCTTTTATGTTGACAATGCACAATTTCGTACTACTTTTAAAAGTAAATATTAAAATCCTCTCTTTAAAAAGAACCGACACAATAACAAAGATCCCTTTATTGCCGGTGCTGGCAAAATAGTCATTGCTATTTAAATATGCTATTTTGCCAGCTTTAATTTAGATATTTTAATCAGAGCCAAAATAGCATATTTTCTATTTTGCTAGCGCCAGCAAAATAGCCATTGACTAAATTAAATCATTGAACAGTCGCCCCCTATATATGGTGTTCTGTAGGGAACTGATTTTTGTCGAGCCTGCGACTTTTGTCGCAGAAAGCTCAACATAGGGATAGTGATCCGGCGGCGGCGTTAGCTAACTTCTTAAAAGCTTTATATTTTAGAAGGTAGAAGACCTGGATGCCTCATGTTACGAAGTTTCCGTCAGTCACATGTCCAATGTCCTTGACCTCATTTTCATGGTTCAGTGACTACTTGAAAAAAAAGTTAACATTTTTTGTAATGTTAAATTCTCTCTTATTATAAGTAGTAGGATAACTATATTTGGTATGTGCGTACCTTGCAAGGTCCTCATGCCCGTCAGACAGTTTTCACTTGACCTCGACCTCATTTCATGGATCAGTGAACAAGGTTAAGTTTTGGTGGTCAAGTCCATATCTCAGATACTATAAGCAATAGGTCTAGTATATTCGGTGTATGGAAGGACTGTAAGGTGTACATGTCCAACTGGCAGGTGTCATCTGACCTTGACCTCATTTTCATGGTTCAGTGGTTATAGTTAAGTTTTTGTGTTTTGGTCTGTTTTTCTTATACTGTATGCAATAGGTCTACTATATTTGGTGTATGGAATGATTGTAAGGTGTACATGTCTAGCTGGCAGGTGTCATCTGACCTTGACCTCATTTTCATGGTTCAGTGGTCAAAGTTAAGTTTTTGAGTTTTGGTCTGTTTTTCTAATACTATATGCAATAGGTCAACTATATTTGGTGTATGGAAATATTTTATGATCTATATGTCAGTCGCGCAGGTTTTATATGACCTTGACCTCATTTTCACGGTTCATTGCTCAGTGTTAAGTTTTTGTGTTTTGGTCTGTTTTTCTTAAACTATAAGCTATAGGTCAACTATATTTGTTATATTGAAGAATTGTTAACTGTACATGTCTGCCTGGCATGGTTCATCTGACCTTGACCTCATTTTCATGGTTCATTGGTCAATGTTTAGTTTTCTTGGTTAATGTTAAGTTTATGTGACAGTTGTAATAAAGCTTTATATTTAGGACTATCAACATAATATCAATGATTAGTAAAGAAGGCGAGACATTTCAGCGTGTGCACTCTTGTCTTAGTTTGCATTAATGACTTTAATACCAGACTACTTACACTACTGCCAAATCAGATTCTATTATTATACGGCTGCAAAAAAAATTTTGCGGTCTTATATTGGTATGACGTTGGCATCGTCGTCCGGCGTCGTCGTAGTTGTCCGAAGACACATTGGTTTTCGCACTTTAGTTTAAGAGAATGGATCTCTATGAAATTTTACCATAAGCTTCAATACCACAAAAGGAAGGTTGGGATTGATTTTGGGGGTTATGGTACCAACAGTTAAGGAATTAGGGGCCAAAAATAAGCATTTTTGTAACTTCCAGACATAACTTGTGTGTTAGTGTATGGATCTCTCTAACATTGTACCACAAGGTTCCATATCACAAAGGGAATGCTGGGATTGATTTTGGGGGTAATTGCCTCCAAATTTTAGGAATTAGGGGCCAAAAAAGGGGCAAAAAACAAGCACTTTTCTAGTTCCATGACAATAACTTGTGTGTAAGTGTATGGATCTTTATGAAATTGTACTACAAGGTTCCATATCACAAAGGGAAAGCTAGTTTTGAGTTTGGGGGTAATTGCCCTAAACGTTTAGGAATTTGGGGCCAAAAAGGGGCAAATAAACAAGCATTTTTCTAGTTTCCAGACAATAACTTGTGTTCAAGTGTATGGATCTCTCTGAAATTGTACTGCAAGGTACCATGCCACAAAGGGAAGGCTGGATTGAGTTTGGGGGTGATGAATCATAAGGGTGTTCAAAAAATTTGGGGGGGGGATTTTTTTTTTAAATTTTCCATTTTAAATTGGTTATTTCTGATTTATATATAAAAGCAAATAATAATGATATGGTTTGAATAGGTAAATTAAAAAATTTTAAGTTCTTAGACCACATTCATTCTGTGTCAGAAACCTATGCTGTGTCAAATATTTAATCACAATCCAAATTCAGTGCTGTATCAAGCTTGAATGTTGTGTCCATACTTGCCCCAACTGTTCAGGGTTCGACCTCTGTGGTCGTATCAAGCTGCGCCCAGCGGAGCATTTTATTTACAATCAAATAAAATCAAGATTGCTTATAACTCTAAGAAGACCTAGAAGGTGCCACCATGAAATGGGAAAAATGGTCTTTCAGA